CACTGTGGAAAATAAATCTTCTAAGCCAAACCTTTGACCGAACCAACAACCTTTTTCATATATAGAGTAAACCAGGTTATTAAAATAATATAAACACAATGCATTAATTAACATAATCTCATTTATAATTGGGCGCTGATGTTGACTCCTTGTCAAAAGGTATTTAAAAGCGGACTAGTCTTAAGACAAGGGACTAAACCAATGAAAAGGAAAATAATTCACTCAGACTCAGACCGAAAGAAATGGAATGTGCCCCAAACTATGACATCGTGATATATATGATATATATATATATATGTATAGTGTTCGTAGTTTGTCGAATGGAGACTCTCATGTGGCAGACATAGCCAGACAACAGATTGCGAAATGAATCGCCGAGAGTCGCGCGCGTGCTTGCCGCAATTACTTTGATTGCTAATCAACTGTGTGCAACGGTGCATGTGTGTGTGAGTGTGTGTGTCGCCCTCTAGGGAAATCCAATTCAAATACTGAACAAGCATCAGCTGTTTGAGGAGTCAAATTTGCCACAAACGCCGACAGGCCCACCACACACACACACAGGCACGCACACCTCCACCTCGGGCTCGCCAATTTGTCAGCTGTCATTTTAGATGGCAGACGCAATTTTTCATGCCACATGCCACACTCAAACGCACACAAAGCACGCATCAATGCATGCAACAAATGCATACACCAAAAAATAAAACCATTCCCCCCCCCCACCGCCACCCCCCTCAAAGTGAAACATAATTGACAGTTAAAATTTTGCAGCTGCCGCAAAAGAAATGCAGTAAAACTTGCGTGCCACCCAAGCGGAAAGTGTTCAACGGGCTGTTGAATGGTGGGTGGGGAGGCAAGGATGCGAAATTCATCGATCATTCATTGTCACGCATCACGGTTACGAGGGGGAGGGGGCGGGGGGATGGGGGTCGTCAAAGAGAAAAGAGAGCGAAATGGGAATAAAGTTGGAGCAAACGTTGAAAGTGAAATGTTTAATTCAATTTTCCATTAAGACGGAATCAAACTCAGAATAATGAAAGAAAAAAAGGTGCGCAAAAATCTGCAAAAGAAAAATATATAGAATTTGAAAATAATAACGGTGAAGGAGGCAGGAGGTGCGCGAAGCGATGCACAGCAAAAACACAAAAAGTTTGCCCAGAACTATAAAATTGTACACTCAGCGAAATTCAATTAATGCCACTTGCTTTGCTCCCATCAAATGAAAAGCAACATTTTACAGATATTTTGGTTTTTTGCTTCAACTTAATTGGCTACATTAAATACAAATGGCTAACAAAAACTATTTTATTTTTAGCGTTGCCCGAAAACTTTTTTTGCCAACTAAAAAAAAAAGAAAGAAGAAAGGCGAGGCTAAAGTGAGGTTCAAAAGAAACACAATTTGTGGAAACGGCTTGAAAAGGCAACATCAATAGTTTTTCAAGACAACATATTTGATGGTTATCTAAAAAAGATACAAGTCTGCAGGCCCTCTCAACTATTAGAAATTGTAGCCACTAGCCTAGTTTTAACGAGAACGGTTTCTGCACATATTTCTCTACATGTTTCATCGATTTGCACATATCGATGTTATCGATTTGCTGACGCGCGCAATGCCGAATTCATATTGAAAGTCTAGAGGCGGACATAATTTTGCACAGAAGCAGTATACCTTTGCCTAGCTTTGACATGGCAGGGTACAGGGTACAAAAAGCATGAGCACTTTATTAACCAGCGAGCGAGTCGTGAATCAAGCTTTTACCGCACTTCAATATAATTCACGGGCTTCAAACCCAGCCGCCAAATGGCCTCCAAACATTGTTGGTACAACTCAACGCCTAATGGGATGAAGGGGAAGTGGTTGGTTGGTTTGCGAGCTAAATAGAAATGCTGTGAGCGCTGAGAACTGTGCTTAATTAAAAATTGTCAGTGGCAGTAAATTAATTATAAACGCGGCCCGCAAAGTGTTTGGCTTGCAACAGCAACGGCAACGGCAACGGCAACAGTCAAAACAGAAGCCGAGGCAGAAAAAGAAGCAGCGAAAAGCTCCACATGTGGGCGGGCGACCGCAAGGCGTGGCCAGGCTACTGGCTGTTAAGTGCTAGCAGTTAACAGGTGGCAGCTACCTACTTATGAGGTAGCACACACACACACACACACAGCCATATACACACAGACACCCACAGGCACATACACTTGGCGAAAAACGCTTTTCAATATTCAAGTACAAATTGGTCGGAGTATTTTTGTCGTCTTGTTCTTCGAATTCGTGAATCTAATGAAACACACATTTTATACTTAAAACATCGATTTATATCGATATACACGAAACGACTGCATTTGTCGACAACACAAAACTTGATCTGCATTTGGATTCCGAGAACTTGTATTCCAAATTTGAAGAGTCTGGCTTTTATCTAAGATCTCGAAGATCGGCTTGTTCAGATAGACAAACGGACATAGTTAAGTGGACCCTGCCATTGATTTTGATCAGGAATATACATATATATACTTAATGGAGACCGAGATGCTTCCTTCTGCCTGTTATCCACTTTTGCACTTTTTTACATTGGTCTTGACTACCTCAACAATTTTTTGAGTGTACCAATAGTCGCTCTCTCCGTCTCTCTCTCTCTCTCTTCCTCTCTCCCTTCACACTCTCCTTTTGCCAGCTGTCAGCATTTTATTTTCTTTGTGCATCAAAAGCAGCAATTTTAATCAAATTATCATTCTTGATTATGTTTCTGCCTATGTTCTGATGGTTTGAGAACACAGCCAAGCGAGGGGTGTGATGGCGTGGGGGTTCGGGGGGAAACTTACCAAGACGAATCAGTTTTGGAATTTACACACACGCACACGGTAGTCGCCCAACCCACCAATAACAATAACAACAACTATTTTGATCGAGCTGCCGCAGGCCAAATAATGTCACAGCAGCAATTTAACAATTGAAGATATTTTCAAGAGACTCTTATCAGATTGCTGTGCAACTGACACTGAAGGTTAATAAATTACTCACAAAACACACACACACACACACACACACACACACACGCACACACACACACACGCACACACAGAGGCACATTCATTCAGATATGCACATAAACTTGCAATAGAATATGTCGATTGCATTTGGTATTTAATTGGTTACCGAGAGTTTTGTGTTAATGTCATTGCTTGTCTTATAAATGAAATACAGCAACCACTAATATAATTGAAGTAACAAGCACATAAGGCAAAAACCATATCAAATATCAAATACCAAAATATGGAGAACAAAAATATCCCCAAAATATATTCGAATATTTTATTTTTGAGCATTAGGATTACTAAATATATAATCCTAAACATCACGTTACGAAATGGCTTTCTACACTTATTTATTATTGTTTTTGTTATTTTTTTTGATTTGGTCTCATCACGGTAGTAATTAATTAAAACAAGTTGGGACAAATCAAAAAATGTTTTAGGAGTTCTGCTGAAGTGTGTTTTTATGAAAGAAGAATGAATGTGTGGACTATTTTATGGCAACAACGATATCATATCATATTTGCCTTAATAGACTATTTTTTTAAGTGCATTTCCATGACTGGTAGGCCACAATTCGTAGTTATTTCTTATACATTGCCAATGAATGCTTGATAAGACTTAGATCTGACGATTGTAATTTATAGCATTGCCAAATATTTTATACATTTATTTATTTAAATATATTGATCAATGAAGGGGTGGACTGTGGACTGCTTGCACCTAATGCATTGGCCCCACTTCACAATTAGAAAATCAAATCGCATTTAATCGTTCCTCAAATTTATTTGTGGCAACCATTTCAAAGAACTCGTTTTCTAAGCTCTAAATTGTTGCTGTCCATAAAATAAGCATGGCATCGAATCGAAACTCTCTGGGCCTAACGTGTGTCGTCTAACCAACGAGACAAGCGACCACAACGAGTTGCATGTGGTTACTGATTGGATTGGTAACGTTGCCACATGTGGCATAGGGCGTTGTGACACTTGAGTCTTGTTAGCGTTTTTGGCAAACGCAAATTGACAGGCGAATTGCGAATTCGCACAGCAATCGCAATTTGTCGGATGAAGTCCGTCAAGTAACTAGGAGCAACAGATCGACAGTACAGCTGACGTACAACGGCAGATACACACACACACCTACACACACACAGTTGTTGTTGTTGTTACTGTTGTTTCAGTTGTTTCATTTGGTCAGTGAAGCGTGTGGCCCGATTGAAAATTTAATTTCCCGCTTCTGGCAGCGAGTTACAGAGACGACAAGCACACACAAACAATGAGTGGGAGTGGGAGAGGAGACCATGAGTCTGTGTGTGTGAGAGAGAGAGAGAGAGAAAGAGAGAGAGAGAGAGAGAGAGAGAGAGAGATAGAAAGTACCTGCTGCTATGGGGCAGTGTATTTCCGTCATGTCAACGTTTGCTGTTCCGTTTCACTTTTCACTGGACTTCGATTTGGTTTTGCTTGCTACACTTTCCCCATCTCTCAGTCTGTCTCTCTCAGTCTGTCTCTCTCTCTCTCTCTCTCTCTCTCTCTCTCTCAGTCTGTCTCTCTCTCTCTGTCGCTCTCTGTCTGTGCCTTGTTTATGGCTTCTCATTTGCAATAATCCAAATTGCCAGGACTACCAGTTCGACTTCCCAGCTGTATTTCCTGTTTCAATTTACTGATTTATTTATTGCCAGCGTCGTCAACAACAACACAACAGCAACACCAACTTGATAATTTCCGTTCCGTGAATATTTTTTATATTCTTCTTTTCTGTTTAATGATGATGACGCCGACGTATCTGTATCCGCAACTAAATCTATATCTATATCTTATATAATTTGCATCTCGCTCTTACACCTTGTTCACTTCATCTGCGTCTCTTCAATGATTATGTATAATTGTATCATATATATATATTTATATATGCATATTTGTTGCGATATTTAACTAATTTGCTGCTCGCTTTCCGATATTTGTGTCAACTTGCAGGTTTGTCCAATCGGCCATTGGGCCCGCCACATCGCAAGAGCAGTCTACCAAAGCATCAGGAGGTGAAGCGTCACTTCCTCGAAATTTGTGATACCAACTTCTCGGATGAGGTCAAGGCGGCCCTGCGTCTGCCCGCCTTCGATTCATATGAGTGGGGCGACGCGGATGTCATACACCTAATGCAGACCATGTTCCTTGAGCTCGGCTTCATTGAGAAGTTCAGCATACCCATCGATACGCTGCGCGAGTGGCTCTACGAGGTCTACAAGCACTACAACGAGGTGCCATTTCACAATTTTCGACATTGCTTCTGTGTCGCTCAAATGGTGAGTTCTACTTTATAGTACAGTGATACTTCAACTCCACTCAAAATATAAACCTTTTCACTTGATATGCCTGCGCCTGCGATTCAAGACTCTTGCATTATGCAGCTAACAATTACTATAATTTCATGTAAATTTATGTTAACTGACAATACAATACAACACACACACACACAGACAATATAAGCACACACACACACACACACACACAGTTGAGCATTACACCTAGCTGTTTGTGTTTGGAATGTCCTTTGGGCATCCTTTGAGTCCCCTAACTGCAATTTGAATTGCTTATGTACAATATACAAAATACCATATATATATATATATATATATATAATAAGTGTAGGCTATAAAGTGTAGCCTATAAAGGATGACCATGCACAATCAATATCATCTCTCTCTCTCTCTCGCTCGCTCTCTTGCACTCTCTCTCTCGCTCTCACACTCTATGCGAGTAGCATAACAATAGGCGCCCAGTAGTATGCAACAGAAAACGCCAAGAGGCAAACATGTGTATGTGTGTGTGTGTGTGTGTATACTTATATATAGATAGCAAAAGAATCTACCCACACACGCACACACACATACACCTACACCCAGATGGCCAAGAAATGTGGAGGGAAAATAGCTAAAGAAAGCGCATAACAACTTCTTCAACATTTAAAAATAGCAACAATTTCGGAGTCCCAGAAATGGAAACACCAACATTTGAAACAACAGCAACTGGCAGACAGAGACAGAGACAGAGACAAACAGACAGGCAGACAGACAGACAACTAGACGGACTGGCCACTCACAGAAATACCAAAAAAATAAAACACTCACCAAAAAAAGGCAGAAAAAAAGAAAGAAAAGAACGATAGCCGCATCTTAAATACACTTACTTTTCTTAAACACTGATTTCAATTGAGGTTTATTAATTTTTATATAAGCTTAAAGTATATTGAATCGATCCTGTCATAATTATTGTCTGTGTAAAATCTGATGATTGTCCTCATGATGCGAATGTCAAAAATATTATATAATACTTTTTAACAACACTTAATGCTATTGCGCCAAACATCAACGAATTTTGGTTACGAATTTGTTCCAAATGAACTGTGGATATTTATAAACAAAATTACGATTATTAGTTCTCGTAAATGATACTCAAAAAAGTGTTGAACTTCGATTCGGAATCTGCTTAAAAAATAGTCAAGTTTGGTAGAGCGCAATTGGTACGTTTACCGTACCGTCTGCTATATAGTAAGATGAATCCTTGCTTCAAATGACACAGCAAAAGTAAGCATGTTCTGCATGTGCAAGGGTAAGCAGTGCGCCCAATAAGCGACCAGCTGCTGTTGCTGCAACAACAACGACAAAACATAACCCAGCCAAAAAATAAGAAAAAAAGGATGTGCGAAATGAAAGAAGAAAGAGATGAAACAGAAACAGAAGCAGAAGCAGAAGCAGAAGCATAAGGCGAAGCTGAAAAAGAAGCAAGCAAACCGACTGCGACCCACTTAGAAGCTTTCAAGTGCCAACGAAGCATTTTTCCCAGCCGAGTTTTTAACCTACATTTTTGGCAAATGAAAGTTGCTGCCTTATACTACTTCCGCAAAAGTATATATATACATATACATATATATATATACATATATATATATATAGAGAGTATATAGTTGTTGTGCTCAATATTTAATTATTAACTTGCTGTTAGTTGTTGGCCTGCTGAGTTTTTAATGTCGTTGTTAAATCGTTTCAAAAGAAACTATTAACAGATTATTTAAATAACAATCGATAGAGCACATTGTTGTTAAGTCTACTTAGTGATTGTGCATTAATAATTAACATGCATGTAAATATAAAATAAATTAATATATATATTATGGGTTGGTAAGCAGCCATTAAAAGCATGCAAATGCAGTCGACCTTAATTTCAAGCGAGTCGTCAACTTTGAATACAACAAATAAAATAAAATAAAATAAAATAAAATAAAATAATGTAAGCACTGAGTTTTGCACTGTTGTCGTAACGCATTGTGGCTGTATTGTCTATGGGCGAGGAAACGAAACTTTCACAAATATATTTCAAGTTGACAACAATGGCCAACAGTGGGCGCTGATGGGTGTGGCACATTGTGACAAATAGTCAAAAAATTGTCAGACAACAACAAAAAAAAGTTCACAACAAAATGAGCAAAGAGAAGCAGCTGCAATTGTTGGTTATGTGGCAAGTGAACACAAAAAATGGCTGCAATTCCATAGACTAGGGCTTTCAACTAAGGAACTAACAACTTGAATCAGCACTCCGATCCATTCGCACTATATATATATATATATATATATATATACGCATACACTACAAATGCACAATGCGTGCACCAATAAGCGACAGCAGCAGCAATTGTTCTTGTTGCCGCTGTTGTGATTGCTGCTGCTGCCTTTACTATCAACAGCAATAGCAACAGGCAGCAGGCAACAGGCAACAACAATGGCTGCACGCTATCGATAAGTGCGACCAATCGATAACTATATGTATATATATATATATATATATATATGTATGTATATTCAAAATATACTCAACGCTTTCGCTGAAACTAAAAACCAACTGGAGAATGCCACACTAGTAGATACCCTATCTCTGGCACTACAATGTGTAAACGTGCTAATTTCTTGGCCATAAACATGACACTCAATGAGAATAATAAACAATTCCGCTTGCCAAGAAAACGATTTTATAATGTTGTTCACACTGATTTCATTCAATTTGGTTATTAATATTATGCGACTCAATATTATATATATAAATCGGCTGCTGATTAGCTTAAGTGCTCTCAGCACTTGGCTTGCCCTTAAAACAGATAACGAAATTTGAAGAAATTAACATTATTTATTGTTATCTCTGGCAAGCTTCTGTATTGAACACTTTTTGAGCTCACTCTTGATGCCATTTAGTATTGACTCCATATGCCCACGACAGAATATACACTGCTGAACTTCTCTCTCCAAATTTTAGTCTTAGTCTCCACATTTTAGTCTTATTTTTTGATTGCCTTATCGATGCACTCTCTTTTTCTCACTCCTCTCACATCTCGTTGTCACCAAAAAAAAAGAGCTTAAAAAGTTGCATTGCTCTTCATTCTGCTTGTTAAATATGTTTACATAGCTTTATAATTCCCTGTAAGCCCGTTTGTAATGTGTACAGGGTATAGGAATACATTCGAGAGAGGTATGTAAGAAACGTTTCTAAACTGAGATCAATTTTTGTTATAAATGTAACAAATAGTTAAATTAATGTATGGGAAAAGTATAATTAAATAATAATTATAAATAATAAATAGGAGTGACCAAGTTTGGTCCAGACGAAAGCAGAGATAATTATGTACATAAAAATAAGTGCATTGGAATGTACATCATTTGTACACCCGTTGAGCAACCCTCGCCACCGATTAGACTCGCTCTCTCTCTCTCTCACTCTCTCACTCTCTGTCTGTCTATCTAAGCTTCGAAATGGCCACTAGAGGACGAGGACAAGGACTCGGTCTGCATATAGCCCGATATATGCGATGGTGCGTATTTTACATTTCAATGGCCGACCATTTGCATAGGCAGGCAGGCACTCATGTATGTATAGCCCATGTAATTTCCTTTCTGCCCCCCCTCCAACTCACAGCCCCTGTCCTATATTTTTGTGTCTCTATGCCGGACAGAACACAGAATATAGCCTTTAAGCGGCTTTCGCTTTTGCCTTCCTGCCATCGACAACGCAATAAATAAAAAACAAAAAAAATATATGAAAAAAACAAACGAATACCGATTCCAAAATTGACGAACAAAACAAACAGCCACACAAAAAAAATGCACTTAAGAATACCCTGCATTTCTGCACGATTTCCAATAGTTGTCCAAGTTTTTTTTTAGAGTGTACCAATAGCTAAAAATAAGCTGGTAATGCGTAGTGAATTTATGGATAATTGGACAGGCTGTTGCGAGAATCGAGAAGTTCAGTAAGAAAAATGTTTTCTTTTATTTTTGCCAAACTCGTTTTTCATCATAACATATTTATTATATACAATAATATTCTTGATGCTGACTGAAGCTAAATTCATAAAATCTTTTTAATTTATGTTTTTCAAAAAGGTGTCAAACCGAAACGAATTTCGGTTCCGGTTCCGATACAAAAAGTGCAACGGTTCTGGTAAAGGGCCATAGACAACTAATATCGTTTCTCATAACTGGCACTTAAAAATTTAAAATTTCAGTTCTGAATTTCAATCGGTCAAACAGCGATTTCAGTTTGAGACCTTGTTGACAAGAGGATTGCGGCACTGTCGACGCTGAGGCTATTAATCGACAATTAAGAATGTGGCCGATGTATTCAGCAGGGTACTCACACACACACACACACATCAACACTCACACACACACACACACACACACACGTCAACACTCACACACACACACTCAGGTACCTTGTTTGCTGTTGTTCTTTGCCACGAAATGAGCAACACATTTTGTCAGGTTTTCATTAACAAGGTGCTGTTCGCCAGCTTGACTGTTGGTCCTGCGGCAAGTTGCAAGTTGCAGTTGATTTCCTGGGGGTGTTGACGTTTCTAAACTACTTTTTCCCGAACCGGTGCCAAGAAAACGGGGGGCGTGGGCTGGAGGATTGAAGGGGTAGGGGTTGTGTTTAAGTTCCTCCTTGCTAGTTGACTTGACAATGAATTTAGATAAACTTGCGAAATTCGGAATGCAAACAGCATTCGCATTTGCATAAATTTATAGCACTAAACCACAATGCTTACCAAAACCACCTCACCTTCTCCGTCCACCCCTCGCTACTCCAACATTATACACTTTGCCCCTAGTTTCTTTAGAGATTTTGCACTCGGAGAATGCCGCCAACGATGACGACCAAAGTTGTGCAGCAACTTTAACGAGCCCTCAAGCCAGATCGAAACCAACTGCATTCCCAACCAAATCCAACCCCACCCCACCCGTGGCAGTGCCACTACCTCAATAGCAATAGATTCATCCCCCCCCCCCACCCCCCTTCCCTTTTCCACCGTGGGTATGTGCAAGTTTGGTGCGCAGCAAAGCGCAGAGCAAACTTTATGCTACTTTTGTACTTCAAAAAGCTTAAATTGAACACTTTTGAAAGTCCTTAAGGGTCCCACACTCTCTCTCTCCCTCTCCCCCTCTCTCTCTTTCTCTCTCTCTCTCTCTTACCTTACTCCAATTATATTTGCAGCAGCAACGTCTTGGCGGGGGAGGTGCGGGTGTGGGATGGTTATAGTTACTGCTGGTAATTGCAAAGGTTTCGCTGCCGTTTTGCATGCAGACAAATTAAGTTGCTTTCAACTTTTTACCTTTAGTTAAAACATTGCCGTATACCGAAACTTGATGCCACACCTCATCTCTCCACACCACACCCCGCCACCCCCCCCCTCCCCTCTGATACAAAAACACATTCCGACCTTTTGCTGCTGCTGCTGCCAGAGCTGATGGCCACGCTTAAGCATCCAATGCGATTTGGCTTAATAGTTAGCAACATTAAAAGTGCTCTCTGTCTCTCTCTCTCTCTCTCTCTCTCTCTCTCTCGCTCGCTGTCTCCTTTCTTAGCAGCATTGTTTAAGTTACTATTGAGAAAGCCCCCCATCTCCTGCCCCTCTCCTCTGCTGCACGCCCGAACAACAATCAGCGCAGACACTTCATTTAATTAGCCAAATTGAGAGACAATCTCAGATACAGCTAAATGGACCGAAAGAGAATAACAAAAAGAAAGACAGAAAGAGCAAAACAGTGAGCAAGAAAGAGGGAAGAGCACTGGGGGGTGGGGGGAGAGATGGGGTTGACAGTTTGAACAATTGGCCGAAGAATTTCTCGTCTTAGGTGTTGGCAAATAAATTGCTCTGTGTGTGTGTGTGTGTGTGTGTGTGTGTGTGTGTGTGTGTGTGTGTGTGTGTGTGTGTGAAGTGCAGTTGACAGCACTTCAAGCATTCAGTCTAGAGAATTGTACTCATCACCAGCAGTTAATGTGGAATAGACAGTTAAAGCTGTACAGAATGCTTGACTGCCAGATACCCATTGATAAAATTACAAGCTTAAACTGCAATATTCAGTTCATGTTATGAGTCTAAAGGACTAAAGGGTATACGGGAGTTGTCCAACAGTATTAAACAGACAGAAGGATGCATCTGCAATCTACAATCATAAAACTTATATATTCTTGATCAGGATGAGGATCAGCCGCTGCGTCGATTTAGCCAAGTCCGTCTGTCTGAATTTGAAATGTCAATTTTGGTAGACCAAAAATTGATTACATTTTAACGATAACATTCCGCGTCTCGCGATTATCGATATCAATAAAAACTGCAATGTTGAAGTAATTTCGATCATCTAGTAAAGAAAGATCGGTTATGAAACTAGAGATAATATATGCAGCGAATTAGCACAGCACAGCAAAAAATATCTAAAAAAAAATTTGGGTGTAGGGTATCTTCTTGTCGAGCTCTCTCGACTAGTGCTTCCTTAGCTATTTAATGAAGAATTTCTACATGAAATTCGATCAACAATCGATGGTCAACTCTTTGATATATGTATTTATTATTATGTTTAGTTTAATAATGATGTGTGTTTTAAATGGATTCTTGCAGATGTATGCTATAACACGTGAAGCGAATTTATTGAGTCGCCTGGGCGATCTAGAATGTTTGATATTGCTGGTGTCCTGCATTTGCCACGACCTCGATCATCCTGGCTATAACAACATATATCAGATCAATGCACGCACCGAACTGGCGCTCAGGTATGAATTCTCTTTCTAACTTATATTTGACTATATTGTATGTATATAAATGGCTTTCATATTTATTATGTAGATATAATGACATCTCGCCGCTGGAGAATCATCATTGCTCGATTGCATTCCGCTTGCTGGAGCATCCCGAGTGCAATATATTCAAGAACTTTAACCGGGAAACATTCAAGTGAGTAGATTAATCACCGACATCAATTCTACACAGAGTGCTTTAAGTGAATTCGGTTCACAATTCGACAAACCCATTAAAAAAATCATTTTAAAATCATTTTAATAATGTTTTGCCTTAAAAAAAAAAATACTTGAATTAAATGTTAATTGCATTGTAAAATAATCGCTTACCTGTTTCGAATTATCAATTTTTATTTGACTTGTATATATGCGATCTATTGAATTATGATTGAATTATTTGCCTGTGGCAAGAATTTCACACATGTTTCATTAATAATGAAAACCAACTTGAAACTTGGACTAGGACTATGCTGAAATTGAAGGGCATAGTTTGTGTTTATTCCCTGTGTGGGACAACAGCAACTGCAACAACAAAGTGGGGCGTAGACAGCACTTTAAGCAGCGTTGTCAAACGGGTTTGGTTTCGGTGTCTGTTACGGTTTCCGATTCGGACTCGGATTCGGCTTGTGCCTCGGCTCGGCTGAGGTTCGTGTTCAGGTTTTGGTTCGTGTGCAGATTGGGGTTGGCATTTGGGGTCTGGTGTTGCTGTTACTGTTGGTGTTGGTGTTGGCGTTGGGGTTGGGGTTGGGGTTGAGATTGGCTGCCATTTAATTGGCAAGATTGCTCGGCGCTATTTTATGCGCGGCACGTACAAAATGATGTTGCATTAAACGGCACACAGCCCGCTGGCCTCTAATTAACACCCAACACTTGCAATCGCTACAGCTCCAGCTACATCTACACCTACCCGTATCACTACCCCTGCCACTACCCCTGCCACTATCCGTACTCCCTGTCTATCCCCGTGTCAGGCAGCCGTATCGATTTGGTGCAAGAGAAAACCCCATTTAAAGAGTTGTCCTTGCACTTTCACTGCTGCAATTGCTGCCACTGGACTCTATCCTTTGTCCTTTGTCCTTTGTCGTCTGTCCAAGCACTAACGACCCAAGAGTCGGGTTGAAATCAACAGGCAAATAAACAACAACAACAACAACTACATTAGAACAAAATGAAGCAGCAGAAGATTAGTACAAGGGGGAGTACAAATATATTTAATGCCAACAAATTGAGGACAAACTGTTTTTGTTTTGAAATCAGGCTTTGGCCATGCTTAAAAAGGATACAAAATACGCTGTTTAATGCATTTCAGTTGCACACATCTATTAAGTCTACTCCGACAATTTAAGCTGTAAATTATTACTTATAATTGGAAACGCTCCCTTTGAATTCAACACTGAATGCATTTATTGTCTCAACTGACAAGCTAATCTAAATGGCAAAGGAAAATTGCTGTAAATTCCAAGAATCAACTTGATCGAACAGCAAATTAGGCTTCCTGGAAAAGTGTTGCGCAGCTCAGCTAATTTGCGATTTACATTTTACATGTTTTTTAGAGTCTCTGTATTATTTTATTTAAGCCATAACGAGTATCAATCTGTTGCCTTTATGATGAATTTACTTTATTTTTATGGCATAAAGATGTGTACAGATATATGTACATGTGTGCCTGAAGCATAGTTTCTGTATTTATTTCAAAATTTCGCAAAAACATTAATTACGTGGATTAGCTGAGGGAAATATATTTTATTTTTCTTCTTTTTCTTCTGTTTTTTTTTTATTTTTATATTTTTTACTTGGAATTTCTCGCACACGTAGGATGTTCAAATGGCTGAAGCGCCATCAGTCTGCCATCATTATTCGTAGCATCATGCCCACCATTATCTTCATCATCGTCATCATCATCATCATCATCATCATCATCAGGGTAGTATGCCCCAGAGACAAACCACACACCCCAGGCCCACTTGATGTTACATCCCATCCCATCCCATCCCATCCCATTCCATTCCCAGCCGACCCACGTTGGGCGCCTTCACGATGTTTTGCTGCCAAGTTTGCGTGCATAAACTGCTGCAACACTTTTGGGAGTTTTTGATGGCGAAACTTGCCACATGCACAATATGCTTGTAAATGTGTTGCACCAACAACAACCGAAAACAACAACAACAATAACAGCCGTCAAAGTGGCAAGAAGTTGCCAAAAACGTTGCCACACGATACTCACTCTATTTCTCCCCCTCTCTCTCTCTCTCTCTCTCTCTCTCTCTCTCTCTGTCTTGCTCTGCCTGCTTGTGCTTGTCTAAGCGTGCATAAACAAGCATGCAATACATGCATACACATACACATATACACACACACACAAATACACATATATATACACAGAGAAAAATAATACAGTTGCCAAGGTTGCAGATTCTGGACATTTTTCAAAAACATTTTTGTTCTACTTCTGAAATAATCGCTTGCTCGCTTAAATCTCACATTTCAGTTCTCAAATGAATAACCAAAGAGCTTAAACTTATTTAAAGCACAAAAATGCTTAAATAAAGTATTTCTTACTTGATTTATAAAATGTTCTTCAATAGATAACATGACAACACCAAAATCAGAAGATTTTCTCTTTGGTTTTTTCTGTGTATGTTTGTGTGGGTTCTTTCAACTATGCAACAATGTTGCCACAAGTAATCGGCAGTTGAGAAACGACTGTCAAAATTGTGATGCTTATTACAGCAGTGCTCCGGCCTCAAATGCCATTTATCAGCATTGAAACGTTCAAATGTGCTTAGTCACAATATGTGGCCGCTTTGCAACACTAAATGGCTTGCGTTGTCCTCTTGGAGGCGATAACAGTTTAAACACTCCTTCAGTTGAATGGTAGGCTGAAAATAAGTAAACAAATTCAACGGCCTTCAGTAATTTATCGATAAAAGTCACGATCCAAATTAGCAGAGCAGAAATTCATGAAAGAAATGATCCCATAATCACTTTGACTTCTACTTAACTACTATATTCAATGCTGGAAATTCTAGTAAAAGTTATACCCTCTAAAAGTGTTCCTTGCTGTGGGTCAAATCTTGCCAGAGCCAAAAGTTCATCGACTTTATAAGCAGTGTTTTTTTTGATCAATTTCACGGTTTTCATTTAAAATGTGAACGTCTTTCAACTTGCACAAATTATACTTGAACTAAGCATTTGAAGTTTCATTGCGAATTTACTTAAATTTAAGCAATATTGCCTCGCTTAATAAACAGACATCAATCTTGCCTGTGACGAGCTTATTTAATGTCTTTCATGTCCACTTCAGCTAACAGCAGTCTGTAAGTGTGTGTGTGTGAGTGTGTGGCACAAGCAGACAATGATGCCTCGCCTCAAACAATTACACGCAACAGTTTGCATTTTCATTTGAATTTTATATTACTTTCGAGTATTTGCTAACTTTCACAACTTTGCCAATAAAAATATAATATTTAAGTTTTTAAAGAAACTTTTTCTTTAACAAACTTTACTGATTGATATATACATATTTATATATACATATATATATATATATATATATATATAAATTTGAGTTATCGTTAGATGGATTCGATTGCTGTTATTCTCTGTTCCGCTCTCCCTCGATCAGTCCACATTACCAGATGCGACACTTGTCCGGCGGATGCATCATGCTGCCCGCCTTGCACTGAAAGGCTTCGGCAAATTCGGGAAAATTACCGATCACATTGTTGACTCTCTCCTGATGCGATGCATGCTGTTGCGGTTGCTCTACTTTGCTGCTGCTGCTGCTGCTAGTGGAACGTGCCGCAACGTTGTTGCCACACCAATTCTGTGCGAATGCCACAAAAAATGGACGCATCGCAGAAGACTGACTCTCATTAGCATTATTATGATTTGTTGACTGCTGCAACTGCCTAAATGCATCATAGGCCAGACGCAATCCCTCGCTATCGGCAATATTCTCATTGATGGTCAGTGTGGCATTGTTGTAGCGTGCCCCCAAATAGCAGCCGGCACGCAAACCAAATCGAATGATCGCCCGCGGCGGCCACTGGCCACCGGCAATGTGGCCGCCATCATCATAGTTGATGCCATCATAGTCAAAGCCATGGATCAGCTCGTGTCCCAGCATATAGCCAAATCCGCCCAGCAGACGTGCAGCTGCCTCCTCATCCAGTTCAGCCAGTGTTGTTCCTCCTCCTACTCCACCTTCTCCGAGTCGAGTTGGCAACAGGGGCGGACGCAGCAAACCCAATGGTAATTCAATTGCATTCAACTTGAGCCTATAGTAAACATTCACATCCAGCGCTCCCAGTGCATGTTGCACACTGCTACCACTTGTGCCGCACGGCAGTTGCAAACAGTCCAAAGCCGATTGAAATTGTGCCACAGACTGTGCCTCTGATAGATTCAACAGATACGTATCGTAACTCGGCTCCGGCTGCTGTTGCTGCTGTTGCTGCTGTTGCTGCTGTTGGTGCTGTTGCTGCTGTTGGTGCTGTTGCTGCTGTTGCTCTTCCTCTTCTTTGGATAGGATGCCGGGTGGCATGAGGAGTCGCATTGCGTGCAACTTTTGCAAGGCGAGCGTTTTTGTTGCCGCATCGTTTTCGAATATGGGCGTTGTATTCAACAGTCGCTCGAATTGTAATTTGATCGAATCGAATAGTTGCCGTATCTGTTGCTGGTGTCGCATTAAATAGGTGGCTGCTGCCGCATTGCTGCCATGCTGCAGCCGCAGCAGTAGCTCAGTCAGTTGCTGTGGCTGCAGCGAGTTCAGCTGTTGCAAGCAATGCTCGCGTTGTACACTCAATGTGGTATCCTCGTGCAAATTCAGCTCAAAGTGGGCGGGCAGCTGCAACAGCAGCCAAGTGGACACAACAAGTGGATCAGCGGTATGCAACAGACGCTCCATTGCCACCAGATAAGCGGTATCTGCCACAAGCATTAGCTGCAACGTATATTTATCGCCCAGCAATTGACGAAAGTACGCGTTCAGCTGCAGCTGTGGCAATTGCTGTGACAGCTGTTGCAACGTCAACGGCTTGTGCAACACGTGCCGTGTCGCCATCGTTGCCGGCAACAGATTCTGCAGCGAGCGCTCAAAGCTCACCAGGCGTGCGGCAAGTGCGGCAGCGCGTCGCACCCGCAAACCCAACTCAAGCAGCAGATATTTGAGATAGCGCTGATAGAGAAACTCGCTCTCCTCGCTGCTGCCCAACAGCTCAAAGCTGGGTGGCAGCAGATAGAAGATGTTCTGCTCCCCCGCCTGCCAATTGGGTTGCACCAGCAGCCGCCACAGGCCATCGGCGCCAAGGCGACGCACTGCCGCATTGCCACGCGCCCAATCGAACTGCTTGCTGGCATTGTCGATCAGCGGCCAATTTGGCGATTGTTGCATCAATGCGTCCATATAAACCTGCAACGATTGACGGCCACTCATGCAGCTGTTGTAGAAGGAGTTTAGTTGCTGCTGCTGCTGTTGTTGCTGCTGTTCCTCTGCAGCACCGCTTGCCTCAAAGTGTTGCACGAGCAGCTGTTTATTCAACGCACGCATCTCCGTTCGCCGATCGTGTGCCCCCAGCGAGCGCAGCTGATAGCTCACATACCAATTGCCGCAAGCGTAATCGTGAAAATTGTCGCATGGCGATTTTGTTGCATCTATCGCATCCATTGCATCAATGCCAAGGCCAGTGTGCCACAAGCCGGCCCCGCCGTGGCAGCCACCACTGCTGAGTAGCAGCAGCGCCAGCCACTTTAGAATATTATTCATTTTCGGCACGTTTCGTAGACTCAACTGAAACTGACAACATCAAGTCGAGCCAATCTGAGCTGAGCTGACCTGTGTCCAAGTACACTGAGCAAAACAAAACAACATCAAATCTAAAAAGACTTATAACAAAAATAACACAAATAAGCCAAACATGTTATATAAAATTGATGTAATTAATTGATGTAAGCACTTACTTAGTTGTGCAAAAAGTACTTACTTACGGATGACATTTCTTCAAATTGTCTGCCAAAAATAATCATGTGTTAATTGCAGAAAAGTCCCACGAAAGTTGTATAATTCAAATTGCAATCATTTCTTTTCCGAACCCATCAAATATTTGTACATCAAATTTTGCATATATTTTTATAAATGATTTAAACTATATTGAACGCTTAAGTCAGGTCTCTCAATCATCATTATTGGCCTTTCGTTTCGCTCAGTGCAGCTGATAAGCAACTGATAAAGCGCTGACTTTGAGCTTTAAGCAATGCCATAAGTCGAGCGATTTAGTTAGAAACGTTGATGGGCAAGGTTGTTGCTGCTATTATTGTTAAAATTCCAATCGTCAATATTCAATGACTATATACGATTAATATCATTATTATTCATTACTGACTGGTGCCTTAAATAACAACCTATAGCTTGTAGAAAATATTATTATTGTAGTTGCTGTTGTGTTGCGAGAGCAGGCCATAAAGTTTTTAAGATTGGCAGTAAAAACAATGCTATGCTTACGTTATCCTTAAGGCTGAGAACACATCGAATCGTACCATTTTTTAATATATCTCATTTTAATAGACACCAAACAATAATGAATGAGTATCGCAAGAATCTATGTATTAATACTTAACCGATTACCGTAAAGAAGTTTGAAAATATACAGACACTAATTCAATCTGTTCAAGAACAGATTATTACAATTTGGCACTAAATTGAAATTCAATTTGAAATTTTCATAATACATTTTAATTGAAAGCGTCTAAATCAGAATATAAACCAAATACTTAAAACAAAGAGCAGCACTTGTCAAAAGCCATCAAAGAACTCAAATAGATTAGCTAAAATAGTGCTAATTAAGACTGTGGAGGAAAGCAGCTAAGAAAATCTCTGTTAAAATTGCCAAGAGGGGTTAGGAGGGCGGTGGAAAGAGGGGAGGGGGGGTCAAGGAGGGGAGTTGGGTGTCAATAAGAAAATATAAAACTAAAGCAAAGGCGAAAGCGAAAACTTTACGGCGACAGCATCAAGTCGAGTGCATAAAACACGCTGCAATGTTAAGTTGAGTTGATCTGAAACGTTGGCAGGTGTTGAGAATCCAATGCAGCAACTCAAGTGGCATATCCCCCACCCCCTCTCTGCTTACCACTTTCTCTTCCAACCCCTCGCTGGGTGTGCAGCGTCAATGCCACTTGACACGACAAAATTCAATTTTCTGCTCGTATATAACACAAGTTTTCCACATTTTTTATTTTCATCTTCATCTCGCTCGCTAAAAAAGAAACGAATATAAACCGAATTGCAATTTAATATTTACGCGAAACGTATTCTCCGCTAAATCTATCCCCCCCCCCCCCCCCCACACTTCTTCACTCCCCTTTCAGTATGCTTTTCTATCATTCGCTGTCTGCTTTGAATGTCAAAACATATATATTTTTGCGCTTTCCTCTCGCACGTAAGCCAAAAACACTATGAAGACAAGAACGTGGCGTATACGCAATGTGCTACACGTATTAGTTGGGTGTGTGCTGCACACAACTCACATATGTCCCACAAATAAGCCCCGAGAACTTGTCGCAAGGCTAAGCATGTTTAAAGTATGTTTGTTGTCCGTGTTGCTGCATTTAAAATGTTTCCTTCTTAACAACAAATTTAAATGCCAATCCGGTTCTACTTCAAGTAGTCAATTTCATTTAGCGCATGCCATTTTTGGTTTCGTTTCCAATTGAACTGAAACAGAGAATTTTGAATCGGTTAATTTCAGTTGAGAGTTTCGGATCAGATTTGATTACCTGCTTTTAACCCATTGTGCATGAAGAAAAGATTAATTTTTGATTATTTGTATTGCAAGGGGCATTTCTATTATTATATCTCATTCAATCAATCATTCAACCAGTCAGTCAGTCATCAATCAGACTGATTGATTAATCAATTGGTCTGCCAGTCAGTCAGTGAGCCACTCTGTCAACATTAGTCTGTCAATCAGTCATCAGTCAGTCAATCAGTTCTATCAATTCTCAATTAGTATGTTAATCAGGCTGTCAATTAGTCTCTCTTAGGCAGTATATGAATTATTGTGTTAATCAGTCCGTCAATCAGTCAGTTAGCCGTCAAGCAGTCAATCAATTATCACCATCAATCAGTCACTCAGGCTATCACTCTGTATGTCAGTGAGTCTGTCAAGCACTCAATCAGTCTGTGAGTCAGTCACTCAACAGGTCAGTCTGTCAATCAGTCAACAGTCAGTCAATCAATTCTATCCATTATCGATTAGTCTGTTGATCAGTCTGTCAATTAATCCGTCAATTAGAATCTCTTAGGCAGTATATCAATTATTGTGTCAATCAGTCAGTTAGTCATCAATCAGTCAGTTAGTCATCAATCAGTCAATCAATTATCACCATCAATCAGTCACACAGTCTATCACCCTGTCTGTCAATGAGTCTGTCAAGCACTCAATCAGTCTGTGAGTCAGTCACTCAACAGGTCAGTCTGTCAATCAGTCTCTCTCGATTTGATGATATTTTGTTTGAATAATTTTCATCAGATCTTCTTGTTAATGATGATGTATTTATTTGCTTGTGCTTGCAGTAACATTCGGGAGGGCATCATCCGATGCATCCTGGCCACCGATATGGCTCGCCACAACGAGATCCTTACGCAGTTCATTGAGATAACGCCCACCTTCGACTACAACAATCGTGCGCACATCAATCTGGTAAGCAGGGCAGTTTAAGCACTGCTTATCTACAAACAGTCTCCATCATCTTCATCTTCTTCTATTTCTACTTCTAATTATGTTTATAGCTGTGCATGATCCTGATCAAGGTGGCGGACATTTCGAACGAGGCCAGGCCAATGGATGTTGCCGAGCCGTGGCTGGATCGGCTGCTGCAGGAGTTCTTTGCCCAGAGTGCCGCCGAGAAGTCTGAGGGATTGCCGGTGACGCCATTTATGGATCCCGATAAAGTTAGCAAGCCGGGCTCCCAGGTGCGATTCATTGGACTCGTCCTCTTGCCCCTCTTCGAGGCACTCGGCGAACTGGTACCGGAACTCACCGAATTGATCATTATACCCGTGCGCATTGCACTCGAGTATTACAGGTGAGTTATTTACAGCATTTCTGTTTGTTGCTGTACAGTCATCAGTCATATTGTCATCTCAACTACTCACTCCTATTCTGATCTGTGTGCTTTCGTAGGCGCCTCAACGATGCGCAGACAAAGACACGCAAATCTGTGGCAGATAGCAATACGTCTGCCACATCGGACAGCAACAGCGGCAACATGGACTCGAATGCTGCCCTGATCACAACGAGCAACAGCAATGCCGACAAACTGGACAAACAGCAGCCGGCATCCGGCGGACAGGGCCAACTAAGCGGCACAGGCGTTGGTGCTGGTGCAGCCGGCGGAGGAGGCGCAGGCGGAGCAGGATCTGCTGGCGGTGGAGGCGGAGGTAGCTCACCACAAATGGGGCGCTCCAGCTCCGGAATGAGCGGAAAGTCGCGTCGCAGCATCCCCTCCCAGAAGTCCGCATCGCGCACCTCCGTCGATGAGCCCGGTGGAATGGCCGCCGAGCTGCACGATCTGCCCGAGGGCAGTGAAAGCGGTGACTCCGAAACTGCCACAGAGGTTGATGTAAGTTTTCGGTTGCAACTTGCAGATTGCAACAATAAAACAAATCCACAGAAAGCATATAATCAAGTAGCGGAAGTAAGAAGACAGAAGCATCTCTCAGCCCATATTCTATATATATTCTTGATCAGAATCAAAAGCCTCTGCAAGAACTAGAGACTATAAATTTGGAATACCCTACATGTATCGAGTTTATTTCGTTTTATCTATAACCTATCCCGCTTTTAAAGATTTCTAATCGGGCATGGATAATATGATAATCTGTTCAAATTTCATTAATATCAGTTAAGAAGTTATAGATGAGGGTATCGAGCTGGTCGAGCTCTCTGCGCTAAAACATTCTTGTATCCTGATTAATTATTAATTGTTGTGACATATCTGTTTAATTGCCAGGTGGCTGAGATGACATCCAAGTTCAAAGTGGACACCGAGGGCTGCAGCAATCGGAGTAAATCATCGCACTCGACCTCAAGGAAATCGTCGAGGGAGAAGCGCCCCTCAATGATTGGCGAACTGTGCAGCAGCGGGGGCGGACAGCGGATGCGCAGCTCGTATGGCAACATTGGTCAGACTGGCTACCATCCGAATCGTTGCCACTTTGGGAGCAATCGGGCCGTCAGCCTGGACCAGTACAGCACCAACAATCGGCGACTGTCCGACGGACTGCCCCAGGTCATCTCCGACAGCAATGTCTTCTATGGGCGACCGACGCAGGCGCATGCCGCTGGCGATTTGAATATGAATGTGAATCAGGCGGCGCCCGTTGTGCAACAGCCGCACTTGCAGCACCAGCATCAACAGCAGCAGCAACAACAGCAGCAGCAACAGCAGCAGCAGCCAGCACATATGCTGCTGCTATTGCCAGCAACAACAACAACAGCGACAACAACAACAGCAGCAACAGCAACACCAGCAGCAGCAGCAACAGCAACAACAGCAACGGTTGCTAATGCAGCCACTTCGAATGGGAATATATCGCCCACGCTCAATCAGACCAGCAATGGTAGCGCAACGGCAGCAACTGTTGTTGCAACGAATGCACAACAGCAGCAGCAGCAACAGCAGCAGCAGCAGCAGCAGCAACAGCAGCAGCAGCAGCCGGGTGGCAGCAGCACCAGCACCAGCAACTCTTGGAAGTCACGTTGGCGTCAATTCTCTGATTATTTAAGCTTTAGCTTTGACAAGAGCAACAAACGTTTTGGCAGCACACGCAGCAGTCCATCGTGTGGCACACGTGGTGGCAACAACAATGCCGCCAACAACATGGCCGAGAATGCTGATGATGCGGATATTGCTGGCTCAGCAGCAGCAATGTGTTGCAGCAACATTTCGAATAGTCTACCCTCACCGGGCGTTATCCAAATGCAGGTGGGCATAACTAGCACCGGTGGTGGCATTGGCGGTGGCGTAGGCGGTGCCGGAGGCGAGGGCATGGCTCGATTGCGTGCTTATAGCCTGGATGTGCCCAGCAATCGGCATACATCATACCCATACTCGTCGGGCGACAGTAGCAGCCGTTGCGGCAACATGAGCAACAACAGCAACAATACGCTGCACAGCAGCAGCGGCGGCATCGTTGCCACACGCATTGGCAGTACTGAAGATGGTTCCAGCAACCCAACAGCAACTGTTGCTGGTGCTGGTGCTGGTGCTTCTGCTATAACAGCTGAAGGCGTTACGGCTGCTGCTGCGGCTCCAGCATTGCTGGTGCCGAGTTTTAGCGGTGAGCTGGGCGTGGGCAGTGTCTCCTTGTCGGAGACGGCGCCAAAGATTTGACAAGAGGCGAGCTCCGATACGACGACCAACAATAGCAACAACACAAACACTAACAATTCAATGTGCAATCAGGCCATATTTCATTCAGCCGAAGCGGAGGCGATTATCAATGACAGCGATAACGATAACGATTCGGATGGCGATGGCAGCGATGCAGATGCACTGCACCAGGACACATCCAGCTGCGAGATGTCCTCAATGTCAATGACCGTTTGGTCAGCCATTGGCCATCGGCTCAATGCGCTCGTCTGTCATTGCTGTGAACGGAAATTGCCGGAACCGGAGAATGTGTAAACAGTAATCAGTAACCAGTAGTCAGTAGTCAGTAGTGAGTAGCTCTGTAGCTGTATAGCTGAGGACTACGAGGTGTTGGAGGAGTAGTAAGAGGCACCAAATAGGAACTACTACATAACATACATACAACCACCACATGCACATGCAATACAAAGAAGGAGCACAGCAAGCACTGCATTGCTGCGTCTATCGTTTATCGATAACAACACAACAAGCAAGAGCACATCACTCATCGCTTATGGGTAAACGATAACAGACACAAACACACATCTACACCAAGCCTGTCATTGATTATTTCTGATCGTTTAATCGCTATCGATATCGATATCGATAACAGCCGACGCGCCGCTCTTCAAGTTGCAACAATTTTGATGCAACTTTTCTGTTTTTTTTTTATGTTTTTCGTTTTTTTTTTTTATGTTTGTCTAGCAATTATTTTAAATCAATTATACACACCCACAATTTATACATTTGGACATTATAAGAAATATGTTTAATTATGTTTATGATTTTTGCTATATATATTGTATACATATATATCTATTTAAATATTATATATCGATATCTATTATTATGCCTATATACAATTACTATTTTTATTACAACTCGCTAGTATTATTTATTTCATTTAACAGATTTTGGACTTACGTTTAATATCTATATCTATATCTATATCTATATATATATCTATATCCATATGGATGCATAAGCAATAAGTGTTGCACAGCTGTCAATTGCCTCATTCGGTTGCCTGCCACAAGCAATTGTCATCCAATTGTCATTCGATATAGTGTGCACTGATTAGCCCAAAGTCAGTTTCTAGCTGCCCCCTTAGGCTGCAACACGTAGCTCATTGCGGCACCACACACAGACACGTGCTGTTGCATGGCCAAAATGCATTTCGCATCGCCTTTAATTGCGCAATAACACAATTTTTGCATTTTGCATACGCAATTCGGTGCCCCAGTGCAATCAGTGTGCCACAAGTTGCCTACCACACGCACTCAGAAAAAATCTTAAGCGCATTTCGAACTCACTTCAAGAACAAAGAAATATGCCACACCAGCGAACAAATATTTTTAATTTCGATATTTGTGTTTTGCAATTCGAAATTTTTCAACAACTTTATAATTAAATAAAATATTTAAGTCTTAAGTTTTCAGTTTCTTAAATTAATGCTGATAGCATCATTGAGTCGAGCTCTTAAATACCTTCCTAGTATAAGCTTCAAATAAAGCTGAGTTGACTTGAATTATGAATTTAAGTTGTTAATTTTTTTTTTACACTTACTTCAAGTACAAAAATTCTTAAGAATTGTGTATAATTTACTTGATGAATTTGTTTGTTTGAAGTTGGTAGGGCGGTTTTTCGCTGAGTGCACTGTGGAAAACTTGCATCTATGTGGTCCACCTAACTTCATTTGCTAGTGCGGTGGTTTTCGTGGGCCACAGCGGGAGGTGCCACATGTCCTGTGCTGTGGTGCTGGCTGTGGTAATGGTACTGCTGGTTCTGCCTGTCTCGCCTCAATGGACTATTTCGAGTATTTTAGGTATTGGCAGCCGATTTCACCTTGCGCCACTTTATTGAAAATCATAGTGTGGAGAAATTGAATTTGCCAGCAGTTGGTTGCTGTTGCTATTGCTGCAACTGCATGTGGCACACAATTAAGAGCCAGCGAATTGCACCAGCTGCATTCAAGTGGCATCATCATTGGCAGCACATCCTGCAGCTATATCCTGGGGTAATGTACATAAAAGTGTGTATAATCTGTTTATCTGATTTTTGAAATGGATTCCCAATTTGCTGTTGCCCTCGAATCTCTACCAATGTAATTATGTTGCCATGTGTACTCTACCAATCAGTCAGCCATTCAATCGTTAGTGGTTAACTTCTAAATATGCCTGGATGGATCCTTGATTGGAAAGTCTACAGATCAAATAAAAACACAGCCAAATGCGTAAAATTTGTTTGTTTGAGTTGTGATTTTCAATGCAATTAATTCTCTTAGCTTACCCATTTTTTAGCTTCAGTTTTTTGTTTAGTGTTTTTTTTTTCACTTCATAGTGAGCAGTCGATGTCTCCATCACACAGACACACACACACACACATACACACCCACAGACACACACACTCACACACACATATATTGCTACGGTGCGGTTAGAAGTGCATTTCCGGCTAGATGGCAATGAAGGAACTATTTCGAAAAATCCCACGAAAATAATAAGAAAAATCAAGAAATTTACAAAACATAAAAATGTAAAGAGAACTTTAAAGATAACTACATATCCTCAGACAGGATATAAAACACAATGCAAGTCAACCAAAAATTACGAACAAAAATTAAAAAGGGGCAAATCAAGTCCAAGCTGAGAGAAAAGCAAAACCAAAAAAATGGAAAAACAAAAAATAAACAAACCAATTTATAAATATCAATGTAAATTTCTGTATGTAATTATGTTAAATGTACTATAAACACACACACAGGCACACACACACATACATACACATACATACAACGCTCACATTTGCAGATGCATCTGTGTTGCATACTTTTTAGCGCCACTGTGGATTTAAGAGACGTTTCACAAACATAGGAATAGACAATTTGAAATGCAGAGAGATATTCAATTGAACCAAGCTGGAACTTGGCCAACCACACACATACACACACACACACACATATATATATATATAGTATAGATGTAAATGTAACTGTTACTTCATATAGAGCTTTGATTTTCTTTTGTCTAGTTTTCTTTTCGAGTTTGCTTTACTTATACATATTAGAACTTAAGCAGAACAATGCAAATTAAATGGAGAAAAACAAAAAGAAACAACACAAAGTAAAACAAAGGAAAACAAGTAAACCTAAGACTTGATACACGACTACAAAAGAGATATGCAAAAGAAGCAAAGAAAATGGAAAATGTGTGCAAACGTTTTTCTTCGTTTCTTTTTTTTTTTTGATAACTTTTAAATGTCTAGCAGAGAAATGCAAATATGAATAATCAGATATATATATATGTATGTATATGTATATGTAAATTTATCAGAAATATACGTATATTTATGTGTATGTTTAATGTAAGTGTAATACATACCATATTTATCAATATGATTATTTTTTTTTAATTGTTTTAAGTGTCATCATTGTCATCATCATCGTCGTCGTTGTCGTCGTCGTTGTTGTTGTTGCTGTTAGTATTATTGTTGTTGTTGTTGTTGATAGGCAAAGCATAGAATTGGCATAGGCAACACTGAGAAAAGCAAAAGTGTTAACTAAACTAACCACAAATATTATTTATGTATGTTAATCTACAACAACATCATCCACAACATAAAAACAGTTTGCTTGAAATCGATGTCTATTTTTGCTGTAGTTAGACAGAGCTCTACACTCACACACACACGCACACACACACACACACACACGCACACACACAGACATAGATATGATGCGAAAAATACTATAGATTAATCTTCGATTTGTAGATATACACGATGTGTATGTAGTTTAATTTAAGTATTGCTTTCAACATCTGGATTACTCTTAATTTCCAGTTAATGTTGCTGTTGTTGTTGTTGTTGCCTTACTTGCAACACCCACGTTGGAGTATGTGTGTATATGTATATATATATATATATACATATATAGGTGTGTGTGTGTGTGCTTGTGTATGTGAAGGCCCTCGACTTGTACATGTGTATTTGGTTCAAAAAGCCATAACTTCCCTTGTTTAATGAAAAACATAAAGACTAAACTTGAATTTACAAAACCTTTCCAAACAAAACAAAAACAAAAACAAATTTAAACTATGTATCTTAAAAGTAAACTTACAAGAAAAAAACAAAAACAAAACTCTAGGTGTTTTACAAATGTATAAAATTTTAAAAGAAAATGTTAAAAAAAAAAAAAAACAAAACAAAACAATCAATAAAAAACATTTTAAGCATAATTTAATTAGTCTAGACTTAAAGAACAAAAAGAAACAATGAAAAATGACAAACAAAAAAAATGCTTTTCGATGTACAATTTAAATGTTAGTCAACATTTTGGCAGTCAATTAAACGAAAAACAAACCACGCTTTCTCCTTAACCCCCCAAACACCACCCACCCACCCACCCACCCTCCCCGTCCCCCTAAACAAAAAAAAAAGTAATAATAATAATGCAAAACAAAAAGGTGAAGAACATTTCAGAATTTATTGGAAAAAACCCAAAAGTGCAAAAATGTTTGAAATATTTTCAAGAAAACACAAAAGAGAAGTAAAAATGGGGAAAATTGAAATTCGAATTGAAGATGATTTGTGGGTTTGGGCAACTAATTGTTAACGGGAGGAATACGAATAGTTAAGCAACAAAAAGATGTTAAGACATTAGCAATTTGGACCAAAACTAACAAAGCTCTCTCTTCTTTTGACTAGCAAACCTAACACATACACTGGAAAAAAAACGGTGAAGAATTATTAGTACTTTCTGGTACTTGTACTTGATAAATAGGTGAATTTAACCTGTAAAAGAGAAAAGCATAGTAACAAAATATATATATGTATACACACATGTATCTCTGAACAACACAACTACCTGTCTGCCTAACAAACTAACTAACTAACCGATCCTATATCGTCGTTGATCGTTGATTGTTGATCGTATACCGTATATCGTCTATCGAGTATTGATTTGATCGCCCAGACATATATTTGCACACTCTTCTTTTGTTAAAACACGGGAGAAGAATCAAAAGCATATAACAGGCAGAAGAAGCCAATAAATATATACAATATATGCATATATAGATTCCTGCTCAGGACCAATAGCCGAATTGACTTACCCATGTCCGTTTGTCCGTCTGCATAAACAAACCAAGATTTCAGAGCAAATCAAATATAGAGACTCCATATTTGCATTATTATTTCTCGTATAACATTTGCAGATCAAGATTATTTAATTTTTTTTTTAAACTGACTCCTTTTCTTATTCAATTCTTATATAATGTAGCCTGACATATTATTGATATTGAAGGAAATTTTAATTGCCTGCTTTCCATATTCTGGAGCATATATTTTTGTATCTGGGTGAACCATATAGACAACAAACTTCAATAGAGAAACTTCAGATATGTACACACACATTTACTATATACATCTATATCAGGCAGTAGAGTTTTGACAATTGACATTACCAAATTCCAAGCTCAAAAGGCGTCTCAATAACCACCGATAACGGACCAGAGTAGTGCATCAGAAGCGCTTCCCCAACATCATTCATTATCGTTATCGTTATCGTTATCGAGACATAATACTACCACTAGTATCGATAATGCTAGAGAACATGTAGCTGTGTTGCCTGAGACACAAATAAATGAATACTTCCCTTGTATTTATATTGCCTTTTCTAACCTTAACTTTATCTCTCTCACTCTCTCTCACTCTCTCTCACTCTCTCTCTCTCTCTCTATCGCACAGACACACACACGCACACTGATAGAAATGTGCACACGAGCTATTAGAGGAAGATACATTTAAGTGCATAGACTATATTCTAAGTACTATATACAGACTATACTATACACATATATATATATATGTATATATATATATACTAGAGACCCTCCTGAACTTAAAGAAAACCAAAAGCCTTTAACTCAAAAACAAAAATAAAGAGACTACATTTTATTATACAAAACAAAAAAGAAACGAAAAGAAAAGAAAAGAAAAGAAAAGAAAGAAAAACAAGGGACACGGATCGGAACCGAAAACTTCAATGCAAACATTTTAAATCGAGTATCTGCATGAGTCGTATGAGTTGATATGAGTGCAACTTCGAGTACTACTCGCACTCATACACATACTCACACATGTATTATATACACACTTGGATTGGCAAAGCATTCTTCGGCAGGCCGAAGCTTTGATGCTCCATTGCTCTCTCTCTCTCTCTCACACACACTCTCACTCTCTCTCTCTCTCTTTTCACATATACACACTCACAAGAAAACACACTGCAAACAAATATCAGGTAAGAAGTTTCAAAATACATTCAATTACTAAAAGTATGCAAGAGAAAAAAAATCGGAAAAGACAAAGAAATACATATACGAAAAAAAAAAACTAAGAAAATGATTCGAATGCAGGCTGCTTTTTCTTTCAGTGGATAACAATGAACAGAAGAACTCTATATACATAATGCTATAAGTATTTTCAAATTGTATGTCAATGATACCAATCTATTAACATATATGTATACACATATTGAATAGAAATATAAAAGAATATATAAATAATAAAAATAATAAATATATATATATATATATATATATTTGTATATATATACTTATATATATATACAACAAAAAAAAAAACAAAACAGAAAGAAATATCTATTATGCTTAAGCGAACATTTATGAAAAAAGAACAGAAACCTAATAGGATCCTTAAGCACACAAAACTAAAGAAAAGAATTGTTGAACAAAGAAAAAATCCTATGAAAAATATACTAAAACGATAAAGTAAAATGATGTGGAATCAATTATATGGAATACCTATACAAAAATAAATGTGGTAGCAACTAGCGCGAATGTTAGGACATAGGACAACAATTTAAATAATTACATACACCAACACCCACACCAACACATACAAACATAAGCAACAACAAAAAATACCAAATCACACACACATTACATAGAAAGAATACAAAGAAGAATACAAAGAAAATACTGCAACTTTCCATGCACAACGCGTTGTTTAAGTGACAAATACATATACTTATTAGCAGCAACAATTATTATGTGTAAAATACCATATAAATACCCGAAAAATAATGAAAATACCAACAAAAAAAAAACGAAAAACGCATTTCTATTTCAGCTTACCATCAAATAAACACAAAACAAAGAGAAATACAAAATCGAAAAATGCATTCGAAATACTATAAAACGAAGTAAATAAGAAATACTAAGAGAAAAACCAGTTGGAAACTATTTACAAGCGGCTTGAAAAGTGAAAATGTTACAAAAATGATAAAAATGGCAATTGAAAAGCATACCTAAGTATATAAAAGAACAAAAATGACGACAAGTCTAACTTGTTACGAAATATCGAACCCAAAGAATCTCATTTCAAATGAATACATATAAATATGCATACGATAAATAAATACCAAAGAAAGAAAAGCAAACACACAAAAAACAAAAAACATAAATGATGAAAAAACCACTATATATATATATATATATGTATATATATATATGTGTACATTGGATGAACTTAAATGCATTAGCGACAACAATAAATGTTTTAAGTACGACAAACATACAGCATACATAAATATCAACTCTTAACTACAACAACAACTACACACACTCACACACAATTGAAAACAAACAAACAAAAAAAAAATATATATATATATGTATGTGTATTACAAAAAATATGTGTTTACTTGGAAAAAAAATAACCATACATGCAAAACTTCTCCCAACAAGCAGCAAAGCAAATCTTGACAAACATTCTACACACAAGAGTGAAAAAATAAAACAAAAAAACAAAAACAAAAATAAAAACAAAAAAAAACAAAATAAAAATATACAGAAAATTACTAAAAATAACAAGAACAAAAACTATAACAAAAAGTTTACCAGTACTTTTCTGAAATGCATTTAAATGGAAATATTCAAAAGTAAAAAATTGTATTTAACATTTAAGTCAAATGTCCAAAAAACACGACTTTTTTTTGGGCAAATGTGAGCTCGAGTCTGAGTTCGAGTACAAGCATCGAGTACACTCGAACTGCAAACGAGTGCACTCACTCAATTCACTCACTCACTCACTAACACACACACACACACACACAAACAGACAGACAGACATACACACACTCACACACACACACATACATACACGTATTTTTGTGTAAGAGTTTAAAGAAGAGCAGAAAATATGAACTACTGATTAATATGAAATATATTGAAATAAAATAAATTTCCAAACTAATACAAAACAAGTTTTTGCAATATAGTTCGAGAGAATATTTTTGCAAATCTGTGCGAATATGGCTGTGATCGAGCTATTTTTGCAAAAAAGAGAATCGCTTTTAAGGCATAACTCGGCCATACCCTTAAGGATCTTCACAGAATGGAGCTCATACGAAAATTGACTCTTGTTTGATATTCAAATAGTTCACAAGGAGGTAAGTCAGAAAAAATGAGAAAAAAACCAGACGAGGCAAGCTCTGCCATTTGGATGTCCATGGAAGTCCTTTGCATAAAAAAAAATAGTCCTTGGTCTGAAAATTTGAATAAAAAACTAGGAAAATAACGGTACTTTAAACTTTAAATAAAAAAATGGCTCATAGCTTAGCCATATTCCTAAAGATACTTTCGATTCCAACTGGCCAAAGGACATTCCAAGAAAACAGGAAATTTTTGAAATCGACTCGTATCCGTTCGCACTGCGATTTTAATTTTAAGAGTCTGAATTCTTAGATGACCATAAACCTTCGATAGAGGAGCTCCTTAGAAATCTAATCATCCTGCACATCCTTTAAAAAACCGCCAAAGATATGGACGAATTGCAACCTTTTTTTAGCTTGAGAGCAATTTAGCCAATACAGCAACCCAATTGCGTGTAACTGATGCATGTACCTGCTGTCACCAACGGCAATCTGCTAGGTAAACGGTGCTTGAAGGAAACGATACTTAAAAATACATTTTAAACAAAATCAGGACAACTTAACTTTCTGTTGTAGATCCTACTAAAATTGGATATAAAGCTTTTAGTTGGCCTCATTTTAAATATTTACCCTTTGTTTTAAAAGCTCTTTTGTTCTGTAGCAAGTCCTCAGTCCCAAAAGCTGCATTTTGAAAGCTTTGAAAGCTTTGTCCTGCAACCCGCTGCCAGCATGTTTGAATGCTCGAGTTTGATGAGATGACAGCGTTTGTTAAATGAGTTCTTCAATATATATTCCAATGTCATTAATATGTGTATATGTAACTAAAACAAACAAAACAAATATAAAGTTTTTTTTGCAGTTAATAATTAAATTTTAAGCGCAAGAGTGAAGTGCATGTTGGGCCAGTTCGGTTGCAACAGGTTCGTGTTCGACACGGTTACAAGTTGCCGTTCGCATTGGCATTGACGTCGCCGTCCCAAAAAAAAAGAATGCCAAACGTATTTCAGTTGACATTTACAAACGCGACGCTGCAGTCGCTGGCGACGCTCGACTCGACCAGTCTCTCTCTCTCTCTTAGCTCGCACTCGGCTCGGTTCGTCGCTGAACAGTTTCGCAGCAGGCAGTAGCAGTGGCAGAACAAAAGCAACAATAGTCGTAAAAGTTGTTGGTTGAAACAGTTGCTGTTGCTGCCGTTATTTTTACACCAGTTGTTGTGTTTCCATTCGCTTTATTCCATTTCAAACTCAACGTGCGTTTCTCACTTTCCCTCTCACTCTTTCTATCTCTCATTTTTGTTTTGTTTTCAAGTGTGTGTACGTGTGTGTGTGTGTGGGTATGAGTGTAATTGTGAGTGTAGTAATTTTTGTACTGTTTGTTGTTGTTATTGAATTTGTATTTTTAGTGCTCGCGTGCGAAATTCGGTGTCAAAAAAAGCGAAACAATTTTACGTGAGAGATGTGAGCAGAAGAAGCAGAAGAAGCAGAAGAAGAAGGCCTTGAAATGTCCTGAAACAGGCCAAAAAATGAAAGGCAGAAAAAACAACAACAAATAACAGAAAATCAATGTGCCAGTGCGTATGTGTATGCGTGCGCGTGTGTGTGTGTGTGTGAATGTGAGTGTGTGTGTGTATGTGAGTGTGTGCAAGTCGAAAGAAAATCCATAAAGCGCGCTGCAAAACTCATCGTCGTCGCAGTCGAGCTATGCGAATAATTTATAAGATTGAAATTAAAGACACCAAAAAAAAGTGCTTGCTTTGCTGTTCGCTCGCACTCGCTCTCACTCTCTCTGTCTCCCTCTCTCTCTCTCTCTCTCTCTCTCTGTAGCAACCACAAGAGGCTAAAAGAAGACACATGCATATTGCATACATACATACATATACAAAGAATTTCTTGGCAGCCCAAAATGCCGAAATGCCGCACGGCAATTCCCTTCTCCTTCCCCTTCCCCCCGACCAGCACCACTCCTACCTTTTGGCCACGCTGCAAAAATGTTGTAAACATGCGAGGCCAATGCTGACGTCGCTGCCAACAGAGACGCTGGCAGAGGCACAGACAACGGAACAGCTGATACGCCTTGGGGCAACTCACACAAGCACACAAAGTCAAAGAGTGTGTGTGTGTGTGTGTGTTTGGAGTTTGGCAACACTGCAGCAAATTACTATGCAAGAAACTCTAAGTAGCGAGTAAAAGTGTATAGCGAGTAGAAATTAACACGAGTCCATTTATTAAATTGAAAATGCTCGAAAGCAGCTCCAAATAGTTATCATCCTAAAATAATAATCTTTCTGACTCCTTAAATTAAAAGGAGATCATTTCAAGTCCAGCACAAACTTAAAAGATAAATTTAGCAAACAGTTTTTTTCACCAATTTTCAACATTCATTTATCGAAATAAAAATATACGAATACAACTCAAAATAGAAATCATCATTGAATATAATTTGTTGTGACATTTTGTTAAGCTCCTTAAATTGAGAAAATAGCATTTCATAGTCAAGTCCAGCACAAACTTATATGGAACATTTAAAACAGAGAATTTTTACCAATTTTCAACATTCATTCTGATAAACAAATATGCAAAAGCAACTCCGAATTTAAACTTTAATATTGAGTATATTAAGAAATTGAATTGAAAATATATTTCACGGTATATTGTGTATTTTCAACTTAGACTTTAAGCATATTTCACTCAACTTAATTGACATTCTAATGCGTTAATTCAATTAACATATTTTGCCCGGTTGGTGCACAATATTTCTTGACACTTTCTTGCTGTACTCGACTTGAGCAGCTTTGAGAGATGTTTAGTGCAGTCAACATGAAAGTGCCTATTACACTCAGCGAAATCAGGTTACCAAAAATAAAACATATGTTGCTTAGCTGTTAGCCAATTTACTCAAAATAAAGATGGAAATATTTAAATTGATTGAGATATATTTGGATTCTTAGCTATAATAACAAGTGCGATATTAAAATAGATTTCTTGCCCAAGGTTCAAGAATCTTAACCGGTTGCAGTACCAAAAGTGTAGAAAGTTCCCTTATGTTACTATATACAAATGTCGATTCCTGTAACTGTGTGAAAATGTTGAATTTCGGTTACGATTATGAAGCTTAATCGGTAAAGTTGTGTTGGTTCCGGTTCCTGCTTTTGGTTTTTTTATTCATTATTATCATTATTTCGTTTCGCTTTGTGTAAGCGCAAATGAAGGCCAAACAACGAGCGAGGGAGTGAGAGAGACAGAGAGGGAGAGAGAGACAGAGAAAGAGAGAGAGCTGAGCCAATCAAACTTAACTATGTCGAACTTCTTCTGCACAGTGTGACGAAAACACCAACAATAACAGCAGCAACAACAGCAACAACAACTGCAGCTCAATTTTCAGGCAGTGTAGGAGGCGGAGCTGCAAGAGGAAGAGAGGATTAGGCAGTGGCAGAGTGGAGGCGGACAAAGTGCAGCTGCAGCTGCCAAGTTCAAAATCAACGCCTGACAATGACAAAGCGCTCCGTTGGGCGACAAGCAACAACAACAACAGCAGCAGCAGCAACGTGTCGCCCGCCAGCAACAACAGCAGCAATCAAAGCAACAACAGCAGCAACAATCAATGAGCGCAGCACGAGCTGGCGTCGACGCTGCGCAACAACAACAACAACTGGAACAGGAGCAACAACAACAACAATGCAGTTGAGTCGCGCATCGTTTTACTCATCGCTGCCGGCATGTGGCATGTCCTGGCTGCTGTTCGTTCTGTGTCTGCTCGGCTGTCTGTGTTGTTGCACAGGTAATTATCGTGCCCGTGGCATGCCTCACACACACTTGACACTTGATTCGCATGACAACCCCAGAACCCCAATCTGATCCATCTGCTTGGCACACCGAGTGCCTCGTTAAAGGCAAATGAACGCTTGACGTCGATCACTTATTACTCATCAGTTACGTAGTTATGCATTCTGCTTACGTTCTTACGTTATGCATTACGTTACTACGCCAAATTATAGTATTATAGTATGTTATGAGTATTTCATTTACAAATAATCTGCCGTTATGTATTTGTATAGTGACGTAGTGCATTACGTTATTACGTTATATGGGATTGCCTTATGTTCCTACATAACGTGTTACGTTAATAAGTGGCAATTTACTTCAAATAATTTATAGCAATTCATCTTCAATTACGTAACGCTTACGTAATGAAGATTAACATTACGTCATATGTCTTACGTTATTACGTCATGCACTACGTAAAGAAGTGACAAGTTGCTCCAAATAATTGTTAACAATTCATCTTCCATTTAATAAGCCTTACGTTATGACGTAGTACTTTACGTTGTTACATTATATTATATTGCCCAAAGGTGCTTACGCATCGTATTCAGCTCCTAAAGATTGAATAAAAACAAGAAACCCAACAGATAGGCGACTACGACTAAGTTTACAATTTGCGCTGCAAATTATATATATATTTTTGTCAAATTATTTGATCGATCTATGGTTCCGTAATGTGTTCCCTTATGTTACGATACTGCTACGTACCGTAATGCTGTAACGCGACGATATTTTGGTTAGTAATCGTATCAGTTCCGGTTACTGGTTCTTACACAAACTTTTGAATTCCGAGTCCGGATTCGGCATCTGCATCTGCATCTGCATCTGTAACGGGGGTTTTTTTTTACTTAAGGGTTGTGGTTTCGGTTACCGTTTGACCACCCTGTATTTAGTACTAGAGATAAGTGTTATTTACGTCTCGCTTATGGCCAAGAGTCTCTTTTAGCGATTGTCCGCTGAGATTAAAGAGACTCTGGCCTTTTATAGTCCTTCAAAGCCCACCAGTCAAATAATAAATAACGCCCGAAAAACAATTGCCCCAAGAATAAATGCAAAAGGCCATTTCAGTATGCGGCGAGGAGGGGCCCAAACCATAGACGACAATGGCCTTGACATTGCAGCCAACATGCAAAGCTGTTTTCATTTTGGTATTTTTGTTTGGTTGCCATGTCGCCATGGCTGAAACACCTGACAAAGAGTGGGCAGTAGCGAGGGGCGTGGCACGCTCAAATTTTTAGCACTTGTGCAACAGCAAAACAGCAACTGCAATAACAGCAACTGCAACTGCAACAACAGCAACTTTGTGCGAGCAACAACAATACAAAAATTTGACCATATTTTTCTGGCCTTTACGGAACAGAACAAAAAATAAAAAGTTTTCATTATAGAAACGAACACAGACAACATAAACAGATGACTACTTTTCGATGGCTAAGCACAGAGAGCAGCAGAACAGAAAATCAACAACTCCAACAATCATTTGATACCCTTTCCTTTTTAGCTGACACATACAGAATGTGACGCGCTTTGGACTTGTAGTTTACCCTATTGTTTTGAGATTTCTTCCACATCATCAGCGGGAAACCTCTGAGCGTGCTTCGCTGTGTTAATCTTGCCATATTCCACAAATCCAGAGATTTACCTATCTTTTCCTTATTCGATGTTTCACACTTTATCTCTGCCTTTCTCTATTCTTGGCGTTTTTTACTTCCCCTTTTAATAAGCGACAAACGCCTATCAATTATTGGTTTGACTTGGGTTCATTTCTGGGTTTCCCCAATCCTTTAAATAAATATTTGACCATTTTACATTTGAATACATGAGAATTGATGTCCTTTATCTGATTTTGTTTGTCCTTAATTTTAAATTTGGAATTTAATTTATCCATTTAAATTCAATACTCGCATTGAATTCGGAAATTAAATAATAAATTTAAAAACTGTGAACTGTTGTTAGTTGACAATAAATAAACTTCAATTAAATAAGCTTACTTAAAAGTATTTAAAAATCATTTCAAACTCCTCTTAAAGCTCAGCTAAAACTTATTTAAAAAATAATTGCAGACAACTTCGAGTTGTGATATTGCTTGGAGCATATAGAAAAAATATACAAATACAAAAGTGTAGACAATTTTAAGTTGTAATTTGTTATGAAGGGTATACAAATGTCGGTGTTTGCGTGCAAATTAAACTTTTTGCCAGTTGCTTGTTGTTATTGACGCACATGTGAAAAGTTTTTGCCAAACTATTTATTTGTGGTCCTGGTGGTCCTGGTGGGCAGCATTGAGTTGTCGAGTTGTTCTGTTGTTCTGTTGTCGAGTTGTTGCTGCTGCTGTAGCTGTAGCTGTAGCTGTAGCTGCCACAAGGCACAACAATCTCAAGTTGCCATTTCTCGGCCTCGTCCGTTTGGCAGCAATTCGCATTCTTCTCTCTGCATAAAGCAAACATTTTATTGGCAAGTTATGCGCAGCTGAGTTATGGAAAATCATTAGACAAGGATGTCAAGGCGGAAAAGGTCGAGTTCATAGAAGCATACCCCCAATACAATATACAGAATGGAACACAAGCAACAACAAAATGAGAGAATTTCGCTCTTTTTTTTTTATTATCTCTCATTTTATGGCTAAAATAGGCTAAAATATACACATAGATATATGTGATTGAAGCAAGCAAACGAGTCCTTTGCTGATACGCTTTACACTTGTTTCAAGTACAAATATGCTTCTGGCTGAATTTGGAATCTGCTCACTTAATTATGCAACATTTAGTGCAACGTCTAATCCAAGTGCACTTTCGCCCACTTATGGCTAACTTATTAGTTGGATTATGGCCAACTGCTATCAACTGCAGCTAACAGATTACATCAAGATTTGCTCAGCTGGGCCAAATGACCAGCGACGAGCGACAAGCGGCAGGAGACAGGCGACAGACGACAGGCGACACAATTCAGTCAGGACATCAGACGTCAGAGGACGGACAAGAAATCGAGTCGAGTCATTTTGGATCGATAGTTGGCTGTTGGGGTAGCAACTGCACCAGCTGCTAATTACACAGTCAAACAATCCGAAAGTGCGACACACGATACACCCACACACTCACACACACACTCACACACAGCACACATACACACAGCACACATACACAAAAAACACATAAACAACCATACACGCTCATAGACAATATGCAATTGGTAATTGACAGCGATAACTGTGTTGATTGACGAGCAATCAAAGCCATTTCACATTCAAACTGCATGCGTTTAGAGTACGTGTCGAAATGTGTCTGAGTTTTAAATTGTCCCCCTTTGAATAATGGATGTGAGTAGCGAATAGCGATTAAGAAATGTGAGTAACGAGTAGCGAGTGACAAGTGACGTGTGACGAGTAACGAGTGACGAATGACGAGTAGATAATAAGCGACGCTAAGCAACAACAGAGCAGCAGAGTATCGTTATCCGATTATAGTACGTAAAGTGTACAGATTCCGGTAAAGGTTATGAATTGGTTCAACATTCTTTTCGATATTCGCTTCCATTATCTTACTTTATAGTCAAATAATATTGATCTTAATAAAATTGGTCTTCATCAGGCAATTAATTGAAAATAATTGATAAAGACTCCGACAGAAAACTCAATTCAGCATTTTTTAAAAGAGCAGTTACAGGAACCAGTGGTACTAGTTCATTTAGTACCACAACGGAACCAAATACCGAACAAGATTAGGAACCTGTTCATAACCTCTAACTTAAAACTGCTTTTTTGCAACAGCCATGGCACTTTTTTAACGTTAGCCCAAGGATTCTTGTAGAGGGGGCTTAGATCTGGCAGGACTTGCTATGAGCACTAAGGCGAAAGGGTCGTCAGCCCACTTTGCCTACCCAGCCCGGCTTACATGCCACATGCGACATGCGACACACGTTGACAGCACGCGTCACCAGAGAACGAAAGAGAGACAGAAAGAGAGAGATAGAGAAAAAGAGAGAGCGAATTTACATTAGGCGTTTGACGTTTCACTAATTGCATTGCACAAACCATTCCAAAATGGTTTTATAATCTTTGCTTCCGTTAACAATTCAACGGCGACAACAGAAACAACAAACAGCAACAACAACACCAACAACGACCACTTTTCCTTCAAGCTATTTTTCCGCAACACACACACACACACACACACACACACAAAATCTCATTAGCGAAGACCAATAATTGCCAACACACACACACAGAGAGAGACACACATAGACACATACACACACACACACACACACACTGTGGCACTCGGTGTTAGGCACAAGCTGCAAAGTTGACGGCTGCAACTTTCTCAACGTCACAGAGCTCTGACACTGCCTGACATGCCCCTACCCTCCTCTCTCCCCCCGCTCCACTCTTTCAGCACTTTGGCATTGCCATAATGTGTTTGTGTGTGTGTGTGTGTTGCCTGTTGTTTCATGCCACAACAATTGTAACCACTAATGAACTCTCTTCTAAATGCGAGCATTTTGATGGCTCAAATTGCTGTGCCTCAAGTTGAAGTTGAAATTGAAACGCAAATTGAAGATTGATGTGCGAATTGATTTTGATATAAAATTGATATTCAAATCGTCAACTTTAAATTGAAATTGCAAATACAATTCTTCAAGAACTAAGAAAGTCTGTAAAAAGAATTAGCATAAGAATAGAAGAAAGAAACTACAAAATGAACCCATTGTTTTTTATTTTTCATTTAAATATGTGTAATTTATGTAAATCGGCGAGAATCTCGAGAAAATCGGCATACTTTGTGGCAACAAAGGTGAATCAGCTTATTGTTTAGAAAGTATATTTCCATAAAAACCAAAGTTTTTCCTTTCTGTATTTTTTTTAATTGAGGGTGAGAGTGAAAAGGTCATTTTGCCAGCAGGTGTATTTTATTTTGGAATACAAGGACAACTGCTATTGGCCTTGCTGCATTTTAAATTATACTAAATTAAATGTTGAAAATTTGTAATCAAGTCCAATTCAAATGGGATGAGTGCCAAAATTGATTTTCTACACAAATAGAACACTGGACTCCGCACACTTAATCAGATTTAGCCCCATCTCAGCAAACAGCAAACCCGCCCCCGGCACCCGAGGGACAGGTGCTTCAGCTTGAAGATACACTAACAGAAAAATACTGTTCGCTATTAGTTCTTAAATGCCCCTCCATAAAATACTCTTACATAAGTAATTCTATCCTTTCTGAAACGTCTTTGTGCTTAAAATAAGTGAAAAGCTTTGTAAAAACGCACAACTCTTGATTAAAACTATGTATATATATATATATATATATATAAATATTTAGTTAAGTACCAAAGCAAAAAACTTTCAAGTTGCTAATTTAGACACTTAAATTCTTGATTCTTGAGGAATTATTCAAGAAATTGAGTATTTTGTAAATACTTATTTTTCCTAATTTCTATTTGATTTGAGTAGAAAATTTGAGTAGCAAATCTTTGGCACTTTTTTTTTGTTGTGAGTGTATTTATGGCTGCCTTGTGAGGAGGTCACCAGCTAAATGTCATAACAAAAGCTATTTATAGGTGAACCGCATGGGTGCACATAATCGACGACACCTGCCCCACCCACCCCTCCCGAAACCGTCTCATACCATTCAAGCTGAGATTTGGTAGTGCGGTAAATGGGGGTCAGGTGGGTCCGAAAGAGCAGACAGGGAAACAACCAAGCGGCGACTCACGCAAACCAAAAGGGACATTAAAAAGTAATAAGCATAATTGTGAAATGTCGCCAAAAAAAAAAAAAACCAAAAAAGAAAGCCATGAAATAGCAAGCGACAAAAAAAAAATCACAGCACTTGGCAAAAAATAATACTAAATTCGTATTAAAGCAGTCTTGTTTCGATTAAAGAGATTTAAGAATTTTATATATTTTGACCAGGCTATATGACCAGGCTATTGCCAAGTAATTTGTGGATGCCAGGACATGTGCTAATTTTCGTCAAGTGTAGCGCGTTAGGGTGAGTTGAATGAGATTGTGGCATGTAAGGAAGCGTGACGTATACGACACGTTGGCCCAACTTTGACCCAAGACAGCTAAACTGTTTGGTCGACAGATGGCGCACAAGTTGAGCGCTTGTTTTTAATTATTCAGCAATCTCAAAGGGACCCCAGCTCGAGACGTCGTCAGCACAAAGGCCACAGCACAAAAAACCGCGTTGCCAAACAAAACGAAACAAAACGAAACAAAACAAAGCAAAACGAAACGAAACGAAACAAAAGCAATGCAAAAAGGACTGAACAAAACAAGGCGGACAAACAACTGCAACTGCAACTGCAACTGGATTGCTGCAGCCGACCAATTGTCGCCAGCCACCCAACACAACCCTTTGCCAATTGTCCGACTAGCGAAAAAATAAAAAAATTAATTTGAAAAAAACTGGCATGCAAAGAGTTTGTGGCACTTTCGCCGACGTCGACGTCGACGTCGACGCCTGACGCCTGACGCTGTTTGGCTGTTGCCAAAGTTCGTTCAGTCGTCCGGAAGTTGCTTACAACTTCGAACTATGTTTCAAGTGCCAAAAAGCATCCAGTGCGACAGCAACTGCAACTGTAAATGCACTTAGCAATGTGCACGTAGGGGAACGTGAAGGGGGTGAGGAAGAGTGTGCTTTAAGGTCGAGGCCCATTTAAATTCGCATCGGCTCAAACATGCGCTACATGGTTTGATGCTAAAAGCTCACTGCAACGAACCTGCGTCGCAACATACAACATGTCTGCTGCTGTACTAGCACACAAGCAAACATGCATGAATCGAACCAACACAAGCGAGTCCATTTCAATATCTAACCATCAATCTAGATGCTAGCATCCAAAATCCTTGACTTGAAAATATAACCAGTTTCTGTATGCAGACATACAGCTGCGGTCAAAATAATAGTGCTGCACACACATATATTTGAAAATGAAAGTCCATCAATGCATCATACTTATATTTATTTTATATATATTTTTATTAAATTATAATTGAAATTTATCATTATAATATTAGTGGAATAATAGTGAAGTTTTATCAGCTTACACTGCGGCTAATTAATATTTCTAAAAACTAGCTATGGTGGATATATTTTACTACGATTAGTTGTATGGGAAAGTAATAGTATTTGGAAACATTCCCAGATGGGAAACTAAACATTTTTGGCTTTGCTGAATTGAATTTTTCTTCATATTTTATCACCATAAAATGGGGCATATTTTTATTAAATGCTTCGAGAAGCAGCAACTGAACTGAATATTAAAAATATAAAAATACGCTTTCGGTTTTTTCTTTTACACATCTAGTTGCTCTCGAGGAGGACTGCGTGGACTTTCAGGGTAACAAGGTGAATCATGGGATGCTCTATGTGCCCGGACCAGGTGTTTGCAGCCTATGCGTTTGCTATCATTCGGAGCCGCTGTGGTGCAAGGCCATTTACTGTGATCCGCCCTACGTAAGTGTTAAAAAACGACTCTCTCTCTATTATATATATATATATATATATATCTTCAAAATTGCTCATGTTCTTCTATATGTGTAGTTCTGCAAAAACTTCAGAGTGGGCGAACGCTGCTGCGAATTCGAGTGTTTGGATCCGCCCGGCGAGGACAAGCTTTATCAGGTGAGTCAGTTTATCAGAAGTCCAGCAACTGTTTTATATTGTATATATTTATTTGTTTTCATCATCATGTTCTCTAGATCATTATTATATATTTTATTAATAGTATAAATTAAACCACGGCACGACCGACTCTAAGACTCTCTTCGAGTGAGAGGATTGCTAAATCTGCTCAGTCTGTCAACTCTGACAACGATTCCTGTTCTGAAATCCAGCCTAGTGCTGCCTAGTCAGTCACTTGATTTGTTTCGATGTTCTTATAATAACATGTTAGCTACATTTTTAATATAGATATATACATATTTGTGCTGCTTTATTTACAGGAACGAATGCGTAAACGTGCCGAGATATTAGCCGGAAATAGTACCGCCAGTCAGGTGCAGATAAAGGTCGCACCTTTGGCCGTATCCACAATGATGCTCAGCTATTTGGGCAACACTTTTCTTAACTTATAACTTGAAGGGAAGGCGCAAGAGTAACGGCGTTTAGCTTTAAGTCAATAAATCCCCAAAACCCCCAAAACCCAGATCTTAAGTAGATAGTGGGAAAGTTCATTTTTGTTAACAATCCCCCTCCGTCGGCCCCGCTCCATCCCTCCCTCTCAAAATGAATACTTATTACAATGTAATAACAGCAACTAACAACATTTACAAATACACTTAAGTGCATTCAACAGATATAAAATATATCTAAATAGAAAAAAAAAAGAAAACAAAAAAGAAAACAAGCAAAACACCAAAAAAAAAAAAACAAAAAAAACTGGGAGTACTACAGAAAAAAAGTAGGTTTTCAACTTATATGTATATGTGTACTACTACTATATCCCTAGTCTTATGTAGGTACAATAATACCAGTAATACCAGCATCTAAATCACGTATATATATATATATATATATATATATATTTACAATACAATATAATGCCAACCGACATTTTTTATTCGAGAAAAGTCGGCAAAAAGAAACCGAATCAAGCCGTTAAATATTAAAAACAAAAACCAAGATAACACTCATGAAGCGAACGTAAAAGACAGTCTTTAATTAGCCAATAAGTCAAGTATAGTACATAGATTATATATACAATTATATATATATATATATATATATATATATATATATATATATACATAACTTGTATATACGCGGATCAAAACTTGTTGATTAGTGTTTAGCTAAATGAATCAAGTACTATGATAATAGTTGATAATAGCATATATATATACTATAATACTATATCAGATATGCACTTGATATAACTTTCTTTTAACAACACACACACACACACACAGTAACACACACTCAAGTTCAAACAATAGTGAAATTTTCTTCCTAGTCGAGCACTCTCGACTAGAGCAGTCCTCTTTGCTTGTCCATAGATAGAACCTAAGATATTTTGATTGCAATTACATAACTGTAGTAAATTACACATATCATAAAGTACACACACACATACACACACACACACATGGAATCATGGTATATATATATAAATATAAAGTCATATATTTTTTGCATTGGTGCTAATTTTATTGTAAATTAAACTTGATTCAGACACACACACACACACAACCGCACACACATCATGATGTTGATGCCGAATCAAAGCCCATATCTAAAAATGATATATATATATATACTACTTAAACCCCTAAAAAAAAAAACTCTAAGCTAACCTTCAAAAAGTTATAAATTTTTGTGTTTTTATTTTTGCCAGCCGATAAAAATCAAAGAAACCTAAAAAAAAAAAAACAACAAAAAATTATAATTAATAGTCTAACAAAAACAAATTCAGAAAATTCAACCAAATTTCCCAAGTAACAATTTTAATAGCAGTAACAAAAAATTAAAAACTTTAAAAAAAAATCATAAACTAATGCTTATAGTTGAATTTTGTTTAATTTCTTCAGAACTCGTAGCACGTAAGATCTTAAGCAAATAAAAGTCCCGTCTCTTTCGATAAACCAAAAAAAAAAAAGAAATTTATATATATAAAAAAAAGTACTACTAGGTAAAAATTATAGTTCTAGTTCTAGGCATCTATTGCAGGACCAGCTAAAGCAAACGTCAATCTAACAAATGCATTCAAAAAACAAAATTATAAGTGAAATCAAAAAATACCACAACTAATGGAAATACTTACTTAGACATATATATATATATATATATGATTATATGATATACTAAGGAGTACGGCTGTGAAAAATATTTTTGTTTTCGTTTGCTTTAAACGCATGTAACACAACTGTAAATAATATACATATACATATATGTATGAGATATATATATATATATTTATATCAATATGCAATTCAATATTTAAAGAGCGAGAAGAAAATGCATTCTCAGTTAACCGAAAAGTATTTTAATAACAAGAATTGAATAAGGCAGTGACGGCAATATCGTCAGATACCTTTGCAGTCTATATGCATATATGTAAATATATATATAGAGAGAGTAATACGATCTGAAACAGTGAGGAAAGCACTGAAATGGCAGCTACAATTCAATATATATGTATTTGTATCTGATATATAGTATTCCGATAGATAAAGACTATAGGTCTTGACCTCTCAAAGATCGCAAAAAATATTCACTGCAAAGGTACAAAAATAAAATCAGAATAATATTAATAACACAAAGAAGCAGCAACAATAAACAAATGATCCAAACTGAATGTACAATTCAAATGCCACAATATATAAGTATATATATATATATATATATCTGACCAATATGCAAACGTATGTATATACATATATATATGCATTCAATATATATTTATGCATAAATGAAACTCATAAATTAATTATGTGTATTTTTAAGATGACAAATTTTAATAGAATCCAAAAACATTATATTAAAATACTATGCCTAAACCTAAAGCGCTTCAAAACAGATAACAGATTACTACTAAATAAAAATATAAAATAAAAGTAAAAACAAAAAAACAAAAACAATTTCAATTTATAGAGAGACTCAATAACAAAAACGCAAAATTGGCTTTAAAAACAATGTTAATACAAATATAAAATACATATATAAAAATCATTTAAGAAGTATATTTCAACAAGAAGAAATTAAAATAAATATATAATTATAATAATAATATTAATGAAAGCAAAATCACTAAATGCATATAAGTATTTCAACATTTACCTTGAGGACGTCACGTCTAGCTCATTTATAAAATGGTACGAGTCGGTATTTTTATTCCAATGTTTCGGTTCTTAGATAGATCCCCAAAAATAACAAAAAAAAGAAGAAACACTTGCATATAGAACTTACAACAAACAACATAATAATAATTATAATAAACCCGTCTAAAAAAGCTTTGCCTCTAAACTAAAAACGAACAAAAAAACAAACCTTAATAAAACATTTTATAAGAGCACTAGCTGCCAGAGTATGTATCTGGAATACCCATTTCCCCATTTTCCCTTTACGGCATGACATGGCATTAATAGCTAAAACTTATCCTGTATATGAAAGTAGTGCACACACAGACACACACACACACACACAGAAGATAAATGTTATGTAATGTATTTTATTTCAAGAGCAACATCACTGAGATAATAACATTAACAATTCGATCTTAACACAAACAATTTAAAATGTCATTAAAGTTCAAAGAATGCCCTACCCAACATATTGAATTTATTATAATTCCAATCGCATTATTTATCAAAAGGATTTCAAATCATGTATGCATATATTACCAAAAATATGTATATTCCAAAGTACCAGATAATTTTAACATAAAATAAATATAAAAATAAAAAAAATATTTTCACAATAGCTTAAAAAACACAATCTTTCATTTCAATCATATATTGGGCATAAGGGTCAGCTAAGGATTAATTCAAAGTTGGCATCTTGTTTTACTCTGAGGCAGTCCCACCTTGAAAACCCCTTAAATTGTCGAGCTACATTTACCAAACCTGGCATGTAGATTACTTGGAACCTTCCCCAATGATTGGTAAGTGAATATTTCCTCAATTTTAGAGCTAAAACTATCAAACTTTGAAGGCGGATTACTAAGAACCTTATTCATCGATTTGAAACCCGTTCAAAATGGATAAAAAGGGTATAATTAAGTTGTGCCAAAGTATGTAACAAGCTTTCATAAGGAGAATATATATAACAAGACATAATATCGATAAAAATCGATTTCCGATTGCAATATAATCATAATTCTTTGGATATATGTTTTTTTTTATCGGGATCACCTGTAAGAAAATCATAGTTTCATATGCACGGAGTATTTTTTCGTAGACGAGCTCTCTTGACTAGAGCATTCTTACCCTCCCTGCTGAGTTGAGCATCTCGTTTCTCTCTCGCTGGAAAACCAAAAGCGTAAACAAAACAAACAACACAAAAACCAATTTTCCATATTCACATTTATTAAACACTAAAGTGGTAAAGTTTTTTGTATTTTTGTTCAGCCATAGCGATTAAAAAAAAAAAAAAGTATCGAATTTCAAAAAAAAAATTTATGTTTATGTTCGACGCTTAAACCTAAGCATACAAAAAAAAAGTACATATGCTTATATATATATATATATATATATACATAAATATATATATATATATAATTTTGTTAAATTTCTTATTAGAAAAATTTCACAATTAGATGTAGATTGTAGGCTGTTGTTGTCATCATCTACGCCTAAATATAGTATATATATACATATATATTCACTTGTTGGTCTAACTCTCTCTGTAGCATAATGTTAAATTGTGGATGTGTGTGTTTTAAAACCGATTCACATTACTTTTAGTACTATATAAATTACGAATAGTTAAAAAAAAAATGGTTGTGTATATCTAGTAATAATAATAATAATAATAGTAATAATAATAATGATCATAATATAGTTAATATACTATTATAGTATGTTACATTATTATTAGTTAGATGTTTATGCATTTAGTTTAGGTATTTAATGTATTTTTAACTATTTTATGTAAATTTCTCATAATGGTGATTTGCGTATTGCTGATTGATGGAAAATACTACATAATATATATATATATATATATATATATGTTAATTTATTCATATATATATATATATATATGCCATAATTCGTATGTCATTATTTGTTCCATTCAGTTGAACTTTAGAGACTTACGTGACTATGAAATTTGTCTTAAATATTTAATAGTAGTATTTGCAATTAGTAATTTCTCTTTTCTTCGATTTTTCCGACTTTTTGTATATAGTATTTAATGAAATTGTTGGAATACCTATATAGTAAATAATATTTTTTAGTTTAAATTAGCTTAGTTTTGTGTTTTTTTTTGTTTTAAATCATTATCATACAAGTGGCCTTACAGATTTTAAGCTACATTTAAATTACAAATACAAACTAAGACAGACGAGGAGAGGGGCGGGGCGGGGCGGGGCGGGGCTGGGCGGGTTCTAGGTAGTGGTAATGCATAAATCACGAACTGCGCTATAATCATAAACAAGTACACGACAACTGAGATCCCAAGAGCAAGTATTTAACACGTACTTGATGATTACTAATTAATTCCTAACTTCCATCTACTTCATACTCAAATGTCAATTGCTTCGTGAATTGATTTTAAATCCATGCGAACGTTTAAATGCCAGACAACAAGTAAAAGGTGGTGCCAGACAACAACCTCACACCTGATTTTGACAACTTTGATGAACCTGATGAAAGCCCAAAAAGGAACCGCAGACTGGCTGGAATGGTCTAAGGACAATAATCAGTTATTTGCTGTTAAGCAAAAGAAATCGGAATTGATTGGCATTTGAGGATGAAGCAGATTAAAGTTAAGAATCACGACCAGATTAATTGTTTCGATTGCTTCTGCGAGCATATTCTGCTGATCAATATTATCTTGAGAACCATCCAAGCCAGTCTGCAAGTCTATGTTCTTCTTCATGCTCTTGGGATCACCATTTCTGTGTAATTGGTTATTATTATAGCGCAGTTTCGTGATTTATACGGGGAATGAATGGCAACTTTCAGTTTGCTGCTGCTGCTGCTGCTACTGCTGCTGCTGTGAATCACATTCACTTTGCAACACTGGTGCAACCAGGCTCCGCTACGATGCTGTTGCGCAACACAGGCGAATAGATTGGCGGCGTTATTGAATACGATGGCGACAACATCGCCGGCGAAATTGGGCTGCCAAAGCTGCTGCTGCTGCTGCTGTTGCTCCTGGTTCTACTCCTGCTGCTGCTGCTGCTGCTGCTGCACCTGGGCTTAGTTATGCACTATTGCGTGGCGAGCGCATCCTTGCCAGCATCATTAATTGCCTGCATTGCCGCTGCCGCTGCCACCTCCTTCATCGATTCGACTTTGGCAACGATTTTGAGTGCGGGGCCCAGTTTCATGCCCATTGCATTGACCAAATGATTCTCCTTGAGCAGCAACAATGCCTGCCCATCGATCTCCTGCTGCACAAAGTCATCCACATAGTCCTGGCAGCCGGGCAGCTTTCGTATAAACTCGCTCACCTCATCCACGCTCCAACTACAGATTGAGGGACTGCTGCTTGTTGCTGCAACAGCTGCTGCTGCTGCTGCTGCTGCTGCTGCTGTTGTGGGTGTTGCAACTGTTGCTGCTGGCACTGGAACTGCTGCAACTGCAACTGTTGTTGTTGCCGTTGCTGCTGCTGCTGGTAGCTCAGCGACAAGCATTGCTGTTTGCTCCGCCGCGGCTGCTGCTGCTGCTGCTGCGGCTGCGGCTGCTGCTGCATCCGTTAGCATTTTCTCCTCGGCCAGCGATTCATCCAGTTTGTCAGCCAGCGCCATAGCATCGGCAGCAACCATGCCCACGGCACTGCCGTTGCTATTACCGCCAATTCCTCCACCGACTGCTCCACCACCGTTTTTAGCCAGACGCGCACAGCCCGGCGAGCAATAACGCTTCCGCTTCAGCTTGCTGCGATGCTCCGGTTTGCCACACTGTTCGCACGCAACCATATCCGCTGGCAATGTTGCAATGCCCATCAATGTGTTGCCACCACCACCAGCAGCGGCAGATGCAGTAACAGCAGCAACAGTTGCTGTTGTCGTTGTTGTTGTTCCTGCTGCTGCTGCTGCTGCTGCTGTTGCATGTGTTGCTGTTGCTGCTGTGACGCCAGCTTTGATATCTGATTCCTGCATTGCTTGTTTTTTCTCTGCAAAAAGAAGCAATTAATCGATTAATTTAATTGGTATATTTAATTATTAGCCTGCCATCCTCAACTAATCTAATTAATAATTTACATAATTTAATTATTTAATTAATCGTTGCATGCAACCATTACAATAAACTCTGTAATCTGTAATCTGTAATCTGCTATCAATTCAGAGTCCTCGATTTCAATCATTGACTGTCGACTGACTTTAGTTGACATTAGATAAATAAATAAATAAATAAATTCATAAATTGTTGCTGCACTCACTTGGCGGCTCATCGTTGTTGCCATCCTTGTCCGCATAGCGTTGTCGTGTGACTGGAAATGGTTCGTTCGCCTCCTGGATGATGAACCCATCGATGACATGGGTCAAAACATTTGGCTTAATCATTGCCTTGGGCAGATCTTTGCCATTGCTGTTGCTGCTGCTGTTGTTGTTGTTGCTGCTGCTGTTGTTGTTGTTATTGCTGTTGCTATTGCTGTTGCTGCTACTGTTGGTGGTTGTAATTGTGGTTGTTGCTGTGCTGCTGCTGCTGTTGCTGGTGGTCGTGCAACTGTTGTTGTTGTTGCTGTTGTTGTTGCTGGCACGCAAAGCATTGCTGGCAATGCCATTAATTGCCGCTGTGCTGCTGACAGTGGCAGTGTTGCTGCTGCTGCTGCAATTCTTGTCATCTTTATTGCTGCTGCTGCTGCTGGGCAGCACAACATTGCTTTGCTTGACAACAGCGGCAGCAACTGTTGTTGTTGGCAACTTTGCCTCGCCACCCGCATCACCATTGAGCAGCGTTTCTGTTGTTGAGCTGCTTGCCTCAACGCTCGCTTGCAGCGGTGAATCGATGGGCACCAATGTTGCAACTGTTGCAAGATGTTGCTGTTGTTGCTGCTGCTGCTGCAATTGCTGTTTGTTCGCTTCTGCTACTGCTGCTGCTGCTCCTGCAGCTGCTGCTGCTGCTGCTGTTGCCTTTGTGGGCGTGGCTGGCTGTGAGCTAATGTTATTCGTGTTGCTGTTGCTGTTGCTGAGCGTCACCAGCGCCGTGCTGACAACAGCGGGCGTTGTTGTTACGGCTGCTGCTGCTGCTGGTAATCCAACTGTTGCATTCATCATTGAAGTCATGGCTAATATGGGATTCTGTGTCGGTGTTGTGCTTGGCAACTGTTGCTGTTGATGTTGTTGTTGTTGCTGCTGCTGCTGCTGTTGTTGTTGTTGTTGCTGCTGCTGTTGTTGTTGTTGTTGTGTAGCTGCCGCAATGCTGGCTGAAATGAGTTGTTGCTGCTGTTGTTGATGAGCCTGCTGCTGCTGCTGTTGTAGCTGCTGCGCTTGTTGCTGCAGTGTTGCCACCGTGCTGCTGGTGACTAGTGGTCCGGCGCTTGGATTGCTGATGCTGACAATGCTGCTGCTTGGCAGTGAGTTGCTCGTCTTCGCTGTCGTCTGAAAGACGGCACCAGAGGCAGTCAATGCTGCCTGCAATGCACTCGATGTGGCAATGCCAGCGGGTGTTGTTGTGGAGCTAACTGAGAAGGGGACGCCGCTGAGCTGCAATTGTTGCTGCTGCTGCTGTTGCACCTGTTGTTGTTGTTGTTGTTGTTGCTGCTGCTGCTGTTGTTGTGCCTGTTGCTGCTGCGTTGCCGTTTGTTGCACCACAATTTGTTGTATGATATTTTGTTGCTGCTCGCGTTGCTGCTGCTGTTGCTGTTGCACCTGCTGCAGCTGATGTTGCAGCAGTTGATTGTGCAATTGTTGCTGTTGCTGTTGCGCCTGTTGCTGCTGCTGCTGCACCTGTTGTTGCTGCTGCTGTTGTGCCTGCTGCGAGGCAATAAACGTATTCGGCGCCACTTGCAATATTTGCTGAGCTGTTGCATTTGTCAGCGTCGATTGCTGCTGTGTCTGCTGCTGCTGTTGTACCTGCTGTTGTTGCTGCTGCTGCTGTTGCTGCTGTTGTTGTTGCTGCTGCTGCTGCTGTTGTGCCTGCTGTATTTGCAGATGTATTTGATGCTGCATTATTTGCTGTTGCAACAACTGCTGGTTCTTCATCAGCTGCAACTGCTGCTGATGCTGCTGTTGCTGCTGCTGCTGCTGCTGCTTATCGACGCCCGCCTGCAATGTCTGGCCATTCTGCAGCGTTATGGGTGTGCCCGATGCGCTCATCACGACCATTCTGTAAGGAAAATGCACACATCAATCAAATGCCAACTGCGATTAATGAAAACCACTCGGAAAAGCAGTGAAAACTCACTTGTTGCCGGCCGTGGTGACAACCTGATGCAAATTGGCAGCTGCCTGCTGCTGCTGCTGTTGCTGCTGCTGTTGGACGGCAAGATGTTGACTGAGTGCCGTTGCTGCCACATTGCTGTTCGCCGCCTTAACCGCAGTGGCAACCGTTTGCCCGTTCTCCGTTTTAAGCGTTGGCAATGCTGGCCGCACCGGTTGCTGTTTGTTTCTCATCTTCGCCTTGAGCAGGCTCTGATTCTGTGCGGTCTGCGTCGATACGGAGCTGGCGGGTCGCACTTGTGCCCCATTGTGTGGCAAGATGGGTGCACCGCTGCGCTGCAGCTGTGCGGTCAACTGTTGCTGTTGCAATTGTGCGGTGGCCACTGCCACCGCCTGCTGTTGCTGCTGTGTCGCCAATTGCTGTTGTGCATTCGCCTGTTGCTGCTGCTGCTGCTGTTGTTGCTGCTGTTGCTGCTGCTGCTGCTGTTGCTGCTGCTGCTGTGTCTGCTGCTGTTGCTTGGGCGCCAGTGCGTCCAGTTGAGCGCGTGCCTTCGTCGGTGTCTGCGTCACATTGCACTGAATGATCTCTGCGGAAAACGGAAATTGGGATTAGCTTGTAATTTATATGGATCTATATCTATTTAGATACACAGCTGGACAACAAAATAGGTCTGGCGGCAAGCAGCATTCTTATCATTATTATTACTATTATTATAATTGCGACCAATTAGATCTATTGTGCACCCCTCCATCTGAGTCAATAGCTGGAATCTTTGTTGTCTTTTTTTGAGCTCATTCCATGCCTCTGCCTAACTAGGATGCTGCATCTTTTCCTCTGCTAGGATTGCATTGAGGCATTGAGGATTCTTTCTCGCGGCATGCTTGACTGCATTTCTAGTTCATTAAGTTTGGAATCATTTATCATTCCCGAGAATTCTGTTCCGTTCCACTCCTAATAAACCAATGCAAAGTTTTGGATCAGCTTCAACTTTGATGGAATAATATTTACTGGACATATATTCTTATATGCATACCATACAATTATCGGTTAGTGAAGTTTCCCTGCCTTTTAAACGATTGTTAATTTGTTCCTTGATCCTAGAGCGTACTTTTATCGTTTATCTTCTACTAATACTCCATTAATATTATTTGATAGCTCAGTAAAGCCCTTATTATGAATGAATATATTCAAATCTTAGCAATCTTACTATTCAGTTGTGTGTGATATATAAATAGATATATATATATATAGATATATGCACTTACGATTCTGTTGGGTTTGCAGCGCCTGATGCGTTGTCGGCTGCTGGATGAACATGCCAGATGTGTGATCCGGCGGATTGCGCAATATGATCGGATTCGGCCCGAAGTTGGGCCAGAACCATGGAGCAATCTGCATCTGTTGCGGCTGACCCGCAGCAGCACTCTGCAATGGACTAATTAGCTGGGCCGCCTGAGCAGCACTCACGCCCGGCAGCGTCGATTGTGAGACCTGAACACATTGTTGCGTTGTCGTCTGTTGCTGCTGCTGTTGTTGCTGCTGCTGCTGTTGCTGCTGCTGTTGCTGTTGGGCATTGGCGGCAACCGTTGCATTGGTCGCCGCTTGCACCGTATTCGTTGTCGTTGTCACCTTTTGGACGACCTTCTGTTGCAATTTATTGCCCTGTGCATCTGTTAGATTAACGCCAACGCCAACGCCCACATTAACACCCACTTTGGAGACGGCCAATGCGGCCGCTTGTTGGGCAGCCGTCAACTGTTGCTGCTGTGTCAGCTGCTGTTGCTGCTGCTGTGACAATTGCTGCTGTTGCTGTTGCGTCAGCTGCTGCTGTTGTTGCTGCTGCTGCTGCTGTTGCTGCTGCTGTTGCTGCTGTTGCGCTGCCGCCGCCATCGATTGCAAGAGATTCTGTTGCTGCGGCGAATGCGAAATCACATTCACCGGCGATATGAGCAGCGTTTGCGGCGACTGACTCGATGGTATCGCATAGGTGCTGCTCGCAAAGCCCGCCTGTCCCCCAATCATCTGCTTGGCATTCTGTGTGGTTGTCGTTATCATCTGGGGTCCACTGTTCTGGAAATGCTTGCTGGCGGCAATCACCTGTATCGGCTGCTGTCCCAGACCGGCATTCAGCAGATTCCCAGACACAATCATTTGGGGATAGAGGAAGCCTGTGTGATGTGTGATTGATTGATTAATTGATTGATTGATTAATTGATTGATTGATTTATGGATCAATAACGTTAAGACTGGCACTATTGATTGACTGATTGATTGATGAATCAATAACGTGAAGACTGAGTTAGTTTGCAGCTTATTACAATTGATTGGCCGAATAACTGAGTGATGGATCAATAACGTTAACACTAGTTCAGTTAGTGATTCGAGTTGAGATTAATTGTGAAAAGAGTTTATTACTATTGATTGATTGATTGATAAATCACGTTAAGACTGGCACAGTTTGTGATTCGAGTTTTGATTGATTGCGTGACTGATTGATGGATCAAGAACGTTAAGACTGTTTCAGTTTGTGTTTCAAGTTTATTGATTGATTGATTGATAGATCAACATATTTATAGTATATTACTATTGATTGATTGATTGATTGATAGATCAATAACGTTAAAGCTATTTCAGTTTGTGATTCGAGCTTCGATTGATTGTGAAGAGTTTATTACTATTGATTGCTTGATTGATTGATTGATTGATTGATCAATAACATTAAAACAGATTCAGTTTGTAATTCGAGTTTCGATTGATTGTGAAAATTGAATTGGTGTTTTGATTTCAAGAGTTTCTAGCCTATCGTCTATCGTGGAATATTATTTATAGATATTTATAGATTTATCTATAGTTAGCTATTATCTGTAATTGGCAATTATCTATGCATACCTGCTGGTGGCTGCATCAGTTGCACGGTGCGTCCGTTTGCCCAATCTGCTGGTACGCCGCTGGCAGTCAATTGCATTGGTGACATTGTGCTGATTGCTGTCGTGTGTTGTTGTTGTGTTGAGTGCTGCTGCTGTTGCTGTTGTTGCTGTTGCTGTTGCTGCTGTTGTTGCTGCTGCTGTTGCTGCAGTGCATTTTGTTGCGCATTCGCTGGACTGGCGGCAGCAACAGCAACAGCCCCACTTGTATCACCCGCCGTCAGCTGTTGCAGCTGCAACTGTTGCAATTGTGTCGTCTGTGTTGCATCTAATAAATTGATTGCATGTTTTAGCTCATTGTTAATGCTAGTTGTGGTATTGTTGTTGTTGTTGTTGTTGTTGTATATTTGATTGTTACCGCTGTTATTGGGATTGGTGTTGGCGCCAGTGTTGGGATTGTTGCTGTGCCCGCCGCTGTTGCTGTTGTTGGCATTTGGGAACTCCTGTTTAACCTGTATCGCTGCATACGGATTGCTCGCATAGAACTGCTGCAATTGTTCCGGTGAGATTTGCAGTGGCACCGCCGCAGCGGATGCCACCTGTTGGGCGGGGCTCTGTGATTTCTCCAGTGTGCCACTGACAGCAACTGTTGCTGCTGCTGCTGCTGCTGTTGCTGCTGCTGTTGCTGCTGCCGCTGCTGCTGTTGCACGTGAGGTGGGCGTGCTCGAACGTGAGCGGGAACGTGACACGCTGCGTGAACGTGCCGCGTTGTTGTTGCAACTGTTACTGTTGGGTGTTGTAGTTGTTGTTGTTGCTGCTGCTGTGCGTCGTGCTGTTGGAGGCGTGTGTGCACCAACTGTTGTTGTTGTTGTTGCAGTTGTTGTTGCTGCTATTGCTGTTGCTGGCACGTTTTTGTTCAATTGCGTATTATTGTTATTATTATTATTGTTGTTATTAATATTATTATTATTATTATTATTATTATTATTATTAGTATTGTTGTTGTTGTTGTTGGTGGGCGTGGCGGGATTTACGCCCGGATGCGGCGGACTCGCAAAATCGTATTTCTCGTCAAAAGTGATGCCCGCCTTTTGTGCCAATGTCTCCAAGCACTTTAAAGGCCGCTCAACGCTTTGTTGCTGCTGCTGCTGCTGCTGTTTGTGTTGCTGTTGTAGCTGTTGCTGTTGCAACTGCTGCTGCTGCTGCTGCTGTTGTGCTGCTGGCTGCAACTTGTCGCTGCTGTTGCTGCTGGTGCTGCGTATATTCGAGTTGTCCTTCAAGGGTAGCGCAGTTGTTGTTGTTGTTGTCACAGTTGTTGTCACAGTTGTTGCTGCTGTTGTCAAAGTGCTGATTGTTGTTGCTGCTGCTGTTGTCGTTGTTGTTGCTGTTGTATCGCTTTCAATGTCCGCTCTGCATTGGTAGGAAAGAGAAGGCAGACAGTGAGCCAAAATAGTTGCTTGAATTGAAATCACAAAAACAAAAAACCAAATAAACACCCAACACACACTTGGAGCGCTTGCGTCGGCCTGCGGCATGCAGCATTTTGGAATTTGCAAAACAAAAAATTAAATAAAAGCGCAGTCAAAACGAGAGAGAAACAAAAAAAAGAGTAAAACTAAATAGAATTGCAATAAAAGAACGCAAAAAAGAAATGCAAGGCAAACTTTTTGGCAAACAGATTGGCAGCTCTGCTCAATGGCATGCAAAACAGCAATAGCATAAGCTCAGACTAAGCTGAAAGCTCTACAAACATACACATAGTGGGGGAGAGAAAGAGAAATAGATAGGTAGGGGGAGAGAATTACGGGCAGAGATAGAGTAAATGCAGCGAGACTTCATGCCAAGATCATTCATTCATTCATACACATTTCGTAGTTCAGTTATTTGTTATTTGTTTTTCTCTATTGTGAAAATTGAAAAAACAATTATATCAAAAGACAAATTTAGTAAAATACAAATATTTACATTGCAAAGAAATATTTAAAAATGCAATAATAATTTCTATAGACAAATTAAGTTAAATAATATGTTTAGAAAACTATATCAATAGACAAATTTAGTAAAATAAAATTATTTTAATAGAAAAGAAATTTTTAATTACATAATAATAATATCCATAGACAAATTTAGTAGAGTTTTTTTTTACAGATTTATAAAGTTATTTGGCGGCCAATTGCAACTCAGCGACTCTTAATTGACCCACATAATAACAAATATGTGCTACATATAATTTCACACACACACACACATATGCACTTGTATGAGTAACTAACGGTAACAGCGAAAGAGGTCATTTCAAAGGAGAACAAGGAGAGCCATGCAGCAGCAAAAAGTCCCATATATACAAAACATACACATAGATGGTTTTATATGTATGCACATACATCAATGCACATAGTTCACCTATTAATGTCAAACAGTAAACAACAGTAAACACCATGCGTTGCAGCAGCTGGAGTTGTGAGCATAAATTGAGAGATGCAGTTAGCCAGCATGCGTGGGAGCGTAAGAGCAGCTCCGCATCTACGCAGGCAACCAGAGAGGGAGAGCAAGTGCGAGTGTGTGTGCACGAAAGGGACGCATGCATATTTGCAGTTATTAAAATGCAACAGCAAAGTAAGCATGCCAAAAAGAGAGACAGAGAGCTTAAAGCACAAATAACAGTTATAAGTAAGTTCATATAAAGAGTCTATTAGATGTTTACAAATGGAAGAATGAATTGTTATAAAGATAAATGTGAAATTTGATCATTTCTGGATGCATATCGATGTTGCCAATACCTTAAGGCATATCTATAATTTAATTTAAGCTAAGACTGAAAAAAAGAAACAACAAATTCTGACCCTTAAGGCATATATATAAAAAAATAAGTAATGGGAACCACATACCAAATAGCCGAGTCGGGGCATACCCTGTTTTATAATATTTGGAAGACATAAAGCTGATTGTTAAATGTTTTGCAATTCAAATTTCTCTTTTCGAGTGGATTAAAATGAAAGCTACGATATTAATCGATTTCGAATAGTCAACGTTTAATACACAAGAATATAGAATTTGTACATAGCACATGAAATTAGTTATGTCTGACCTTTCATACCCACTCTAGGCATTTTCAATGGCTACAGGATATGAGATCAGAGGGAAACTACAAGCGAAACGAGACGGCGGCTATTGGAAACGGCCCAGCATTAGGGTTACCCCTGGTAACAAACGCTACAGAGCAGAGGGTGGTGCATGGTGGGTGGGTGGTTTGTTTGGTTTGTGTGTGGGTGTGTGAGTGTGTATGTGTGTGTGGAGTTCAACTCAATTGCAGAGAACAGTGGGCGGCTTTTTATTTTTTTTTTTGCATGGCATTGCACGAAATCTGTCAGGGGTGTCTCATGGCATGATTGCCTACGACAGGGTTGCAGCTGGGTATGCAAAGGTCGCACGCCCCTCCCCCCACCATCACCTCTGAAGCACCAAGCCAACGGCAAAGAGCAATCGAAAGCTGCTGCTGCTGCAAAAAAAAAAATGATGAACAGGGAGAAAAAAAACTGAGTGGTGACTAGACATGTTGCCAGACCCAGGAAGGGAGCAGTAGCAGCATCCTTTTCAACGTCAAACAGCAAAAGAAAACCTTGCAGCTCAAGACTGGTTTGTGGTGCTTGTGTGTGTGTGTGTGTGTGTGTATGTGTGGGCAAAGGAGAAAAAGAGAGAGAGCATGAGTGTTGACTGTTTTTTTTGTATGCCGACCTGCGGGATGCCGCATCAGTGCCATTAACAATCAAAAAAGAAGAAGAACAAGAACAAGAACAAGAACAACAACAAGACTGCCACACAGCGAACATTAATTTTATATTCGCTTCTAACCGAATTGAGTTGCAAGCAGCAAGATTGATAACAATGCCAACACGCAAACAAAACGCGCATGCGCCGAAACGAGCTAGCAAAAGAAAGAGTGAGTGAGTGAGAGAATGACTGTGCATGTGTGTGTGTTTGTAGTGTGTGCGAGCGAGATAGTGCTAGGGAGAGCGCGCGCAGCTAGTATACCAAGGGGAGAGAGAGAGAGAGAGCGCAAGAAAAACAGCAACAAGGCAAACGAACATGAAATTCAAATTTGTTTGCAAGAAACATGCGTGCAAAATTTTCTTTTTGGTGGTTGTTTTTGGGGCATTAAACCTGCACGGGCTTCTTTTTTTTTGGGGCAGGAGAATGAATCGAAAATAGATGGCTACATATTGATTATACGAACGGGTTTTATTTCTGCATGCCAGCCACAACACAGCCAACAACAACAACAACTCACACACAACACATGCTCATGCGAATACAAAACAATTGAGAGTGAGCGCTATTGTGTCGCCCTTGTCGGTCTCGTTGCCGAATGCCCAAAGTGTGAACGAGTCAGCAATGTTTGGTCAAATGACGAGCGCAGCTCAATCACACAACACACACACTACACACAAATGCATGAGAGCGCAAGCATGTAAAAATAGAGTTGCCAACCAACTATTAAATAAATGCATACATTTTACCAGTCATTAATATAATAAAGAGGCTTAAACATGATCTGCACAAGAGCATAGAAATGTGCTTATTTAAATAATAGTATGTGCATATACATGCACACATGTAATTTGCATATAAAATACATGGTAGCAATGTGCAGTGTTGAAATGCATTCTGACAATATATTTGCTAATTAAAGAACAGATGGCAACACTATGCATCCGCCTCGAATTTTGTTTACTTCGAATTGTATTTGGGATCCCACGCGCGCGCTATTGAGAGAGCAAGCGAACGAGCGAGAGAGCAGCGTGCGCTGCTCTCTCACTTGCTATTGCTGCTTCTTCTTAGCTTCTGCTCTTGGTACGCTGCTCCCGCTGCTGGTGCTAAATGTCGCTTGCAGTTTCGGTTTCCAAGCAAAAAAAAAAACAAAACAAAAAACATATTACTTTTGGCTTAGAACTTTTGCTTTTCAATACTGCGAAAAGTAAAAGAAAAATCAACCACCAAAAAAAAAGAATACAGACACACACATATGGTATGCATTGCGAAATTTCGCTGTTGTCCGAGTATGTGTGTTTTTCGAGAGTCTCGACTGCAGTGTTGCAAAGCAGATGGGGAACAAAACTCGTTTGGGACTTGTGAATTTTGCGCTCGCTATGTGCATGAGAAGCAGAGAAGAGCATTTTAAGTACAAGTACGATTATGATGCGACGTCAAACAAGAGGATATATATATATATAAATATAAGCATGCTTTCGAATTTGTGCACATTTGTCATAATTCGGCAGTGTTGACAAACGTAGCATAATTGAAGTTCGCGCCAAAGTTAAATGCTGCAATAAACTATAAAATATGATAGAAGAGCGAAATAAGAAAAATGCGTATATGTGTGTGTGTTGAGAATATTTCCAATGCCAACGATGGTCACACTTGCAGCGAACCTGAGACGCGGTTTCCTATGTAATAATAACAAATATATAAATAGCAAAAGAGTGCACACACACACCGAGTGAGAGTGAACGAGAGAAAAGAGAGCAAAAAAAGGAAATAAAGTATTTTTTTTTGTAATAAGCAATAATAAACGCGAGTGCATTGACACACATATACATGTTGTAAGTGTGCGTACATATGCATGCATACAGACACACACACGCACACACACACGCGCACATACATTGTATATACAAATGCGATATTAAAAACTAAAACAAAACTAATAACGAAAAATGAAAAACGAAAAAAAATAATACCTTTTTTGCATAAACTTCAATGCACGACGATCCATTATTCAAAATAAAAACAATTTGTATAATAAATTAATAGTATGCATGCGACGACGTCAGCGGCGGCGACGGCGACGACGACGACGACGACGGCAGCGATGTTCTCTTGCTTTTTGCTATTACTTTTACGGCGACGGCGACGTTGACTGCGACTGCGCTGCTACTGCGGCTGCTGCTGCTGTTTTGACTGCTGTTTGTTTTTATTGTTGTTGGCAGCATATTGCTGCTGCTGCGTTTTTTTTTTTTTTTTTTTTTTTGTAATTTAGTTTAAGTTTTGTTTGTTTTTCATGTTGTACATTTAATAAGATACACACACCACAATATATCTATATTTATATATATACAAACAGGCAAAATAACGTAAAACACAACAAACAACACAAGAAACCATACATAAAATGTACACAACAACAACAACGGAAAAAAAGTGTCTCGCCGAGCGTCAGCCTCAGTGTCAGTGTCGTTGTATGCGTGCGTGAGTGTGTATATGTGTGTGCGTGCGTGTTTATGTGTGTGTGTGTATGTGTATTTGTGTGTGTGTGTCTGTGTGAGACTGCGACTGAGGCGTGTAAATTGAGCGTTTCGTGCAGGAGAGCAATAATTAGTACATACTCCACTCGACTGCAGCAATTGCGTCCGACGATGACGACGACGACGACGGCTCAAAACTTGAGTTTTGTTTTTTTGTATATTTTGTATATATTTATTTTCAACTTTATTATTTATTAAGCACCTGTACACGTGATAGGTGAGGGGTTGAGGGGGGCGGGGGAGAGTTGAGTTTTGTGCTCTTCTTCTTGTGCTTCGGCTTACATAAAACGCGGCGACAACTCTAGCAACATATTTTTTGTTAAGCGGCACAAATTCACTGCGCGTCGCTGCGGCAGCAACGGCGACTGCGACGCCGGCAGCATATCTTTTCACTTTGAAGCATGTATCTTTTTTTGTTTAGCTATTTTTTGTTTGGCTTTTTTCTTACAGCCTCTAAACACAAATATAAAAAATATATATTACAAAATCGGAGATGTTAATCCGTTCACGATTTGTCTTGCGTGTATCTGTGTGTGTGTCGAGATCGGCGCGAGCGAGCAAGCGAGTTCGGACTAAACACAATCCGTACGCTGCCAAGTTGAATTTCAGACTGAAAGGCGCGCAGACGGCGGCAACTCTGCTGAAACAAAATGAAGCAGCCAGCGCGCATGTGTGTGTGTGCTTGTGTGTATGCGCGTGTGTGTGTGTGAGAGAGAGAGCGATTGAGGAGGGTTGGTAGGCAGCTGGGCAAGGAAAACCAGTTTTTCATACACAGACCGACAAACGAAAATTTCTCTATAACGAAATGCGGGCGTGCGAATGCGATGCCAATAGCGAATCTCATTCAATTGATAACAGGTGCGAATGCAATGGCAATAGCCACACTGCGTGTGCTGTTGTGTTTCATTCGATGGGCATTGGTGGTGTGTGCGAACGAAAGAAAAAATGTACGGTACGAGCAGCAAAAAAAGATACAAAAAATAAACGAAATGTACAAAAACAAAAACGAGGCTACACAGCTGGCGGGCATGTGTGTGTGTTGCTTTTGCTTTCGCGCCCGTTGTAATGTATTTGTGTGTGTGTGTTTATGTGTGTATGTGTATGTGTGTATCAATGTATGCGCGCTGTCAACCACCCTGCCTGCTGTCGATTGCCCTTTGCTCCGAACACCACCGCCCTTGTCCACGAGCGAGAGACCCGTTTTCGGTTTTCTCTACACTCAAATGTCGGCCTCATCGTCGTCGTCGTTGTGGTTGTTGTTGCTGCCAGCTTGCTTGCTTGCTATACTTCATCTTCTTTTTTCGATTTCGCATTTGCCACCACCACCACCATTGAATACATGCAAACACAAATATACACATAGATACATACATACAGACAGATAGACATACCTGAACTGACTGGCAATCGACACAGCGGCTTTATTTTATTATTAGTTTTTGCTTGTCGGTCTCAGAATGGGTCTGTGGGTGCTTGTGGAGGGAGAGGATGGGGTGCGGGCAGAGCGCAATCGTTCGCTTTCGCTCGTTCGTTCGTTCATTCGTACAGTGGTTTGCGCTTCATTATTATTATTTGAATTGCATTTTCTTTGCGTTGCATTTTTTTTCTAGTTATTGCTGCGGTTGTTGTTGTCAATTCATCATTTCCATTTGCAATGCAATGACTCCCGTTGCTTTATTGTGCTCCACTGTTGCGTTTTTATTTTTTTGTGTTGCTGCAATTGCCGTGGTCTTTGCCTTTGACATGTACGCACAGTGGTCCACTGTTATTGATAATGTCAAATAATAATATATATAATATAATATTTACTCGAAGTTCGCATTTTATTTGATGAAGAATTGGAAATTATGAAAATTATATTTTACTTAACAAAAATTACTACATTTGATATTTAATCATTTCTGTCATTGATTTGATTCGTATGTCGATAACTTTAATAAACGTTAAATTTCCTTTATTCTGTCCTTTTGTAAACACATTCAATATGTAGTGTGTACATAGAATATTGAAAATATGCATATATACTAAAAAAAATATTTGTTATTTTAATGTAGACTAAGAATTATGCATATTACATTATTTTTAATAAAGTAATGCACTACCAAAAATAATATATTAAATTGCATTATTCATACAAAATTACACTTACTTCAAATAAACACAATTCATTTTGAGATATGTATTATATATGTGCACAAATATAAAACACTTACACCACTGTGCCTTGTCAGACGCTTTGGCATTCCATTTTTCATTTTGTTGTTGCCTGCCTGCCCCCGTGTGTAGTTGTATTTATGTATGTATATGTGTGCGTGCGCCGCTTTGGGCTGTTCTTGTATCCGACATTCACAAATGCTCATCATTATGCTTTTGTAGATGTATCTTTGTCCCATTGTTGCTGCTGGCAATGACAAGCAACGTTGTTGTTGATGTGAGACTCGCTGCTCGGAACGACCGAATGAACGAAGGCACGAAACATTTTCGTATATCGTTCGTTCGTTATTTTTTTTCTGCTGTTGCCGCCATATTATTTTTACGCTTGTTAAGTGTTTTTGCCTGCTGTTTCTCTCTTCTCTGCTATGCCTTTTATTTGGTCCGTCTGTGTGTGCTTGGGTGTGTGTGTATCTGTGTGCACTGATCCGGCTTCATCTTTGGCTACACCACTTGTGTGCTTGTATATGTGTATTGGATTTTTTATGGTTGGACTTTTGAATGTGTTTTTGTTGTTGTTTTTTCTTTTTTTTTTGGCTTGTATTTTGTGTACGTAGTTTTTTCTTATTAGTTGCGGCACTCTTCTTCGTGCTGTGTGTCATATAATATTCAACTGTACAAAAATGCCATGCGGAGCATGCGCTCTTTTTTTTATCGTCTCGACTTATTAACTCAAACTCGCTTTGGTCTTCGACTCTTGTTGTTCTTGTTTTTGGGGGGTCGTTGTCGTTTTGCGCCGCAGTGTGAGCGAGCGCACGAGTGTGTGTCCCATATGTATGTGTATGTGTGTGTTTGTGTGCTTTTGTATATTTCGAACAAAAATGACAAATGTATAATCAGCGTAAATTGCTTTGCGCGTGCTTTTTTCCATTGGCATCAATTTGCTTGCTCGGCTGTCTCACTTGCGCTCATTAGCACAACGCATGTGTATGTATATATATATATATGTGTGTGTGTGTTGTAATTGCCTCACACTCACACTCACACACATTAGCGCCTAGCATTGTTATCGCAGTTCGCTTGCTGTTCGCTGATGCTTTTGTAATTGTTAGAATTTCCTACACCATTTTTGAAAAAAAAAAACCTGGGAATTATCAACATTTGCATAAACACACATACATACATAGAAATGCCTGACTGGGGTGTCGTTGCTTTGTGTATGTGTGTGTGTGTGTGTTGATTCAACTATCAAAATGGGTTGCGTTTTATTGCTTTGTTTTGCCTTCCAACTGTAATGAAGTCAAAGGCGTGGTCAACTCACCACCACAACCTCCACCTGTTCCGTTAATAATTGACGAATTTAACGAAACTACTCCAATGACAACAACAAGAAGAACAACAACAACGAAAACCTCTCTCACTCCACTTGCAAAATTTCGCATTCTTTTTCGCACATCTTTTACCGTTTATTAATCTCTCTCACATAATACACACATGCACATAATGCCCACACAACTGATGCCATCGCCAACGAACCCACGACGAGGAAGTTTCCTTCAGGTCCAGCTTCCTTCTCTCTGTGTTGGTGAGTGAGTGTGTGTGTGTAGTTGTGTGTAGCGCACTCATGCAGTCGTTGTTTATGGTTTGCTCGTTCGTTCGTTCGTTCGTTCGCTCGCTCGCACGCACTGCGAACTCGGACTCAGGTTGAAATTTTGTATTCGGTTTTTCGTATTTAGCAGTCGGCCAGGGTGAGCCCTGCATGCGCTGCAATCGCTAACGGTTTCAACAACTTTCAAACTTTTCTCACTTGATACATTGAAAACCGAACCACATCTATTAATATATTTTGTTGCAAATTGTGTTTTTAAAGCATAGTATGGCATATATCTATTATTATTAAAAAATCGATAAGGCAATATAAGAGTGTTAACTCAAAACTATGAGACATATACACATAGATCCAAATCCAAACAAATTAAAAAGAAGTATACCTAATTGAACACAATTTGCTTTATAGTATTTATTATATATTCATACATAAAACTAGATTTTAGCTCCACGAAAGCAGTAAAAATAAACAGTAAATATATATAGATGTGAGTTAGGTTACGTCGTTTAGTCTAGACCCATATAGGCATATAATCTAACCTCAAAAACGAATATAATAATGTACAAAAAACTCATAAACTATTACATATCGAAACTTAAACAACTCCAAACAACACAAAAAAAAAACTAAGCATGTCGTTTCACATATCCTGTGTTGTCTATAAAAAATCACAAAAAAAAACCCCGTCAAGTAATTTTCGTCTGTGACCCTCTTGAGAATTCATGAAAACCCATCCAGCGTCATGTACGAACTGTACTACGGTAGTGCCAGGCCTAACGGGCCCAACGGTCTACCCGGGGACGTCCCCGTGGGAAGGGTAGTTTCGTTAGTTGGGTAGTCAAGAGTCCGAGAGCCTTTGGGTCGTTCCGTAAAGGGTTGAACTTTGACACTCGAGGAACGAGGGCTACAGTCGTGGCGACCCTCGACCTACGAAAAACCCGGCACGCTGACATCCCGACACCCGGATACCCCATCCCCATCCGCATTTCCATTTCCAGCAGATACAACACACACCCTTTTCGTACTCGCTTTGTTGTTGTTTTTGTGTCTCCATTTTACGCACCGTTTTACGAATGCATTTGCAAAGCAAATATTCAACAATTACCCCCAAAATTGAGTGTGTGTGTGCGCGAATTCAACCCCTAAACACCAGACCAGCTAAGGGCTGTTTTCGCACAGTTGAGACCGGCGACACGGGAGCGATGCCAACAACGACAACGATCCTTTTTTGCTAAGCCATCATTTAAGGGTGGGGGGATGGCAAGGACTACCAGCTAAGGGTTGGCATGTTGACCTTGCGATCCTCGGAGCCACCAACAAACCCAAAGCAGCCCAATGACAAAACCATATACTAATATTTATACATATATATTATATATATATATATTTATATATCAGTAAATCTTGATCAAAACACACTCAAACAAAAGTGCTAAAGAAACTTGTACTTAATTCGAGTAGAAACTGTGTCAAAATCAAGCACTTAAAGCTTAAAGACAGCAATTTGTTCTTAAATCAGTCTTAGTTGATCAGCTAGAATTCTTATTTCAAGTGCCCAATGCTGGAAATCTGAACATAACTCGAAACACGACGGCAATTTCTTCAATTAAGAACTAAAACTTGTTCTTTTAATCACAAAAATGCTTATAATTTGCGAATTTTGCACTTGATTTGCGAATTTTGATATTTGTAACCCATTGAAAATGGTTAAAAAAGGGTCTACTGAAGTTATGCAAAAGTATGTCACAGGAAAAAAGGACGCGTCTGCTACCTCATAAGGTATATAAAACTGATCAGCATTAACAATTGAGTAGATCTAGCCAGCCGATCTCAGAGACTATCAGAGACTTTGAACGCAGATCAAATTTATTCATATCGATACAAATCGATTTCCGATAGCGATAAATTCAATGTATAATTAATACACAAAGCCAAATTATTGTTCAACTGTAAAGATTTCATTACGAATAAAGCATTCTAACTTGTACATCTTATTTTTGTAGCATTAACTTCCGATTTTGAGATCAAGAATGATTATGATAGATTGTAAATCAAATTGTATTTGAAATTAAAGCAGCGTTTTTTCTCTGAGTGTGCGAACTGTTTAACTTTAATTGACTCACAACAAACTGATCTACAAATTTACAATTAATCTTCATATGAAATCTAACCTTACATTTGTATTTTGCCACCATTTTTGTGGTCTTCTCCGAAAAGAAACAATAAAGAAAAATTGATTCAAAATGAAACTCACTCAATTTCCGATTTGTCTTCTTTTTTTCACATCTTACCTGTCTCAGGTGTATAAGTACTATATTTTTTATATTTAAAATGTCGATTTTCATTTTATGTAAAAACTGAGGAATCCAAAACCATTAAAATCTACAAAGCCCAATATTTGAGCTGCGAGCCAATTCAAATATTGAGCTAGCTTTTTACTTCCAATTCCTCTAATCGCGATATTTTTAGTGCAGTTTTACCAGTGTGTCAAAACCGGAACCGGAACAACTAATTTAAAGATTGATTGCTGAACCTTGTTACAAAAGTCGATATTATTATTTCCTAAAATACTCTCTTAGGAAATAATAATATCCCCGAAAAAATTGGTGCAACAATTCAAAACCTTTACCGGAACCTTTACACTTTTCATACTGAATCCGGAACCAGATCCGAAATACGATTCAGTTTGAGACCCTGAATTTTATTTTGTTTCTTATTTTTTATATTAGTATACCAAGAAACAGGAAGTTGGCAAAGTTCGTAACTTATTAAAGAAGAAGACATCTGCCACCCCATAAAGCAGCTGATCTAGCAATGTCCGTTCGTCTGTCTGTTCTTCAGCGAACTAGTTCCTAGTAGTCCCTAAAGCTATCTTCATGAAATTTTGCATATATCCGTATTTTTGTTGGAGCCGATCGGATCGATTAACTATATAAGATGAGTTCATGTGTGAACTACTTTTTAGCTTGTTTCAATCAGGTTACGCTCCGATTACGATTAGTATAAGAATTTTGGTAAAGATTCCAGGATTCTTACAACTCTTTTTTATATTATTCGGTTAAGAATTGATCAGGATCAACAGCCGAGTCAATCTAGCCACGGATCTCAGAGACTATAAGTGCTAAAGACTTCAAATTTTGAAAATAAGTTCTCGTTAAGTACAGACACATTAATATTTATATATATATATATCCATTATAATATTTTTTTTGTTCCGTTACGTTAATTTGGAACAAATAATAGCAGTTCCGCTATTTGGGTTCTAAACTAATTTTGAATCTAGATTTCGTTTCTGATAACGATTTTAAACAATATATTTTTAGTAGTTAAAAGTTAATATTGAACGAGACGTATTCGACTGTTTAAAGTATATATATATATATATTTGATCAGCATCACATAACGATTCCAAAATGAGTTGTTTATTTTTAAATCCGTTGCAACTTTGAATATATCCATCTATATGTTGCATGTTGTATCGGAGTCTCTCTATATCATATAGCTGCCTTAGGAACTATCGGCAGAAAGATAAATTCCTGCAAAACTAGACTGTTTTCAATATCTTTGTTGGATACTAAACACAAGATATTTAATTATTTCAAATATGTTGATATTTTATATGTAACTTGACTTAAGCAGAAAACGTACTTAAATTGACATCTTGATTTGTGTTTTTTTAATTTAAGTTTATTTCATACTCGACTTTTCACATACTAAATTTAAAAAAAATACTTGAAGTCGCACTTGGAACATGAAAAAATGATTTTTCATTAGTAATTTCAATACTTGATTTTTGCTTCTATTCTAAAAAATATTTTTCTAGTTTTGAAGAAGAGAAAAGAAAAAATTGGAAAATTCAAATAAATTTCTATCAATATATTTTGATATATTTTCATTTTTTGTGCTTATTTTATTTATTGAAATTATAAAGTTGTTCGTTTTCTTTCCAAATGCCGCTTTCGAAAATTGTCATTTACCGATTAAAATATTTAATAAAAAGGTTTTTTAGAATGCACAATGAATTCGCCTTTAGTTATTTTTCACATTGAACTTTGCGTGCTATTTGAACAATCGCGTTTATTCCATTTGCTTGTTGCACTATAAAAAAGTTAACTTAATCGAATAGACACGCGTGACGCCATTTTGTTTTGTTTAACTGTTCGCCGCGTCGCTGTCGCTGTCCGTTGTCTAATTGCAGTTTGGCATCGGGCGGCTGCGTCCAATACAAAATGCCGACGGCGAAAAATGGGCGCGCTACTCGCTCACTTTAGGGTGGGCGTCAACTAAAGCCAACAACAACAACAGCAGCAGCAGTCAACTGGGCGCAAGCGAAACAGCAACAACCTCACTTTAGACAAGTGGCGTGAGCGAGATGGCCATACGTACATGACGCTGCTACGGCTGCTGCTGCTGTTGGTGGTGTTGGTGCTGGTGGTGGTGGTGGTGTGCTCGCCAGTCGAGGGGCGTTGCCCGTGGTGAGTTTATTCAGCCTCAACATGGTGAGCATTTAGTATAACAGTTGAAGCTGTTTACGCAATTTAATGAATTGTGTTTGACAATATTTGCTGCTTGCTTACAGCAAATTAAAATTGTAAAAGAAATAATAATATATATATTTATGCAATATTATTATTTTTCGCTTTGCATTTTATATTTACAAAGCAACAAAAATAAATTTAATTGGAAAATAAGTTAATTTAAAACTTTTTAAATGATAATTTTCGTATAAAATTATGTTAAATAAAGAAATATATTAAACAAATATTGTGCCTTTTTTAAGCAAATAAAAAAGAGTAAATTGGATTTCTAATTTTTAGAATTTGTATTATTTGAAAGCATTAAATTTATTCATAAACATTTAGCAAAATAAGATAAGATTAAATAGAAGCTTTATGTTATGTATATATATATATATACATCTATATTTGTATATATTTCTAACTAAGAAACAGTATTCTTTGGTCGTATATACAAACATAACTAATCAAACCAATTTTGGTCCAATTTTTTAGTAACGTTTTTAAATATAAGCACTTAAAAATTAGTTTTGAGATTCTCTCAAATTTGAAATTATGATAAATTCCTAAAAGTTAAAGAAAAAATACTGTTGTAGTCTACATTTTTATGATTAGTTTCATTTACTTAATGAATTTTTTAAATTTCTTTCTTGATTTTTTTTTTCTGAATTAATTTTTGTTGGAATGTTTAGCGAGAACTTTACGTTTGAATATTTTCTGTCAGTTTTGGCGAAAACGTATTAGAGTAATAGGTTTTTTTGGCTGTGATAATTTTCGAATGTATTCCACAAACGAAAATTGGCAAAAACTATCTGATACAGTTTAGAAGCCACTGCCATTGTGTAGTAGTAAAACGAAAGCCCTCAAAGCGCAACAGCTGATCGGAGCGAAGCCGCAAGCTTTTGCGCTCAACAGCTTTTTGCTGAGGCTTATGCTCTCGCTCTCTCTGTCTCTCTCTCTCGATTTCATTGTGGGGCTTCGCTCGTAGTTTCGTTTCTTCGTTTTAGTTGTAATTTTGTTTTGATTGCATTTTGCCATTTAAACGTCTGTCGCGCTTAACAGCGACATTTATTATTATTAATATTAATAATATTACAGCAGGTGTGTATTCTCATATACTATTGATAAGAAACAATCAGTGAAGTTCATTTGCATAAAAAAATTATGTGCTTCTCTTTAGTTTATTTTATTTCCATATTGAATTTGTCGGCGCGTGCACTGTCTGTGTGTGCGTGTGTGTGTGTGTGTGGGCGCACATTCATCTGTCTGATTTGAGTGCGTGGAAGGCGCGTGTACAAGTGACGCCATTGAATACATACAAATCTAAAACACACACTCACGCACATACATACACATGCAGACACATCGCATTTTAACACATTTGCGAAAAAAGATGCTGCTTATCAAATCTAGATATATACATATGTATTAACACACACACATACACAGGCTTGCACTGCATATGGTAGACGACAAATGTAAACAAAAACAAAAACAGTTTTGTTAGCACTCAAAAGCTCATTGCTTGCTGCCTGTAGCTGTAATTTGTAGTTCAAACGTGTTTGTCATGCACACATACATAGATCGTAGCGATCGACAGAGGCAGCGCGTCGCATGCGAACGAGTGAGACAGAAAACTAAATACATACATATACGTCTAGAACGGTTGTGCTACAGTTGGCTCTGTTAAGTTCGCTGCGAACATTTGCAAACATGTTTGTCATACGCCAAGTTTGAGTGTGCTTGTGTTGGGAGCAGTTTGAGATGGACAAGTCTAAAATGCAAATAATTATTATTATTATTAAATCGAATGCAATTTTTGTAGGTATACAATTTGTAACTTTTGCTAAACTTTGTGCCTCTTGCCATCTCTCTCTCTCTCTCTCCCTCTCTCTCTCTCTCTCTCTCTCTCTCTCTCTCTGTCTCTCTTTCGATTCAGTTTCAGTCCGAAAACCCACAAAAGGTCGACCAAAACAATTGCCAAAACCGAGGCAGGTAAAACTAACTGTTGATGAAAGATTGTCGTAAATGAGTTTATGATTATGCACTTTCTTCTTCTTCTGCGTTTGCCTTAATACCTGGAATACCTTTTGAGCACACACACACAAATGCTTATGCATATAGACAAAGTAAACCCAGTCGCTGTCATAAAAATATTGACTTTAACTCGACTTTTTTTTGTTGTTCACCTGAATCTCGACCGTGGGATCGTGTTTGCCATTGTCTCTGCCCCTCACAACCCCCCCTCCCCCACCATCGCAAGAGATGCTAAAAGCATATTTCAAATAAAAAGAACATTTTGCACTCAAATTAAGTATAAATATTGTCAATATTAAGACCGTGGCTCAAAATCGTTAGAGATCAAAGTGTTTATTTTAGGGAGGTTTTTAATAACTACATTTCTAAATGGCAGAAATTGTCTTACGTATTTCTCCCAAAACAGTCTCACATTTTGAGATTTTTGTTCTTATTTCAATTACTAACATCTTCAAATAAAACTAACTCAGCTTTAATTGATTTTCAAGCAAACTTTTTCGAGCTTATTCCGTAGATTATTTGATCTTGATTCTAAATCGAGATTCCACAAAAAAAATGTGAGCCAATTATTAAACTATACCAGAACCTTTACACTTTACGTACCGAAACAGGAACCGGAACCGGAATATGATTTATTCTATTTTACCAATACGATAATTCTGCTGTAAAATGTTAACTTTATACAACTGTCAATTGAATAAACCAAAAAAGTCGTGTACAGCGCATCTGCTAGTCGGGCACTTTTTAGCTTTGCTCTGTTTTTATATTTCGCACTGATAGCGTTGCGAGACGGTGGCAATAAAGCTCATAATGTGTCTATCCCAAGATTGTGGATATACTAAATATATGCAGATAGATAGATACATCTATTTTTCCCGTTCCATCTGGATGCTATCTATCAGTACCGTCCGAGCTTTGTGCCACACAAGACTACAATTAATGAAACTAAAAAGGATTAGACTATTACAGGTGGTAAGATAGAATCAGGATAGCAAAAACTTTAGATAGTTTTTTTATATTGCTGTTAATGTCTGATTTATAATACAGCAGATCAATATATACACACAGAAAATAGAAAACATTTACGAATGCATCGCATAAAGAGAAAAGTTATCTAAATAGATAGATATATATCTAAATAGATAGATGTATATATATATATATATATATATATATATATATATATATACCTGATCAGCACCAACAGTTGAGTCGATTTAGACTTGATCGTCGATATACAACAGATCAATCTAAAAATTGCATTAAGTTCGCATATGAAACACAGATTTCGTTGAACAAATCATATCATGTTTTCATATTGACCAAACTGCTATCAGGAAGCCTATTAATATTTATTCGTATTTATGAACTTAAAGCAGGCTGTCTGCTAGTCGAGCACTCTAACTGTTATTCGAAGCCTAAACGCCTTATCTCTTCTTCGTTACAGCTTACCCAAAAACGGCACATTCGACTTTAAACGAGTTTTAATTGTCGCCTTCCCTACACCACAACATACCACACCACACGTCGCCACACCACAACAGATCCCACCACAACCCCCACAGTTGCAGGCGAAGTCACCACAGACACGATGCGTTTACAGGGACTCGTACAATTGCGCAGATATGCGACGACGATTGCCGCCACCCTCCGGCACACACACAAGCACACGCACACCAACACAATGGTGCGCACGCTGGCGAGCAGCGCATCGCCGCTGCCCGACTTCACTCAGGTAAGAGGAAGAGACAGAGCCAGAGAGTGAGAGAGAGAGAGAGTGAGTTGGGTCTGTGGTGAATTTGTGTCATTGTTACTGATGCTCAGTGGCCCAATCGCTACCGACCAAAAAGCAACGCGCTTTGTTTTTTTTATACATTTTTCTTTTTATTGCAAATGGTGGTTGGATGAACATTTGACTGTTTTGTTTTCACCATTTTAAGCTGATTTGAGGATTTGTGGTGCATTTTTATTAGGTTGTCATTATACGCTTTGAGAAATGTAGCCAAGTCGTAGTATTTAAATTTGGAGTATTTCGAAAATATAAAATCACAAAAGTCCCTTTTTGGCACCACAGATAACGGACAAGGTGCAGCGTGGCAATTACGCACAGCTAAATGATAAGGATGTGGTGCACTTTGAGCAGCTATTGGGCAAGAATCATGTCCTTACCGAGGATCTGGATGCCTACAATATATGCTTCCAAAAGCGCATACGCGGTAAGTATTTACAGTTATTAAGTTAATTTAAAAAGAGTAATTAACTTTAATGAAATTTAAATTTACTTAAAGTCAAAATATTTTCAATTTTAAGCAGGAAATCAAACAAAAATTGTTAATGTTTCGGATTCCGTTCTCCTTTTGAGTTTTAATCGGTTAACCGTTACGGTTCCGGTGACATATATATATATATATATATATTTATCAAGAAATATAGGGAATTTCGGCTTTGATTCTAAAATTCAATCGGTTCTTTTCATTTTGATGTGAATTTTAGTTTAAGACACTTTGAGCAATTTAAATATTTAAATATAATTTAAAGTGCGCTGGGAATGTATTAAATTTAATTTTGAGACAATCAGAAAACTGTACGTATTAAAACTAACAGATACATGTAATTAAGTAATTAAATGACTGTACCACAAGCAATTAAATTGTAAATAAATTGATATTCAGATCAACTACAATTAAGTTCCATTTAGTAGTTAATTAAAACAAATATAATTCTTGGACAAACCTTGGCAATACACTCAATTACCTTAAGTAATTAAATCAATTAACTTAGCTAGTTAATTCCATTTGGTTATGGAATGAATACCAAGTGTAATTATGCTGAATAACTGATTCCAATCTAATCCATGACAGGCAACAGCAAACTGGTGCTTAAGCCGGGCAGTACCGACGAGGTCGCCGCCATTCTGCGCCACTGCAACGAGCGACGACTGGCTGTGGTGCCACAGGGTGGCAACACCGGCCTGGTGGGCGGATCTGTGCCGATTTGTGATGAGATTGTGTTGTCGCTGCAGCGACTGAATAAGGTTCTATCTGTGGATGAGGTCACGGGCATTGCCATCGTCGAGGCCGGTTGTATTTTGGAGAACTTTGATCAACGTGCCCGCGATGTGGGTCTTACCGTACCCCTCGATCTGGGCGCCAAGGCCAGCTGCCATATTGGTGGCAATGTTTCGACGAATGCTGGCGGTGTTCGCGTTGTTCGCTATGGCAACTTGCATGGCTCGGTGCTGGGCGTGGAGGCAGTGCTGGCCAGTGGCCAGGTCCTTGATCTGATGTCGAATTTCAAAAAGGACAACACCGGCTATCATATGAAGCATCTGTTCATCGGTTCCGAGGGCACCTTGGGTGTGGTTACAAAGCTGTCAATGCTCTGTCCCCATGCCTCCAAGTCGGTGAATGTCGCCTTCATTGGCCTCAATTCCTTTGATGATGTCCTCAAGACGTTCGTCAGTGCCAAACGCAATCTCGGCGAGATACTCAGCTCCTGCGAGCTCATCGATCACCTTGCCTTCGACAATGCCCTCGATCACTACAAGTTTCTCAAGTGAGTACCCTTGATCGACTTGCAAATACCCTTTACTCTCAGGCATTCAAGACCCGGCAGAGTTTTCTAGTAGAAACATTATCCAAATCAAGACCAGGAAGGAATGGTTTTTATATCTCTCAGTTATTGCATATAATCAAGCACTCGATTTCTTAGATAAGATAGTAAAGTTCTTGAATCGGTCCTGCTATCATCTTAAATAAGAAGTACAAAAATGTTTACAAAGAGAACGATTTAATGCAATAATTTTTGCTTTTATTCATACAACTTTAATTGTACAACTTTAATACTTACAAAAAAGTTGAAAAATGATTCAAATTTAAGTTCGTTTTTTTGTCTGAGTGTAGTTGGGAGTAATCGAAGTAAAATTGAAGAATGTCTAGCGATGTTAAGTCATCCATTATGTCGAGTATATCTAATTGTTGATCATCCATTCTCGTAGATCCCCAATTACCGGATACCCATTCTATATGCTGATTGAGACGTCGGGCAGCAATGCAACACACGATGAGGAGAAGATCAATCAGTTCATTAGCGATGGCATGGAACGGGGCGAGATAATCGATGGCACCGTAACCGGTGATCCCGGCAAGGTGCAGGAGATATGGAAAATCCGCGAGATGGTCCCGCTGGCCCTAATCGAGAAGAGTTTCTGCTTCAAATATGACATCTCGTTGCCGCTCCGTGACTTCTATGGCATTGTCGATGTGTTGCGCGAGCGGTGCGGTCCCTTGGCGACAATCGTCTGCGGCTATGGCCATTTGGGTGACTCCAATCTGCATTTGAATGTGTCCTGCGAACACTTCAACGAGGACATTTACAAGCGGGTCGAGCCCTTCGTTTACGAGTACACCTCACAGCTGAAGGGCAGCATCAGTGCCGAGCATGGCATTGGTTTCCTCAAAAAGAACTATCTGCACTATTCCAAGAATCCCATTGCCATCGATTGGATGCGCGACATGAAGAAAATGTTCGATCCCAATGCCATACTCAATCCCTACAAAATGCTTAATTAATAAGCCCAACCAGTCACTCGATCAAATCTTTGTTTGTGCGCTCTTTTTTTTTGTAATTTTAAAATGTAAAGCTTTTAATACATGTAATAAATTGATTGTTTAAACTTTAAGCACAGCTTTAATTCAATTGCTAACGCCATCTATCGTTGACAGGCTGCGTTATCATTGCGCTCTCTATAGAGTATAGAGGGCACAGCAATGTGACGTCAAATGGTTTTTTTGTCTCTGTTTGCTTTTCACGTGCTGCTTGCATTTGCGTGCATTGCGCAGATCGCTAAAAAGCTCTGCACCGCTAGAGCTGAGATTAACGTCAACTTGGCTGCGCACGAAAGTTGCACTCTATCAAAAGTTGAACTGAGTTTTGAATGCTTTAAAAGATATTTTTAATTTGAATATCAATTCATAAAGATAGTTGACAATTTCAACATATTATGGGATGAGAATATAAAAGAGGATTCCAGCCGTGCGACTGCGTGTCATGCACAATGCAGCTCACGTGACACGCGCTCATATCTAAAGCAAAGCTTTTCGGGATTTTGTCATTTATCGTTTTGGCTTTGCTTCAGATTTAGTGTCAGTTGTAGTCGGCAAACGCGAACAGCCACAAGGCGGCAGCGGAGTAACAGCAGCAGCAAAAATCGAAACGAGTTTTTCGTTTGCGTAAAATTTACAACCTAATTAGTTTCCAAATCATTAACAAATCTTTTTTTTTATAAAAAATGAGCGGGTAAGCAAATTTCACACACAGACCGCCATAAATTTGCCAATTTTAGCATTTGCTTAATTTGTGTGTGCTCAATTTGTTGTTTTATTGTGTAAAATGCAGGAAAGCTGATATTGCCCTCATTGGATTGGCTGTAATGGGTCAAAATCTAATACTAAACATGGACGAGAAGGGTTTTGTGGTGTGTGCGTATAATCGCACCGTATCGAAGGTTCAAGACTTTCTAAACAACGAGGCCAAAGGCACCAAAGTGATTGGCGCCGACTCATTGAAGGACATGGTCGACAAGCTGAAAATGCCACGCAAAATTATGTTGCTTGTCAAGGGTAAGTTTTTATTGTCACTGTTGTTGTGGAGTGGCGTGAAGTGATCGCGTCATGTGTGTGTGTGTGTGAGTGTGTGTGTGGAAGTCAAAGCAAAGTCATGCATACGCAAAAATTGCAACGTGCACTGACAACAACAACAACAACCGTTAAAGAGAGAGCTTAAATCTGATTTGATTTTGTTTACTCAAGCGCTGGGCGCAGTTATCGATATTTCTAGGTTTTTGTGTGATTATCGCTTAAGCTTAAGCCGCAGCTTAATGAGCTCGATAACTGAATGATTTGCAAATTTTGAGCAAGTGAAAGCTTTGTTTACATTTTGCATGGCTGGTATTCATACATTCTGACATTCAATATAGGTCACACACACACACACTTTGTTTTCGACTTGCAATTGTTATCAAATTGTTGTTTGCCATTTAATAGTTAATGCTGGTGTGCAGAAATTAGCGATTGGGCGACTTTGGGCTAACCTTAGTTCAAGGTCAACCGTAAGCAACACTTGATCAATTAGAGTTGAGTGCGTGACACGCTTAATTTGACCTAAAATTTAACGAAACAAAATAAAATAGAGAAAGACAAGAAAAGCAGGCACGTATTACATGCCTGGCCTTGCTGTCAGTCACGCTGCCATCTCTAACAGTGACTTTCTAAACAAACTTGACCTCTAATCAACTTGACCTAAACACGTTTGCTTTTTTTGTTCTGTCGCAGCTGGCAACGCTGTGGATGATTTCATTGGTCAACTGGTGCCACTGTTGTCGCCCGGCGACGTTATCATCGATGGCGGCAACTCTGAATATCAGGACACATCGCGTCGCTGCGATGAACTGGAGAAGCTCGGACTTCTCTTTGTCGGCTCCGGCGTCAGTGGCGGTGAGGAGGGCGCCCGTCACGGACCATCCCTAATGCCCGGCGGACATGCGGCCGCCTGGCCACTGATCCAGCCAATCTTCCAAGCGATCTGCGCCAAAGCGGACGGTGAACCATGCTGCGAATGGGTGGGCGATGCGGGCGCCGGCCACTTTGTGAAGATGGTGCACAATGGCATCGAATACGGCGACATGCAACTGATCTGCGAGGCCTATCATCTGATGCAGTGTTTGGGCCTAACACCGCAACAAATGTCCGATGTGTTTGGCCAATGGAATGGGGAGGAGCTCGACTCGTTCCTCATCGAGATCACACGCGATATACTCAAGTACAGGGACGCCGGCGGTCATCTGCTGGAGCGTATACGCGACACGGCCGGACAAAAGGGCACCGGCAAATGGACAGCGATTGCAGCCCTCCAATATGGTGTGCCCGTTACGCTCATCGGCGAAGCCGTCTTCTCGCGCTGCCTCTCGGCGCTCAAGGATGAACGGGTTCAGGCGAGCACTGTGCTCGCCGGACCCGCTCAGAACTCGTGCACCGTGGATATGAAGAAATTCTTGAATAGCCTCAAGCATGCACTGTACTGTGCCAAGATTGTCAGCTATGCGCAGGGCTTTATGCTGATGCGCGAGGCGGCCAGCGAGAATAAATGGAGTCTCAATTATGGTGGCATCGCATTGATGTGGCGCGGCGGTTGCATCATACGCAGCGTCTTTCTCGGTAACATCAAGGATGCGTACACCCGACAGCCGAAGCTCTCCAATCTGCTGCTCGATGACTTCTTTAGGCGGGCCATCGCCGAGGGCCAGGAGTCGTGGCGTGAGGTTGTCGCCAAGGCCTTCCTTTGGGGCATACCGGTGCCGGCTCTATCCACCGCACTCAGCTTCTATGATGGCTATCGCACCGCCAAGTTGCCAGCGAATCTTTTGCAAGCGCAACGTGATTATTTTGGTGCCCACACCTACGAGCTGCTGGGCAAGGAGGGGCAGTTTCATCATACCAATTGGACGGGCACCGGTGGCAACGTCTCCGCCAGCACCTATCAGGCATAGATTGCGACCACGTGTACATATATATATATACATTATATATATATATACGTTGGAGCATACATTCCACATGTATATGTTTATACGGTGATCTTTGTTTCACAATATTGCAATTTGTTTATTATTTTAATGCTGAGAAATGTTCGCGTTTGTTTCTAAGTTCTTTTTTATTTTCAATGTTTTGTAGTTTCGAATTTATAAAATGTTTTTCATTTCATTTCGAATTCATTCAAATTATCTCCAACCGTTGCTGTTTTGCATATGGAATATAATATAATTAATTTCATCAACTTGAAAATTAAGTTTGAAATTAATGGGTTTTTCTTCCTCTGAATTTTTTTCGAGTTTTAATTTTTTTTTATTAATTTATTATTAACGTTAATTTAATTTAATTTGTTGATCAATGGAAGTTGTCAAAGCGAGCGAGCACTGTATACAGTCTGTATACCTCTTTATATCCAATATACTCTGGGGCCTTTTGGTCTACAATTGTGTTTCTCTTTCCTTTTTTTGTTTTGTCGAGTAAGGCTAGCAGTACTTAGTTATAAAATTTGTAATTAAACAAAAAATATACAAACGTATTTGGTTTCATTTGTAATTCGATATAAATATATTAATAAATTGGTGTTGCTTTTATTTCACTGCAATCCATATTGATTTTTTTTCTTTTGTTTTTGGTTTGTGGTTTAACAAGCGATATTCAAATTTAACGAACTTTTTCTAGTTTAAGGCCGCTATTGGCTGAGCCTTGGTATGTGTATGTGTTGTTGTTGTGTATGAGTGTGTGAGTTAGAGATGCAACTGCGACTTGCATCAGTCATCAGATGGTCGCAGCGTCTTTTTTTGCTCGATAACCAGCTTGTCCGTCGTGTAAAGATGACCGATAATTACCTGCATGTACGAGAGGATGTGAAATGAGAAACAATATGTTATCATAATCAATGCTGACGTAAATAGCGTTCACATGCACACACATATATACATACATGCATACAGCGTTGGGTCAATTTAATGACCCGGCGTCAACTAAAAACTCTAAGCTCAAAACTCACTACTCACCTGTCGCCGTATTAGCTCAAGATTTTCTTTAGCGCTGGCCATTTGTCGATCGATTTCATTGAAATCTTTAAGCACCTTATTGGCACGAAAAGTGTCTCGTATCTTGCGCGCCGCATACATTCTGTACAAAAACAACAACAAATGTTTTCAATTATCTTATGATATTTCACAATTTGCCACACAGTACGCACCTGAAGTTATATGATGGCAGCTTCTCAGATTCACGTAACAGATTTCGATATAATGTGATGGCTTGGCGACGTGTCGACATCTTTGTGCTGAAGTTGGATAATTTACAATTTAACGTTGATTTTAATTGATAATAATCTTGTTGAGTATTCTGCGGCTGAACCATACAATTTGGCGATGTTAGCAAATAAAAATGGGAAACAGCAGAGTATCGGCTTTGGCTCATGCGATATATCGATGACAGTATTTTCTTTGTCAGTATTTTATGCTCAAGAAATTATTGTCTTTGGCCATATCGGTGTTTAGTAGAGCCACAGCGTTGCAAAAACTAACGTTGGACTATCGGCTTGCATTGTGATATCGGTATTTTTCGCTAGTTGTGAGCAGGATCACGACAAAAGTTGGGTAGCTCCGAAGCAAAAACTCGTCGAGAAAAGCCAAATACGCTCGGGTGTCATTTCTCTGTCCGTGCTGTTGAAAGAAACATTTAGTCTGTGTGCCGCCTTGCCAAAATTATTGGCGAACAACAAACGAGAAAGCCAGCAAGCAAGTAAGTACAACCAAATCACTGTAATAGTGTCGAATTAGTGGTAGATTTCTGCGAAAGTGCCTCAAATGCGACAATGCCTGTGATGACGGCGTCGGTATTCCAGTTGCAGGTGGTCGTCTGCTGATGCTCCAAATGTGCGCATTTTCATACATATACATTATATATATATTATATACAATACACATAATGTGCAGATATATATATATATATATATACGTGTGCTGCTCTCATTTGCAATACAATCTGTTGCTAACTACAGAATGGAGAAAAATGGAGTTGATTGTTGTTGTTGGCTGCGGGGCACCGTTATTTAGAGAAGGCCGGCGTCGCACGACGTGTGCTTGCCGCGTGTTGTTCGCAGGGATTCGAATAACAATATATAAATGCCTATATACCTCAGTTGCATGCCCTGCTCTAAGCGAATTAAAAGCGTTTTATATTTTATGCAAAAAAAAAAAAACGGCAGACTAACAGCGGCCAATCGAGAAATTTGTTGAGGTTAAATCCGAATTGCTGTGGGGGGAAAAAAATTTGCGTCATGTTTCAGACTGGCGCGTGTATTGGCGTCTGAGCGTGTGTGTGTGTGTATCGGCAATTGGTGGTCGTGTGTGTGTTTTGGGCTATGCGTTAGCATTTGTTATTTTATTGTGTGTTTATTAATAAGACGAAATCGCATTCAGTGTTTTTATGTGAAAATAGGTAGATTGCAGATTGCACTTGGCCTCTTCTGTTCCTCTTTGCATGTTTCCCATGCATTTTGGCGCGCTTTACATGCGTCTGCTGTGTTAGCAGCAATCGTTACTCTCTCCACACTTCATTCTCTCTTACATTATTTGGCCTGCTCGCTCGCACTCACAGGGTTGTTGTCATTTCATGCGTATGTTAAAGCTACACACAGCACACACATTCCACGCATTTGTGTGAGTGCTGCTGATTCAGCTGTTAAACGCATTTCAACAATATCTGCAAATTTCTTCTGCTTTCTGCTTTTATTCTGGAAAGATACTTTTATTATGTATTTAACAATCGAATTGCGTTGAATGTTCGAAAGAATATTTATTTAATTTTAATCTAAATGAGAGAAACAAAATATATACGAAGTTGCAGTAACGAATTGTAAGGGTTGAATTTCTCACAAATAAATTCGCTTACATACAGTAAGCAGTAGTGGTAGTAGTCGTAGTGGTAGACAGAGAAGCAACAAAAACAACATGGCATCGCCGCATGCTACCTGCCTGTACACACACACAGACATACACGCACACACTGATAGCAGCTGCACTTTTGCGCTCTCTTGCATTGACTGGCTGTACATCGCTCTCTCGCTCTGTCGCTGTCAATAGAGTGTCGGAGGCTGGCAACAGCTGTTGTTGTCCTTTGGCGCGCTTTGCTCAGCCGCCTTTGGCATTTCCCTTCTTCCTTTTCTGCTGACCTTTACCATTTTCGTTTTGCGTACGCTCGCGTTCGCATTCACACTCGCATTCGCATTCGCATTGCGCACGTTGCACGTTGAGCAACGAATTTTTTTTTGCAAAACAACAATAAACAACAAGTTCAAAAGAAATTAAGCTAAAATCAATTTTTAAAACTCCTTAACAGCAACAGCAACGCAACCAACAACAGTGTTGTAAAGGGCATAAATACATAACAACAACCACAACGGCAGCAGCAGCAAAGATGGCACAGGAAGGACAAGATATGCCCACTTTTAAGTGCGTATTGGTTGGCGACGGTGGCACTGGCAAAACAACATTCGTCAAACGCCACATGACGGGTGAATTTGAGAAGAAATATGTGGCCACATTGGGCGTTGAGGTCCATCCGTTGATCTTCCATACGAATCGCGGCGCCATTCGTTTCAATGTCTGGGATACGGCTGGCCAGGAGAAATTTGGCGGTTTACGCGATGGCTATTATATTCAGGGCCAGTGTGCCGTCATCATGTTCGATGTGACGTCACGTGTCACATATAAGAATGTGCCCAACTGGCATCGTGATCTTGTCCGCGTCTGCGAGAACATTCCCATTGTCCTCTGTGGCAATAAGGTGGACATCAAGGACCGCAAGGTCAAAGCCAAAACCATCGTCTTTCACCGAAAGAAAAATTTGCAGGTGAGTCTAAATGATAGTCGTGGGTGGGTTGTTGGGTTCGTCGCGGGCGGAGGGGATAAATGCATCAATATCGGATCAGACAGAGACAGACAGACATCGAATGAAAACGAAGAGCGCAAGAGAGAGAGACAGATAGAGATAGAGAGAGAGAGAAAGGTGGAAGTGCTACCCAATAATTGTTGTATACTAGATCAGTTAGCTTTGCCTATAACTATGAATATATATTTAATTTCTTGCTATATTCGAGTGGAAATTGTAAAGAGAAAGAAACTGTTCATTTTGGGTTTATTTCCAAATTAGAGAATTCGATTTGTGGGATTTAACATTGATAATTTACTAATTAATTGTTCTCTTTATCGATAGTACTATGACATCTCTGCTAAATCGAATTACAACTTTGAGAAACCCTTCCTTTGGCTCGCCCGCAAACTGGTCGGCGATCCAAACCTGGAGTTTGTGGCAATGCCGGCACTGCTGCCACCCGAGGTCAAAATGGACAGAGACTGGCAGCTGCAAATTGAGCGTGACTTGCAGGAGGCGCAGGCGACCGCCTTGCCCGATGAGGATGAGGATCTATAAGCATTAGTTTACATATAACACACACACAATAAACAACAACAATTCAAAACTACAGAGCAAGAATACCAAGGTGTAAACAAACCAAGCAGCAGAAACAACAGCAACAGCAAGAGCAAGCTAATTTGTTAAACAGTTAACAAAACACAACAAATCACAAACAGCAAGTGTGCATCAACAACAGCAACAACAACATCGAGGCGACATTGCAAGGATCACAACAACAACATCGAGGCGACATTGCAAGGATCACAACAACAACACACACACACATACACGAACACACACTCACAAAACAACAACAACAACAACAAAACACATTCATCGAGTTGCCCAAATTATTATTATTATATTATGTACACGTAACTTAATTATTTTTGTTTTTTTTTTTATTGCTCTTGTTGATTGAACTTAAAATGTATGTCGAAGGATACTAGTAAAGACACAACAAAAAAACTAGGAAAAAAAATAGAAGAAAAAGTAATTAAGCGACTGTAAGCAAAATATACCAGCAACAAATGGGCAGCCCATTTGTCGGCAGAAGAAATGGTACACATAAACAAGAACAACAACAACAACAACAAGAACATCTGCAGCAGCAACAGGAGGAAATTATCCAATTATGTATTGCGATTTGAAGTGTAAAATATTAAATAGCTAAGACAAATAAAAACAAACAAAAATGGAATGAATTACAAAGTGTAGTTGTAGTTTTCATTTTTTATTATTAAAATGTTGGTGTTTTTTTTTTTACTACGCGCTAACATTAATTTGATCATTTTTCTTTATATATATATATATATATTTTATGTATGTATGTGTGTAGATATATATATATCGTCACTGATATATAGTTGCTCTCCCAGGATTCTAGCATTTGATACAGCAGGCGGGAAAAACGCCCGTAAAACGCTGTTTGTTCTGGCAGGTGATTTTTTGCTGAGCGCAGCTATTAAAAAACGAAAGAAAAAAATATTGACATATATATATATATGTATATATATTTTGGCTATTATTATTATTATTAGGTCGGCAACCTATTTGATCAATTGTGCCTGAAGTCCTGCCATCAATCAACAATAATTTTTGCTTGCCTAGGATACTATCATCTTTAGCTGGCATGCTGTGCTTTAAGGATTCCACTGCATCATCAGAGTCCACTGCTGACTGTACCCACTTTAGTTAGATGACTTCATAGTCTTATTTCGGGTTTATTTTATTCCCATGAATCGATTTTGATTATAGCTGCCTGAGAGACACTTGGCTTGTCTGAGAACTGGTCAACTTTTCGATGTCTTTCTTCGTTGCCGCCTTATTCTGTGCTCAGCTATGCCACAATACTTCTTCAGTTCTGTTCGTATTAGGGGTCTATCTGCACTTCATATCCCTTAAAGATACATTGTTCTATTTTGTTGTTCTATAAATATGCGACTCTTCGCAGTAGCCTATTCCAATTTGGTCTACTATGAAAAGCATATCTATATATTAACTGCATAAGTCGATTGTTTGACACAGTCACAGTTCGGGATACGGATAGTTGGGTATGTTTGGTGGATGGTACTTACTCCTCGACAATGGTCTTGAATGTGTCCGTGCAGATGGCGCGCTTTAGGCACTTGCCCTCCTTGCCAAAGTCCACGTAGTCCTGGCCCTTCTTCAGCAATGGCAGATACTTGAGAAATATGGTCTCATCCTCCGCATTGCGATACGTGCACACTGGCTCGCTAACTATATATATATATAAGATATATGATATAGGATATAGGATAGATTGTGTGAAATGTGTGCCTAGATTCGATTAGATTTACACAACTCACCGCCATCAATCGTACCGATCTTCATCATCATCATCATGAGGAAGAACGCAATTGTTGCGATCAGTAAATTTGAAAAGTTGCGCATCTTTTGGGAATGGATTTGTTCGACTGAAGCCCGCCAGCTGAACCAGTTTGCTATTTATACTACCGACTACCTCGACTATTATCGACCATTATCCCCGGCACAACTTGAGCAAATTTGCAATTCAAATGTGAAATGTTAATGCGTTTGTTTGTTTCTTTCAATTCATTCAACTTAACTGTTTGCTGTATGCTCTACACAATTAGTTGGGTTCTCTAGTCTAGTTTCTAAGCTACCCAGTTAGTGTAAACGTAGCGCATTCGTAGTACCCTCTAGTCCAGGAACCAGACAGCCAGACTGGCCAGACAGTCTGAATGAATGCGGTTTATTCGCTGTTTTAATTGCATAATTGTTCACTTGTTTAGCACAACTGTTCTCAACTGTGCTCTCTGCTTATTGTTGATTGAGTTAATTACTATTTTCATCAGTTTTTTAAGTGGATTGCTTCAGCATCTTACTTATAACTAGTATATGTTTATTTAGGTTCAACTTTTTGACTAAGTTCGCCTGCTCGGTTCGCATCGCAATGTTTTTCTAACACTCATCAAACTGAAAACAATTTTGTTTTTACAATCTTTAATGATGCATCAAAATATTCTGTTTTTAAGAGTCTCAATAAATTCGAAAATAAAGTTGAAAATAATAATATCGTTGTCTGATTTTGGTATTTGAATGATACTTGATTCAAGTACAACGTATTCTATTTTATCCATTCTTGAGCCATTGAGTACAAAATTATTTAAATAATCTTACAATAGATTTGAAAAATAAAAATAAAATAAAATATCATACAATAGTTTTCCTCAATTTGAACCCACATCGAAGTTTGTAATCAAGATTCAACTTTTTTCTAGATCGCAAAAAAATGAAAATACTCACTTAAAAATTGTTTGTGTATTTAGTATATTTAACATGCTTTTTAAACTGAATACAAAAGAACATATATCTATATCTATATATATATATATATATATATATATATATATATATATGTTGGGGTTTGTGGACTTTTGTCTTTCCTGCTTGGCAGGTGGCAAGCCATATAAATATAAAGCCACAGATGTTTTAGGGAAAAAGAAAAGATGGTTATTTATAGACAGGTATTGATTATGGATATGGCTAGATATCATTGCTCTCCGGCCCCTCGCAGATCAGCTTGGGACAACAGTGGGGAAAAATGCGACGCATATCGGAGTCAATTTTACAGTTCTTCGTAGGCACCAGATTGTGGCGGCCACAGCTGCAACATAGAAGATATTGAACAAATATAAGTTTAGAAATCACATTTGATGCAGAACTTTAATTTGATTGGATAATGATTGGACATGTTTACTTTATAGATAAAAAATTACAAATATATATATATATATATATATATATATAAACTGTGGATAGGTTGAAAATTCTAGACAAGAGAACAGTTCTGATTAATTTTGAGAACTTACCAATGAAGAATGTTTTCTGACTGACATATATTATGGCCAGTTTGGGATTTTCAAATATTATCCATAGATTTCTCTAAAGTCAAAAACTTGTACGAGTAACTAGTATTATATAAGTACTCAAATTCTTCGATCGATATTGATAAATGAATCCAGTTCGCTTATAGAGAAGCTCGACACTGTAGTTATAGCAAAATTCAACTTACAAGCCAATCTCGAGAACATAGTCAGGTCGACAGAAGATGGACTTGCAGTGCCCCTCACGATTGATGGGCTTATATGACTGATTTTTGGGTATGGGCTGCTTCAGTTCCTCATAGTAACACTGTCCGGGATAATCTGATAATGGAGTCTCACATTAATTTTCTCTCTCTCTCTCTCTCTTTATCTCTCTCGCAATTGGTGTGTCTGTGCGTAACTTACCCGGATGTATGGCATTGCCACGATAACCCAAGTCTGCCGAGACACCAATGAAGATCAGGGCGAAGAGTAAGAGCATCGGCACTCCAAATCCGTAACCAGGTCCAGCCTTAATGGGTATTATCCACATGACGAAATCTCTTGAAAATGACTGAAGGAAACAGCTTGTTGTTGTGTCAACCTTGTTGCTTGAGCGTCGAACGTGCGACTGAGTCAATGGCAATTAATTGTTGTTGCTTTTATATAAAATTAATAATAATGAAACAGTCTACACTGCACAAAAACGACACACACTGCAGTCAATTGCTGAACTCGCCGTTGACCTAATTACGCAATTAAAGACTCAAAGCACACATTTGGAATGAAATAAAAATCGATGATTTCCAAGCCGGTTTCCGGTTTGAAAATGAAATCCAATCATTTTGCAACAATGTTTCTGTCAAGTGTATCTGCAACTCTCTGTAGTAAGTGTTTCTGTATCTGTATCTGTATCTGTATCTGTATCTGCATCGCTGTAAATGTGTGTGTATCTGAAATATGGGGCATGTGCGTCGTTTCAGTTCAGTTTCAGCGTCAGTTTAGATCTAGTTTGAATTAATTAAGTCCATGTCAGCCCTGAAATCGAGAGTCTCGCTTGCGTCGGAGCTACAACAACAACAACAACAACAAAACAGCAAACGCAAGTGAAAATGCTCGAGTCGAGAGAGCTCGACTTGCAGATACTCCTTGTCCAGGTCTTTAACTATCCATCCATTTCTCAGATATGATTTTTATGTTTCTCTACCAAACTTGAAGAAATTTTTACAGAATATCAATATAATGACAAGGTATATGATATATCTATAAATCGATTTGTATCGATATGCATGAAACTTATCGATAACGTTAAATAAACTTGATCTGCGTATGACATTAGAGTGCTTATATAATCGCTCTAATAGTCTCTGAGATAGTCAGACGCACATAGCCAAATCGAGTCGGCTGTTGATGCTGCTCATGAATATATATATATATACCTTGTGGGCTCGCAGATGCTTACTTCTACCAACAATGGTAGAAGAACTAAAGACTTTTCACGCATTGCGTATCATAATTGACCCAATGAAATATATATATATATACTTTATGGGGTCGTAGACTTATCCAACAATATCTTACGCACTTTGTGATAGAACAGACAATGCCAGAAAAAAAGTACCCATAGTTTTATATTGAATGTATTTTTACATAAATCAATTGAAAACACGTTTGCCTGCCAATAAATAAGGTTTGGATGAGGCATTGTCATTTATCACCTAGAATAGAAAATATAATTATATACCATTGATCACCTGAGTCTTTATTTGTTTGTTAAAAAACACACACAACTTGACGACAGTTGAATACGCTTCCGATATGGCATAGAATTGGGTAGGAATCGAGAAAGTTTATGGGTAAGGGAATCGAAAATTAGATATACTATATATATATATATATATCGAAAAAGGTATAAGGAAATATTGAAAGTGCGGAATAAAATCTCAACAATTCATTTTTTTTTAATAATAATTCTGCGTTTATTGGAATTTCAATAATAATAAAAATTGAAAAATATTATATTACAATTTACTTACTAAATGATATATAATTTTAAGCTAGCGAAAATATAAATTTTAGTTTGTTGACCAATAAAATCAGATGTCGAATTGTGACAAGCGAAACAAAAAAGCCCCGCTGAGAGTATTATTTAAATATACAATATTTATTTATATACAAATATATACATATATATTTATTTATATGTATTTAAAGAATTTACACATGTACATTTGTTTCATATATATTAGCTGACAAAAATGCGCTGATAATAATAAGTTGGGGTTCTCAGTATGAGGTGCTTTGTCTCAAAAGCATTTGTGTATCTCAGTCGAGGAACTCAAAATGTGTCGCGGATTACTAACACTAATGTCTTGGGCATGGATCAGCTTGATACTGTCGGGCTCCGTGTTGGGTTTTAGCACCCAATATCGTGGCAATACCCAACATCCAAGTAAGTCTTAAAAAGTCAAGTTTATTCAATTTAATTTAAAGTTGTCTTTTGGAACTCAACAAAAAAGAATAGAAAAAAGCAGCGAATAAATGATATTTTCTAACAATAAAATCGAAAATAAATTCAATTGTGAAAAGGAATCCGGTAATTAAGTGTAAAGATTCCGTTTAAGGTTATCGATGGATTCCACACATTTTTCGGTATTCCATGCTTTATGGATATATATAATATCGATCCCTGAAAAACAATGTTTGAATTTGCGGTTTCGGTTCTAAATTATCGTCAATCGTTAAAGTTACGGTTCAGTTTCAGATTGGACACATTTGAGCTGTAGACTGAAGACAAGCCGAGCACAAACTGAAAATAGCATACTATATATATCAGCATATATGCGCCTGATCCCACTAATAATATGTATCCCTATCAAAAGCTATACCGGAGCATTGCTACTATGCTGAACTGGAACTGGCTGTCCGGCGCAATGATACCTCATTTCCGGTCGATGTTCCGCACTTTTGTGCCCAAGTGCATTGTCGGGATGATTATGTGCTGATGATCAAGCAGTAAGTTAACCACCATATATGCGTAGGGATATTATGGACATGACTTTCACAACTGATTAACTGATTCCATAGCTGCGACCGCATCCAGTTGGCCAATGGCTGTGTTTTCACAAGCAACGACTACTCGCTACCCTATCCGGATTGCTGTGCCCGACTTGAATGCGACTAGTGATTATATATTGATATATATATATATATATATATATATATAGTGATTGAACATTGATTATATTATATTTGATATTTTGTTAATTCTTTTATGTACATCTTATATCGATTGAGGTTCACAGTTCGAATCCTTTGTTTCGTGTGTATTCCAATAATGAAATTTATTATATTTTACATTTTTCAGTTTTTCTTATTCAATTTGTATAGCTGATCAATATTATCACGATTTATATATCTCAAGCGCTATATCTCAATTGCGGCTTTTAATGGAATCGTTAATCAATTTTTATCCATTTTCATAATCTGGAAATATTATATTTGGGTCAAATTTGACTAGTTTTCTTTCAGATAACTAAGGTAGTCCCTCTCTGCCTGTGCCTCTCTCTCTCTCTTTCTTTCTGTCTCTCTCTCTTTCTTTCTGTCTCTCTCTCTCTCTCCCTTTCTCTCTCTCTCTCACTGTCTCTCTGTTAACAGGTCTCATTTGTTTAGAGATTATTCGGTTCCGTTTTAGTAAGTCGGCACTGATACCCCCAAATGATCCCCGAGAAATCTGTGTGCTGGACAAAAAGGTCATATATAGAAAATGAAATCTGATAAGCTAGCCAGTCAGCTATATACTGAACTCGCTGTTAGCTTGAGCATTCAGTTTGCCTTAGATTGTTTTTGAGGAACGTTATTCTTTTGTTTGGCAATTGCAATGAAGGCGGCCACATTTATCCTCTGTGTGCTGGTGCTGAGTGCCCATGCCCTGTTGGTTCTGGCTGGTAAGTAATATATATATATATATCTATATATATATTTATATATAGATACTAAAAATCCAACAGACTGTCAGATTGCCGGTCGCAGATTGCAGCCGGGTGAGACATATCAGCCACCAGGTCGTTGTGTTCTAAACACCTGTGGATCGAACGGAATTACTACAAGCAAAACGTATGTATATTTGTATCTGATGTATCTGCTGTATATAGTGCATATATGGATATATATTAATCTATCTGTTCTCCCCTTTAGCTGTCCCTCTTTGAGCAGTTTGCAGCCCTGCAAAATAGTCGAGGATGCCTCTAAGCCCTTTCCAAAATGCTGTCCCCGTTTCGATTGTGCCAATCAAAATTTGAGGCTTTAATTAACAATCTGTTAACAATAACAAAAACAATAAATAAATATATTTAAAAATCAAGAAGATTACATACCTGAGTCACTTTAAATGTGCAAAGAGCCACTGATTATTCCGATAACACCTATATGATATAGTAGTACGATATGCTGTCCGTGGCAAGGAGTGGAATTGTGTTGCAAGTTGCATCATTCAAATGTGCTACGAGCTCACATTGTCCACAAGATATATACGCAGAGATCGATTTATAAAGACCAAAATATCTGTTTATTGGATTTTTTGGTTTGGTATACATGCTTGAACTTAGCCAATATGCTCGTATATATATAGGTATATATACGTATATATATTTACTAGTATATGTATATGTCTCTCAATTTGCATGGATTAACTAGACCTCTATATAACAACACATACGCAAATACAAATATATATATATATATCGATATATATATGTATATATATTTTGTTTTTTTTTTCTTTTCTTTTTTTGTATAGTTATCTAAAATAACTAATTGCTGTCTGCAATCGAGCACAGTATTCAATTGTTGTTCTCTTACCTAAATCGAGTAGATTATATATATATATATATATATATATATATATATATATATATATATAGTATACATTGTGAGCTGATTGTTTTTTGGTAGCAGTGTCCTACTTAAAGCTGTACAACAACAATGTTTAGAACACATGCAAACACACAGCAAAAAATCGACGCTTAAATGCGTCACATATATAGATATATATCTATATATATGCATATATAGGGCAGGTGCAACTTAGCCTAGACTATATATAAATACATATATAAATGTTTTATTTATGTCTATGAAATTTGAAGCTGTCTTCTGGCTCGCTTCATTTTGTATGCAATATTGCAATATTCAAATAGTTATATATATATATATCATATATATTACTTTTATAACCTGAGCTAGTCTAAACATTTTTTAACTATGGTCCGCCGGCACAAATTTGTCAATTTTTTTTGTGGTACAACAAAAAGAAAAAAAAAAAAATCAATCAAAAAAAAAAAAGGAGAAAATTAATACAATTTGCTATTGTTTAATTTACATACACATATATATTATATAAAAATATTAAAATGTTAACCTTAATAAATAAATGAAAGCACATTTAGTTGAAAGTCAACGTCGACACTCGCCTCTTATGTTTATATGTGTGTTGCATGATGAAAGTAGAAGGTGGCATTTAAGTACGCATCGAATGAGAGAAGGATATATCTAGAATGTACCGCGATATATCAGTTAGAATAACTATATCATTTAAACTATTAATCATAGAGCTATTGCCTAATTATTGGACAGATTTACGATTCTATATTGTGGCATTAATGTATTATTCACTTATTGCTTACATCAAGACCGAGAACACACTACATCAGAAAATAAATCATAAGTGCATTTCAAAAATAAAAATTAAATTAAATATTTATGTAAATATATATACCGATTATTCTAATTTTGTTGTGTGACAATGTGAACTTTAAAATATATATATATATATGAATTTATCATATGATTCCGATGTGTTGTCTGCCTTCAAATAGATATATGAACAGATTTGTATGTAATAAAAGAAAAAGAACGAATCTGGTTTGAAGACGCTTTAAGGGAAACATCTTTGACCCCATAAGATATATATATATATATATATATATATAGACATATATGTATATATACATCTGATCAGTCTTAAGGGACCAATCGCTATAGCAAGGGTATCAAAAAATACAACAAGAAGCAATTCAATTTAGCAATTTGATAACTAAAGCTTCGACTTAAATGCAACATTTACATTCACCATGCAACCGATTTATGTGGAGATGGAGAGTAGAGCTTAATCTGGCGATTTAAGATGCGGCATGCCGCACTCCTCCTCTCATTGGCGCGCTGCACGCTCCGTTTCCATGAGGCACTCACGGACCAGAATGCGTGCATGGACAATGCCACGCTTCAGTCGCTCCGTCGAGCTGCGCGATCCTGTATACGTTGGCCGTATATCGCGTCCCATCTCCTCGATGACGGCCAAGAGTTGAGCATATTTGGTCAAACCGTTGCCAACGGACAGACTGCCAACTGTCGGCAGATTGGCAGTGGATGTCAGTGGCGTTGTTATATTCGCCGATGTCTGTGTGGTGACGATCGCAGGCGATGTTGATGGTGGCGGGTACTTCAGCTGCGATTGTGTGAGATTCAAGCCAAGATTGCTGCTGCTGCTGTTGGTGTTAATGTTACTGCTGTTGCTGTTGTTGATATTGTTGATGCTGTTGATGTTGATGCTGCTACGTCCACCGTTCGAGGCGGCTGCAATGTTGGCCAGCGATAGAGCTGCCGCTGCCGCAGCAGCCGCAGCTGATGCCGATGCCGATGACGGTGTTGCCGTTGTATTCGATTGTTTCTGCAGCAGCGCCAGCTGTGCCTGCAGAAATTGCGGTGAGTATTGCAGGGCGGCAACGGCGGCTGCTGCCGCTGCTGTCGCTGCGGCGCTGCTCTGTGTGACGCTGTTACGGTCACGCTTACTACCACCTCCGCCGCCGCCACCTAAACCGCTGCTGCTGCTGCTGTTTGTGGCATAATCGGTAGCGACCATATTATTATTATTATTACTATTATTATTGTTGTTGATGTTGCTGTTGTTGCCGGTGTTGCTGCCGCTATTTGTCGAATTGTTGCTGCCACGTGAATGATGTATGGCGGATATTTGGATTTGGGGCTGCTGTTCGCGCTGCTCGCGCTGCTGCTGATAATTGTAGAAGTTTTGTACTTGCGAGCGGGGTATTGGTGTCACTGTGACGTCACTGAGCTTCGATTCGACAGCCTGTATGTCCATGATGTCCATTCTGCCTGACTGCCTGCTGTTCGTATAATTATAATCGGTATATATGTATTTACATATTATTTGAATGCACTTACCAAATTCTCTTCTGCAAATTGTTCTTTTTTTTCGTCTTTTTTCTTTTTTCTTCTACGCACAAACAAATTTAGTGCAACCACCACAAACACAAACACGCACACGAACACGAACACACACAGGGTTAGTCAGTTGCGATCTGTTATCGATATATCGATATATATATGTTGTAATGCACTTGTTAGGTGAAAATACCAAATGTATTCGTGAGTCAAGCAGCTGTTTTGCTTTGAGCTCATTGCATTAATTAGAGTTTGTTTACGCTAATTTCATTGTTATTTGCAGTGCTTGGTAAATGTAAATACAACGTCTACAATTCAATGCAATTTTTTTGAGCTGAACGCAAATTCACAAATTCATTTCAAATATGATGCATTGCCAACGGCGGCCGGCACAGTGTTTGCGGGCAGTGCTGTAAAGCGCGTAACTGCTCTGACTGGCTGGCAGTGGCAGTCAAAAAAAAAAAAATACAATGGCGAAGCAAACTCTGAACTAAAATTCTGTTGTTGACATCTGGTCGCTTTGTAAATTTCATTTTGAACACACTCTTGTGATATCTAGTTGTGATTTAATTCCAAAAATATTAAAACGAAAAAAATAAAATTAAAAAAAAACTAAATAGTAAACTATTTAGAAATTGTATGGATTGTGCTATCAAATAGTTGGGAGAGGAAGCAGCGCGAGTGTTCAAATCGTCTGAGTGTCCGAGTCGAGGTGAGCCTAAATTACACGTTGTATTTATTTTGACTGCCTGCAGCAGCAGAAGTTTGTAAAAATTCACAATTACATTTCCGCATATGCATATGCATATATATATGTGTGTGTGTGTGAAAGCCTTCATGCCTACGAAATGGCAAATGTCTTTTTGCCTGCCTGCCTGTGCATATGTATGCATGTGTGTGTGTGAGTGAGTGTTTCTATGTGGGAGCCAAAGCCGTCAGCCACTGCATGACGTAAAGCGTAACAGCAGCGTAACAAACATATGCAAGTGTTTTCATCTGTGTGTGTGTGTATGTAATTAACAACGTAAAGCTCGCTGGCATTGATTAGCACTGTTTTTGGCACTTTTACACACGCCTTATATGCACAAGCATATGTACATATGTGCTTGTGCATGTGTGTGTGTGTGCATGTAACATTTTATGTAGTGTGTGTGTGTGTGAGTTTTGTGACTGTCGCTATGTGCCGCATACGCGAAACAGTGTTGCACAGCGCGTCACTGTCGATGCATGCATGCAAAAAACCAAAAAAAACGGCGCACAAAATCACAATTGGGAAAAAGCGTTGCGAGTGGCGCGTCGCTTCAGCGTTTCATTAACATATGTACGGGTATTTTGATGAAATTGTGTTATCGATAGCGCTAAGCGACAGTTGGGCATTTAAATTTGCACACACACACACGCAAAAAGGCGCTCTGAGCGACGCCGTTAGTTAGTGTCTTACTGTATTTTAGTTTTTTTTTTTTTTGTTTTTGTATTTTGCGACCTCGACATAGAAGAAGCCAAAGCCAGTCGTCGTCATTCCGTAGCAGCGGCAGCAACTTGAACGCCAGCCATTTTGTGGTATTGCTGTCTCGCTCTCTGGCGTTTCGACCGTTGTTATTTGTGATTTTTTTTTTGTTGGAAACCAACACAACATATATATATATATATATATATATATATGTTTTTTTGTGTTTGAGTGTGATGTGAGTAAGCGTCGATTGTACTGACAGTTAGTTTTTTTTTTTAATATTTTTTTGTTTGATTTTGATTTCGATTTCGATTTTTTTTCGGCTAGCATATTTCATGTATTAATAAATCGTATAACGAGAACAAAGCTCCGTCTTACAAAATATAGTTTGATTTTTGACGAAGCATTTAATTTGCAAATTGTGATAATTTTTTTGTTCTCTGTTTCTCTTTTCATCCAAACAGTTGCGGATAAATATACACAACAACAAGGAGAACAAGAACAATTGTCAAAGATCATCAGGATACTGAATAGTAGACAGTCAGACAGAGAGAGAGAGAGATAGAGACTCTGGCCAGTGTTGGCAAGTATTTGCATAATAAAGCAAGCGAATAATGGATATGATTAATATTGGCCAGAACGTTAAGATCAAACGCACCGATGGACGGATCCATGGTGCTGTTGTATCCAAACTGAATCCATCCGCATTGTGCATCACTGTCGAGTGGTATGAACGTGGCGAGACCAAAGGCAAGGAGGTCGAACTGGAGGCGATACTCTCGCTAAATCCCGATCTAGCGCCCAACAATGATCAACAGCAGCAGCCACCGTTGCACAATGCTGCTGCAACAGGCGAGTCCAAAAAAGTGTCAGCAACAGCGCCCATGAATCTATCACGCAATCCCACACAATCGGCCATCGGTGGTGGGGGAGGAGGTGCCGGCTCCGGCAGCATATCGGCACGCATGACCCTGACCAGCATACAATGGAATAAAATCAGTGAGCAGCAGCAGCCACAACAGCAGCCACCGTTGGGCAACAGTCAGAGTGTTGGCAACATGACCACCAACAACACCAACAGCACCAGCAATAGCAACAATTGTCAGCCAACTGGCGGATCGGGCATGGTTCGTCCACGTTATACGATCAACTCGCAGACGAATAGCAATGCACAGCAGACGCGCATTGCATCCGCAGTGCCCAGCAACAGTTCGACAGGAACGACAGCATCATCAGCAACGGCAGCAGCATCGGCATCATCATCATCGGTAGCAACAATGGCTGCAGCAGCAGCAACAGCAGCAGCAGCAGCGGCTGCCGCAGCCAGCACAAATAATTCAAATAATTCACAAGCAGCAGCCGCAGCCGGGGCACGTCGTTCCCATGCATTGAAGGAGGTGGAACGTCTCAAGGAGAATCGCGAGAAGCGACGTGCCCGCCAGGCCGAGATCAAGGAGGAGAAGGTGGCACTCATGAATCAGGATCCCGGCAATCCCAACTGGGAGACGGCGCAAATGATACGTGAATATCAGAATACGCTTGAGTTTGTGCCGCTGCTCGATGGCCAGGTCGTCGATGATCATCAGATTGCTGTGTGTGTGCGCAAGCGTCCGCTTAGCCGCAAGGAGATCAATCGCAAGGAGATCGATGTCATTTCAGTGCCGCGCAAGAATATGCTCATGGTCCATGAGCCGCGCAACAAAGTCGATCTAACCAAATTCCTCGAGAATCACAAATTTCGCTTCGATTATGCATTCAACGATACATGCGACAATGCAATGGTTTACAAGTGAGTACATCTCCAACAATAACTGATATTATCAATTTATATATCTATGTAGGATGGTTACCTGGGACTCAAATTGGAGGATTTATGGCGAGAGTCATTTGCAGTTCAAGTACAAAAATATTTCCATTCTCTTTAAAACTTAATTTATTCTAGCAACTCTTAAAGCTACATGAATAAATTATGATATATTATCCTAGATTTATATTTTATCGCACTGATATGAGAGAATCTGTTATAGTTCATGTTCAGAAATATTTCATTTCATATGATATGATTTTGAATTCTAAATCAAACACATATTGCTGGAACTTGGGCCGAAATATTCTTAAAGCTGTTTTCTCTTTAAAACGTATTTGTAAACTTCATTTAGTTGATGACTACTCATTTAATCCATAGCATTCTAACAACCCTTATAAAGATATAGGGATGTATTCTGATTCATTTCCTCATAGATATCTTATCGCAACAATGTAGCTTTAGCTGTCTGCATGGTAGTCCAAGGTTTATACTATTGCTCTTTCTGCTATTGCTACAACTACGGAGAGGACAATGGTTATTTTCTCTACCGATATTGATCTTGCAGAGTATAGGAATAGTTTTCGGTTTTCTGTTATTGGCTCTGTTAAGGTTCGTAGCAGTAGCAGTTGCAATAGCAGATCAATATTTCTGGTGCTCTTGCTGCTGCTACGGAGTAGTAAATTCCAACCTGGTCTAGATCTATTTGTCACCTTCTTAAAGCGAATAATTTTGTACTAACAATCTTGTCATATGATCAGTTGCCTGCAGTTTTACCATTTAGTTAACAAAGTGTTAATTGACATGATTAGAGGAACTTATTTAGCACAAATACTTGCTTACTTCAAGTAGTTGCTGCCAACATTTAGCGACTATCAAATCTGATTTAATTTTGAATTAATTAATTTTAAGAAATGCTTTAAAGAAATGCAGCTTAAATGATATACACACAAATACATATACATAAACATATGCATGCACATAGATTTATCCTTAGGCTGTCCTTGTCTGGCAAACAGCTGTACGCTTTTCTTCTTGTTGTTGTTATTGCTGTGTTGCGTTGGCGACACACGAAATGCGCATAAGCTTCGCTAACACTGACTCACACACACACACACACATGCACACATACACCTTTCCAACACTTTGCGCAAGCTTAAAAGCATTCGCTCCCGAAATAGCCAAGTTTTTCCGTTGTTGTTGTTGTTTCAATAGCTGCTGCTGCTGCTGTATGACTAAACATGTAAAGTTGTTCGATTTCTGTCTGTGTGTGTGTGTGTGTGTGTATTTGCTGTCCGTCTTTTGCCATCTTTTCGCTCATTTTGTGTTTCATCTCGTTTCGTTTTTCGAGTTCGCCTCAATGAACTTGCCAGTGGCATATCTCAAGCCATGATTTCGATACCCTCGCCAAGGCTTCTATTAGTTTTTCTCCAGCACATTTTTAAACTCGTTAACAAATATTTATGTATATGTATGTACATATTTTCTTGATCAGCATCGCATATACATAACTTGCCTCGCAACAATCTAATGCAATTAATTTAATTATATCGTTTTGTAAGTGTATGCGAAGTTCGGTCATTGTGCGGTCGTGTTATATTTTTCTTTTTTTTGCAAACAATCAAAAAAAAACGCTGCTTGTTTCAAATAGTAACCGTTGTTGTCATTGGCAGCGACGTCAACGTCGACGTCGACAGCAGCAGCATTTGTCATTGCACGGAATTAAAGCTTATTATTTGTGTATTTATTATTTGTTTTGTGTTTTGTGTTTTTTTTTTTGCCGGTCTCTGCTGTGTTCTGTTTGGTTATCTGACGCTACGTTTTGTTTCGCTTTGCTTTCGTTTTGCTTTCGACAACGTTCTTCTCACCGCTGGCGCCCGCTTTTGGCCCACATTTGGGTAATTCTACGTCTTCCTTCCGGCTTTTTTCTGCGCATGAGTCAATGGCATTAAAACTGCTGCGCCACGTTCGGAGAAATTTAATCATCGATTCTGATAACCAAACGCTACCTATTGCTCTCCCTCTCTCTCTCTCTCTCTCTTTCTCTCTCGGTTTCATTGTATCTTTCGGAATGTGTGTGAGCTGATTTTCTTGTTTTTTTTTAATAACAACTTTAAACCTTTAAACCACATAGTCGTAGTATGATTAGCAGACTATTTATATATTTGTACGTCATTCATCGTTAATTCAACTCGACGAAAAAAATGTCGAGTTCTATAAACATCAACAAAGATTCTATTGATGAAAACAACTAGCTTGGCTACATAAACGACACATCAATTATCGGTATAATTATCAATTAGCGTCAATCGCCAACTTTTTGTCAACTTGTTACTGTAAATGTGCTTTGTGCTTTCTAATACGAATCGGAATCCGAATCCGAATCCGAATCGGACTCTGTTACACACAGCTACACCAATTTGCCAATTTGAAAAGCGTCTGAATGACGAATAAAAATAAAAACAAATCATTATTTTTTTTATATTGTTTAGTATTTCTTTTATAAGTTTAAGGTGGTTCTGCTACTGCAAGTGTTTTTTTTATTATGTACAGAAATCGTTATGTTTCGCAGATGTGCGCTTATAGAAAACATATCTGTAAAATATTTGACTTCATAGTTCTTTGAAGTTCGCAGAGGAATCCAATAGTCTAGCAATATATTATGGACAACTGAGGGTAAAGTTGTTAAGTCAATGAGGCATTTTCTGCTGCTCAGCCAAAGCTATTTACATTTATAAAATAATCTTAATTTTAATAGACAATTAGCTATAAGTAATAAGGGTATCATTTAATAGTAATTATTCATAATTCATAAATTACTCGATAATTTGTTTGTGCTTGCTTTCTAATCGAATCGAATCTGATTACGTTTCCCAACACAGGTACACCGCTAAGCCACTGGTGAAGACCATCTTTGAGGGCGGGATGGCCACGTGCTTTGCCTACGGACAGACGGGGTCGGGCAAGACGCACACAATGGGCGGTGAGTTTAACGGTAAGGTGCAGGACTGCAAGAACGGCATCTATGCGATGGCAGCCAAGGATGTATTTGTGCTACTTAATGGGCCACGATATCGCTCCCTAAACCTGGTCGTCTCGGCCAGTTTCTTTGAGATTTACAGCGGCAAGGTGAGCTATATCCATATATATATATATATATCTATATACAACATACTCATTCAGTATTAAAACGAATTGGTTTTTTAGGTCTTTGATTTGCTGTCCGATAAGCAAAAGCTGCGCGTCCTCGAGGATGGCAAGCAACAGGTGCAGGTCGTTGGCCTCACCGAGCGCGTTGTCGATGGCGTTGAGGAGGTCCTCAAGCTCATCCAGCACGGCAATGCGGCGCGTACCTCTGGCCAAACATCGGCCAATTCGAATTCATCGCGTTCGCATGCCGTATTTCAAATTGTATTGCGCCCGATGGGCAGCAGCAAAATTCATGGAAAATTCTCATTTATTGATTTGGCTGGCAATGAGCGGGGCGTGGACACATCATCGGCGGATAGACAGACACGCATGGAGGGTGCTGAGATCAATAAATCACTGTTGGCCTTAAAGGAGTGCATTCGTGCATTGGGCAAACAATCGGCACATTTACCATTCCGTGTCTCCAAATTGACGCAGGTGCTGCGCGATTCGTTTATTGGTGAGAAGAGTAAGACTTGCATGATTGCGATGATCTCGCCGGGATTGAGCAGTGTGGAGCATACATTGAATACGCTACGCTATGCGGATCGTGTCAAGGAGCTGGTCGTCAAGGATGTGCAGGAGATTGGCCATGGCGATGGCGAGCCCATCGAGATCATGGACGATGGCGAGGAGGAGGAACAGCAACTGACTGAACAGGGAGTTGGCGGCATTTCATCCGCCCATCATCATCACCAGCATCATCATCAATCGCTGCAGCGCGGCCACAACAACAATAACAACAACAATAAGAACGGCAATGCAGCCAACATGGACTTGGCCATGTTAAGTTCGCTGAGCGTAAGTACAAATTTACCAATACATATATATATATATATATATATATATCCATATTTAACTCTTTATTCATGATCTGGTTCAACAGAGTTGAGTCGATCGATCTCCTAGTTATATCACGTTTATTTCATTTTATCGATAGAAATCGATTTGTGTTGATCTTTCTAATCGACTGTTTTTCTATTGCTAGCCTCAAAATTATCGAGCACGCAAATCGGTTAAACCTAATAATTGGGCGGCTCGACGATTTATCTAAAACGGTCGCAACTTCCTTAAGAACTCCCTTAAAGACATGAATAGCCCCAAAAATAATGAAGATTCAAATGAAATTGGTGTTCGAATAACCTTCTAATTTTGATTCAAATTCTGGTTAAACAAGATTTCCTGTACAATATGTACATGGCTTATATATAGCATTTATATATCTAATTAAAACTACAAATGAACTATAATAAATATAATTTGATATCAGCAAAAGAGGCGATTTTATAAATGCATAATAATAATGATCTCTCTCTCATTATCTATCTCTCTCTGTCTCACTCTCCGGATGTGGCAGGAACATGATATGTCGGACGAGCTAATTGTGCAACATCAGGCAATCGATGATCTGCAACAGACCGAGGAGATGGTCGTCGAATATCATCGCAGTGTGAACGCAACTCTCGAGAATTTCTTGGCCGAATCGAAGGCGCTGTATAAATTAACCAATTATGTCGATTACGATCAGGATGCGTATTGTAAGCGGGGCGAGACAATGTTCTCGACACTGCTCGAAATATCCATACAGTGTCGCGATATGATGGCCGAATATCGGGCCAAATTGGCCAAGGAGGAGATGCTGTCCTGCAATTTCAAGCCCACTAACAATAAACGTTAAAAACGTGGCAACAGCTACACTATGTCAGTTTATTCTAGTATTCTTGCATAATTTTTAAACAATTAATTTTTCAAATTCCAAACTCTACCGTATTAGTCCTAGAGAGATCGCCCTCCCCCTTAGAGCTGCTGGCATATATGTAGTTGATTCTAGATGAACACAACACACACACACCACACACACCACACACACATAACACGCAGACACACATACACACACACATAACACGCACACACACAACACACACACACACAACACACACACACACACATTTATCCTTACACTTTATTATTATTTTCTATTGTGGCTGCCCAAAATAATATCGAATTTCTCATTGTTTACATTAGTTTTGTTGTTGTAAGACTCATGCAACACTCTCTTCAATTACAGTTAACTTTATGCACTTTTTTTGTAATAGCTTACCTCACACACACACACACACACACACACACACACAACTCACACACACAGTCAAGCTTTTAACGGCAAGCTGCGTGTTAAAAACAGCAGCAACACTGCAACAAATGGAAGAAAACTAAAAACATGGCACGAAAAAGCGCAAATAAATATGGCAAATAACTAACAGTTGTACAATTTATATATATATATATATATATATATATATATATATATATATATATATATATTATTTATTATTATATGTATACATATATATATATATATATATATATATTTGTGTGAGCGTACAACAAAACTCAGTAAGTTGCCTTTGATTGTTTTTGTTTTAATAGTGTGAAAACAAAAAGACATTTATTTTATACATACATCTAATATGCATAATACTAAACATATATCTTACATAATATGAGATTCCATTAAATAATTTGTACAATTTACAACTATTTAATAATTACACACTGTATTTATTTAAAACTAACACAAACAAAAAACAAAAAAGCAAAAAAAAAGAAGCAAACGAAAGAAAGTTAAGGAAAAGGCCACAAAACAATGTATTTAATTTGTATTAGTTTATTGAAAATAACAACAACCCGCACCAAAACCAATTTACGTATTGCTATAATATTTGTTACTCATTAAACATTAAACAACCGTATTATTTATGAGTTTTTTTTGTTTTTTTTTTTTTATCGAGTGTCAATTTTAATTTTTGTACTAATTTAAAATATAAATTCAAATGGAATTTACTAGACGCCATTTTCCAGTCGATCTTTTTTTTATTCTTTTTTATTTAATGCTATTATTATTAATAATTGTAAGTGTTTAAGCAAACGACTTTCGAGAAAAAGAATTTGATGCGAATGAAATTTATTTTGAATTTTAAGTGCAGTTAAGTTGAGATTTGGAGACAATGTTTTTGCATTTCTTTTTTTAGCATAAATTTATGTACTAATATTTATTTTAATATTTAATTCTTATCTAACTAAAAAAGACAAAAAAGACACACACACACACACACACACACTCACACACCCAGAATTGTACACTACTTGCAAGAAACAAACTGCTTTTAAGATACCCTGCAAAATGAAGCGAAGGAGAACATAATGTTTTAGCTTAGACTTGAAAAAAAGAAACACAATTCAACAAATGCATACATGCATGTGTGTGTGTGTGTGTGTGTGTGATAATAAATGCATATCTACACACACACACACACCTGCGCTTGTATGTTTGTATGTGCTTCTCTTAAGATATTTAACCAATCCAAAAATAAAAACAAAAGACAAAAAAAAATCGAAAAACGAAAAACAAAAAATGTTTAACAGTTCTGTTGTTGATTGCATTTCTCAAAAGCACTAAAAATGATAACCCACAGAAAATGGGCAAGAAAACAAGTCCTACTTACTACGTATATATATATATATATATATATATATATATATATATTAAAAACTAACCATATTTTTTTGACCCAGAAGCTATAACAAAAAACCCAAAAAGAAACGAATGTTAAAAACAAACAACAAAAAAATTATAATAATATTAAATTGCCGCTGGGCAGTGTGCTTCGATATTACGCAGTATAAAAACAAAAAACAAAAAAATTTAAGAAAAATAATAATATGAAATGTTAGGACTCGGACTCTAATAATGTATTATTAAATATAAATATTAATTTATATTGTAATAAAACTGAATATAAAAAAATGCAAGCTCTTTTATTGATGCAAGTGAAGATTTGAAAGGAAATTTGAATGTGGCCGCCTGCATTCGATTATTTAGCTAACGCTATCAATATGTTATCGATATCGATGTGATTAAACAATACATGGTATTTTACTGCTAGTATTTATTTTGATATCGTTTGGTATTTTGCTGGATTGCCGCATGCGGGCACACTGCACGGCATATAGTCGCAAATAAACCTTCGCCGTTCGCTTTGGTGTGTTTTGGTGTCGTCGCTGTCGTCGTCAAGCGCGTATCGTCGACTTTGCTCCGCATGTGTTTTCGCTTGTATTTTATTTGCTGCAATAACAACAATTATCAAATTGTATTAAGGCAAATAAATAACAGAAACTCAAAGTGTTTTTAGCACGCGACATATATATTCATTAGTCAGACGCTGCCACACAGCGTTTCGTTGATTGTATCGTATTTTTTTTTATTCGTATCGTATTTGTTTTTGTTTACGGTGCAGCAGCAGCCGAAGGAGGAGGAGGAAGAGGCAATAACAGTGAGAAGCAGCCAAAGCAAAAGCAAAAGCAATAGATATTTTGTGCAGATCATATATGAAAAGCGAATAGCGACAACAAGGAAAAAAGGACGGTGGGTGACAAGTGAATGCGAATTGTGCCTACAAATAGGGGTTGAAGTCACTTTTAGTACAGGTGCGAGAGAGAGAGAGAGAGAGAGTGCGAGTGAGAACTGCAAGAGTTTTGTTTTTTTTTTCGTTTGTTTGTTTGTTTGTGGTGTGTTAAAAAAAAAAAAATAAAATAAAATAAAATCAACAAAAACAACAACAACAGGCAAAAAACCGCTTGCAACTTGTTTTTAGCAAGCAGGCTAAACCAGCCCCCGCCCCCCTCCACGCCCTTGCCCCCGCACATCCACAAATTAACATCACCAGCAACCCCCCGCGTGCCATGCGTGACCTCGGCACGAAAATGGCCGAGCTTAAATTCGAGGCTCCACTGGCGAAATTCGAGGAGACAGACGAGTGGGGCGGCTGTGACTTCATCTCCAATCAGAATGCCCTCAATGCCAATCGGAATCTGAAGGATGGCAACGCCAAGCAGCAGCAGCAGGACAAATTACGCCTGCTCGAGGATGCTGTCCGTGATGCACATCTCAGCAAAAATGGCGGCGCAGCAGCAGCAGTCTCTGGCGCTGGAGCAGCTGGTTCTGGATCGGGCACAAGTGGAAATATTAGTCCCAATTGCAATACGCACAATTTGAGCGATGTTTTGGGCGATGCAACGCCGGGCGTGGGACTCGGTATCGGCTTGGGCGGCGATAGGCGGGCCGCCGACAATGTGGACAATTTCACTGAGACTTTCGGTGGCAGCCTGGAGGATCTGGTCAACACGTTCGATGAGAAGATCACCAAGTGCTTCGGCAACTACGAGGAGAATGTCGAGGAACTTGCACCCGTTCAGGTGCGCAGCCAGGAGGAGATCATGAACGAATGCCAGTGAGTATCAAATTAACATCATTGATTGCTGATTGATGGGTGATTGATTCGTGTTTGATCATTTCTGTTCATTTTATTTTATGCTATTTATTTTATTCATCATGTATATATATATATATATATATATATCATATCAAATTAAAATGATGGATTGCTGATTGATCGGTAATTGATTGGTGTTAATATATATATATATATATATATAGTTTATTTTATTCATCACTTGTATGCATTGATATGATTCAGATATGCATATAATGCCTGACTGATCCACTGATTGAATGACTGATGATTGACTGACTCATTGATTGATTGTAGCTTTATAACCTACACGACAAATTAAACAATTTGTGCTATTGGAAAATGATTGATTGTTGACTTGGTGATTGAGGGACTAAAAGGGCAGAAAAAAAACATAATTTTTATACATTGATGTGATTCATAGATGCAAATAATGACAGATAGACTGACTGATGATTGATTGACTCGTTGATTGATTGATACTTAATGACCTATAGGAGAAAAAATGAAGTAAATTCATTATTAATGGTTGAGCTTTAAGTTCAGCATTGCTTGTGACTTAAAGCTCGCCTCAAGCATAGCCTTTCAACGAAACGGTTCAGCTGAGGTTAACGGTTAACCGGTTAATCAAAAATTGCTCACCTAATAATAGGCACATAGAATAATAGACAGAAAGAGAGATAGAGAATTATACACATAGTAAAGATGTAAGAATGCAATGCGCCATCTATTTTTCCACAATTAGGCAGAGCGCATGCGTCAACCCCCAAACTCGCTGGCAACCCTGGCGCCATATAACGACGTAATCCTGATACAGGCCAAACGATAGGGGAGGGAGTAGGTGGGGTAGGGGTGAGGGGTGGCGTGTAGCATTCAACATTGTTGGATCGATAAAAGTCGACTGTCGACTGTCGTCTGACTCTTGAGACAATTTTGCTATCTACACTTTTTTTCTTCACTGCTGCATCCCAACAACAACAAAAAAGAAAACAACCCTTGACCAGCGTCTAGCGGAAGTGCAATTCCCTTCCCCCCTTTAAGGCCCCTTGTATGAGCAAAAAAAAAAAACAATAAAATACAATCAATGTTAAACTGTAACCCACTTGTCTACGATGCCGGGGGGTTGCTGGAGGCTTGGGGTTGGCGGGTGGAAGTCACATTCAGCGTTGAGTGGCGTTTGTCAAAGCAAAGCAATTCACACAAAAATAAATAAATGAAACACTGCAATTGCCTACGATTTGCGGTGCGTAAAACATAAATCATAACTCGTAACAAAAAGCGAACGAACAACAACAAAAACAACAACAAGTGACTGCCGCTGACCGCTGCTGATAAAAAGGCATTTATAAAGTGCATTTGCCTGACTCAAGCAAAGCGCATTACTTAACGAAAGAGTGCCACAGTGAGCGAGAGAGAGAGCGTGCGGAGTTTGAGTGAGAGAGAGAGAGAGATGGCTAATTGAGTTGGTTTTTATACACTGCACCCATCAAAAATAGGTAAAAAGTAGAGTATAACGATTTTGTGCAAGTGTTTGCAACAGCAAAGCATCTTTATATATTATTGATCGGGATTAACAGTCGACTCGATGGAGCATAGAGAGAGTCTTTCCATAAATACGTACTGTGCATATGCATCTTATTCTTATTCTGCCTGCCATAAGAAATGAGTCCGAGTACTTCCACGCATGCTTATATTTGAGTTTGGGAAACTCTGGCAATAACTATAATAGATTTAACAGCTGGCTGCAGGGTATATCGTAGTCGTGCTCACTTGAGTACAACATTCTTACTCCTTTTGTTTGCTGCGTTTTGTGTTTATTGTTTTTAAGCGCTCGCAATTTGCAACGTTTTATTATTTGTTTTTTTTATATATTTATTTTTTGATATTTATGTTTTTTTTTTCGATTTTGTCTTTGGCTGAAATTAGCCAATAAATTTAACAATCGCGTGCTTTATCTTTCCAAAAAATGATTTGAAATGCACATAATATTCACATTCGTGAATGATTCGTGAATGATGAATGAGGCCGAGTCTGAATATGGAATATGATCATGATGATGATGACACGCCAAGCCGAATGCAAATATGTACATATATACATGCATATACATATATATATATATATACATGTATGTATTTAGATAGCTTGTCAATTAGGCACATTCATCATGTGCATTTTGAGCTGTTATATTTTATTCATTTGCCCTGCACTCACTTCTCATACAATTTTTACTTTTCGCATAGCGCATATTTGGCGACAAATGAAATGCAAATGTTGTCTCCCTCACTCTCGTAAGCTTTCCGCTTCTGTTTAACATTGATGTTGAGAGAGCGCATTATTTACATACCGTTTACATACCTCTGTAAGAGATGCACTGCTTTGTCTATCTCACTCATACCTTAACGCACTGGCATCACTGCTTCATCTAGCGTCTTCTAACTGTGATTATCGACGCTGCGTTTATTTTTTTCTCTTTTGTTCTTATTTGCCTGGGTCGCTTGTCAATATTTACGTTACGAATTATCTTTCATTGTCGTCTTCTTCGTCATTTTTTTTTAACGAAGGTCGAGCACTGTGTGTAGGTGTGTGTGAGTGAGTGAGGCTGTGTGCAGCATACATTTGACGAAGGTCTGCAGTTGCGTAGAAAACTTTCTGCTTCTTCTGCGAACTGCATTGCTGCAAGTTTTTTTCTGTGCTGTTGTTGTTGGATCAGTTCTCTGTTTTTGGTGTGCTCTGCAAGAACACGTTTAATTACAACAACCACAACAATAACAAGAACAACAAGAATAGCGAATGCAACATTCTTACACTGAGCAAATGGCAATGTGTAATCTCAGTTTTTATCATATTAATCGCTGGATGACTTCAGAAAAGTAATCAACGGAAATAATTTACGTATTGTAAATGTCAATTGCGTATTATTTTCGACCAACTTTGAAATCAAGTTAAGCTTTGCATATTTCATGTACATATATGTATATATATATATATACATATGCATGAGAAACCAAAATTTAATGGCAGCTCATTATAGCTGTCAGTTGTTGTTTTTGTCGTTGTTGTTGTTGTTGTTGCATGCGATGGTGACATAAAAACGACCGCATTTGTGTGCCACTTAAAAAAAAAATTTTAAAAAATAAGGTGCTGACCAAATGTGCCAATGCAGCCCGTTTGGCGAACAGTTGTGGGCCCGCTTTCCGGTTTACTGCCAGCCACTCAGACACTTCAAGCCAATCCAAGCATTTTTCATTTGACCACAGCGTGGGACACGCGTCGCGACAATACACTCAGAGAAAAAAAAAACACAAATTTTATTGATTGCTGTCAATTGGTTAAGCAGTACAAATTCATCAGTAAGCTGCAGTCGCAGGCTTTTTGACTTTCTTTAAGCATCACTCATTACTCAATGTTTATGTGACTCAAAAAATGTCCATAATTCAAAGTCTGAATGACTCAGCCGTTTTGTTCTTTGACATAATAAAATATGATAATTATAATGAAAAAAAAAACAAAACTAAATTTGTAGTGGAAAAAAACATAAAAATTATTTGGGACTCAATTTGGAAAGTATTTTATTTTCTCGAGTGGTTTTCCTTCGTCGTTTCTATTTTGTCCCAGTGTAGCAACGGTTTACACTCTTCAGCAGGCGTTGACATAACCGATTTGAGTTGAGTTTGTCGCAACTTTTATTTTCTTCGATTGCATTTCTTTTCTTTTCTTTTCTTTCCTTTTCTTTTTTTGTATACTCTTTTTTCCATTTCTTTTGTCATGCAATTTGCTGATGCAATTGCTGCAGCAGCCTTGGCGCTGACTGAGTCTGGAAGTGGACACTGGAATTGGAAGTGCGACTGGAAGCGCTGCCCAAACTGAAGCTGCAGCTGTCCCAGCTGGCGACCTACTTTTCCCACAAGGTTCAATGTCCTGTCGCCAAGTCCTGACTGTGTAAATGAACAAAAAAAAAAAATAGAAAAAAAAGAAGAGAAACCCGTTTTAGCCAAAATCGTTGGGATTCTGTCTTGTTTTTTCTTTTTAAGCCTGTCAAACTAAAGAAGAAACATTTTTAATTTTGTTGTCAAATGTGATTTGGGTGCTTTTATTTAAGAGAACCCTATTTCGCACTCAATTTATCACAGTGTTGAGCATTTATTTAATCGTTTCATTTAATCAAAGAGAGAGCTTAAAATTCTTTCTGTTTTTAAACAAGTTTAGAACCCCAAATTCTGCCAATTTGCCACTCCTGCGAAATCTCGAATTACGAGCGGGCTTAATCAATTATGAAAGGTGGCTGCTTTTAAACTATATATATAATCGATTGGGTGCATGTTATATATACATATTTACAAAAAAAAAAGGAGGTTGAGTTGGGGGTGGGCCACATTTGCAGGAAGTTGATGTGTATCCTTGAAAAGAGTGCAGTAAACAACAACAAGCGGAAAGCTGAAGAAGAACAGAAGAACAGAAGAACACCACATGTCCTGACTAAAACAATAATCAAACTGTATAAATATAGACAGGGGTAGTTTCGCAACAGCTAAAACCACCCATCCACCCCAAATTGAGGGTCGTATGAGTCATGCACAGAAGGCACAACATGGCGTATGCGTGTTACGAAACACACACTGGAAAGGGACAATGGGCGGGGTGGCGAGGGGCAAGGGGAATGCAGGAGCTGACAGGCCTCAGCTGTGTTGTCAGTAGACCTCTCTCTTCCCCGCCCAATCCGAACCCGAACCCGGGCCCATTCGCCGTTCGCCATAGTTTAGGGTTGCCATCGCTGTTATTATTGGGGGTTGCCTGAAAGTCATTTCCTGCCCAAGTGCAAAATTGCAAAAGGACATTAACCTCTTTTGCACTGTGCACTCTGCTCTGTGGCCAGCCACAGCTAATTGTCCCCTGTTGTTGCATGCACCACAAACAACAATGCTACCAAATAAACAGTTGTGCAGCTATTCTACAATAGCCCGAAATCGATCCATGGA